GACGTGAATAGCAAAGTAATGTAAGTCGAGTAAACGTCAATCAAGAAGCAAATGTAGCGAACATTCAGCAAATAATCCGACTCCAAAGTACGTTATTGGCACAAATCAAAAGATGCCGAGTCACAACTGGATTGCTTATTTAAGCAATACTACAATAAAAATACAAACTACTATAAAATATTATTATTTATGCTCTTACTAGCTGTCGCCCGCGACTCCATCTGCGCGGGATTCCAAAAAATCCTAAATAGTAACCTTTGTGTCCTTCAAGACTATGTTCTATGTTTATGCCAAACAGCGAGATCCATCCAACCATTATGGTGATACCTTCTAACAAACATTCATCCATTTTCTTTTATAATATTAATATGTCTTTATATGTATAGCCAACAATTATACGAAGCGAATTAATTGAACAATGAGGATTACGGTGATTAACTTAACAATGCCAACTAATCCGCCATACTTGATTTGTAGCCATCAAGTGACATGAGCGTGAACATACAACTGTCAATAGCTTGCGGTGAATCAAGATATTTAGCTTACATAGCTTCACTTAGATTACATAGTTGGTTACATATATACTTAAGCTAAGTGAACTAACCTCAAGGTGAATTGAGAGCCTTCGCATCTCCTTTCATGAAGTCGAATCTCCTATGAAGGGTTTATTAACTGTCAAGAGATTGAATCTGTTAAGCACATTGGATATCTCTACCCATTCCGTGCCATCCAATCCCATCCCTACTCGTTTTACCTTCTCTCATTCGAAAAGACTAATAACTCGAAGGAACAACACATAAAAACTGAAATTTATAAAACTAACTTACGAAACTCGATAATGAATGAAAGCTTTTATCTACTGATACTGTATTTAAATAAACACAATACTTAAAAGAGAACAAAAAATCTTTAACAAAAGCTCGAAAACGCTCTATAAATTACGTCAGAACAAATAAAGAGCCGTACCAATATCCTCTTAATGTGAAATTACTTTCAACTATCAAAGGAGAGAAACAAAAAGCGTATCCAAACAACAACGTAGTGTTCAGTTTCACCGTCCATTTATCTCAATATCCCGTATCCATGGCAACGGCCTCTTAGTTTCACATCCACTAGGGTCAATTGCCATTGAGAACAAAAGTAAATCCAATGGGTTGGGTCGTTGAACATGCCAAGAAATAGCCTATTTACAATTATACTTGAAGCCAATAATATCTTCCTAAATTTTATTCACGAAGGTATATAAAATATCTTACTCCTTACTAATATTATAATTGCAAATGTTTAGATGGATGGATGGATGGATGTTTGTTTGGAGGTGTTTCCGGAACAGCTCAACGAATCTTGATGAAATTTGGCACAGATGTAGAAAATAAACTCATTGAGTTATATAAAATTACAGTTTCTGTTTTTAGAAAACACTTCCTAATGCGTAATAATATTATTTAATTAACTGTAATTTTTATTTTCTATAAAATACATTAACAGAACGTATTCTTGAATCCAAGGTCGGGGAAAGTACAGTTCAAGGATACGGAGTAAACAAGGTCAAGGAAACAATACAATTAATGTCTACCTGGTGTAGTTCTGTTCATTCCTTTATAAAAAGGAAAAAGGGTGTATTTAAGTATTTCATTTGTGATCATTAAAAATTTTCAATAGGTTAAGAAGAAACTTACATAAAAACGGCTAAACACTCGCGTATATTCGTCCGGTGGCGACACCGACTATTTTCGAACCCATCGGAGACCCTTTATCAGGGCGAGGGTCCGCGAAATAATACCAGTCCCACTAACCACCTACCACTAACCACCTACCACCAACCACCAACCACCAACACAAGTTTATTATAATGTCTCACGAATGTTTGAATATGTTAAGAAGAAAGGTCAATAAAGAAAACAAAGTAATTTTTAGTAGAGACAAGCCGTCTCTAATCAGGAGAAATGAAATGTACATTACTTCTCAAATATATTCTGGGATTTTGTAGCAATTCTTTGATTGTAAAGACAGTACTATAGTCAAAGTTCTTGTTAAGAAATTTTCTAATTAAATTTGCAAGTCACTGTATCGGATGAATATAGATGTCGTCTTAAAAGCTATAACCTAAAGCTGTAAAGTCTGCGAAACCTTTTTGCATTTTGTTAGACTGTAGTTTCATCTTTGTAAATTTTCATTAGCTTTTGAAAGTTGAAGCGAAAGTTTCGCAGTTCGTTTAAAATATGCTGACCGTATTGGATTACGTTGGAAAATTTACAAAGTAATAATTAGCAATCATTTTTGTCCGTCGCTTGCAGGTTTCTTTTAATAGGAGTTTGCATTTTTAATAAAATTCAAATTAATTAACTACACTTAAAACACTATTTTAAGGTTTTAATTTACAAAAAAAATTTTATATAATATAACTTTTTTTTATTTCTTACAGAATTCAATTTAAGATTTAAATTGTCATCCGATTTTTAATAAGCCGATTTACGCTTTGAAATGTGACCAGAAAATTTTTAATTTTCATCCTTTACCTTTTATAGTATTGCTCCTTAACTTTTTAGTCAATTTTACTCCGACTATATTAAAAAGAGAGAATACTATGTGACTTCAGAGATAAAGTTTTAAATTTACCTCGTACCAACCTTCTCGTAGTTGCTTTAATTCTACGAAACTTTGTCGTTGGATCTCAACGGTTCTTAATTAAACCATATACTACTTTATAAAACTTTTCTAATATATAAAATTCATCGCATATGTATTTTATAATGTGCTTATTTCGTTATAATATATTATATAATGGAAGGTAAACATCTAAGCGGATTACCGACCCTGTACAATTTTGCTGAGTTTCATATTTATTTCTTAATCACTTCTTTTAAATAGGGTACTGATTATACTTGCGAGAGATAACATCTACTTTAATATATAAAATATCATTAATCTAGGTGTGGTGTATGCGTGTTTGGTCGCGGACGAGAGCGAAAGCGTAGCCGTGGCCCTGTCCCGATGCGTTGGAGAAATAGAGAGGTTTAATGGGTAAGCCTCCGCTATGGAGGAGAATCCCACATAACTACCGCGTCCCCCCCCCGGGGCGCGGAGTATGCATAAAGCATTCCTCTCTGGAAAAAAAGGTGTAGTGTATGCATAAACGTAGTGTTGTTTGTCTCGAGCGTACACGTCATAAGTACATTCCGGAGAAAGGGGACGTCAGTCGATGACAGACCTTTGGACCGGCAACACGTGTCGGTGCGTGAACGAGCCAAATATAACGCAACAAATGCTACACTAGGCAAATCTTTAGTTTACTGTTTGTATGAACCCTCCGTCTCTCCTCCTGGTCTGTGCCTATCTCTTGACACCTAAATACAATATATTCTTGTTCAATTTCGTTATCTTTCTATGTCTAGAGTTTAATAACAACATTATCCCTGCATGTTAATTTAATAAGCTCTTACGATGTAAAGATTCCCACGGCCTACATATGCAACTAGCCCAGAACTCTTAACAGAAATATAAAACAAGTTTCCCCTTAAGAAAGAAGCGCTCGAGATTCTGAAGGGCCCTAGCGAAACAATTTGTAACTTTTTTCGAGTTAAGCGGCAGAGGAAAATATTAAAGGAATTTTGTTTAAAATAGATTTTGAACGTCATAAAAAATTTGATCTCATTTGGTATCACCTTTTAAATACTGTTCAATGTTAGTTCTTGTTTACCTATATAAAATTGAACAATTATTACTATAGTATTTGAAAATATTATATTACTATATTTCTGTAGTAAGTATTGTAAGGAAGGAAATCCGACACTGCCGGTGTACTGGCGCAACACTAGCCTTATTAAAATGTGAACGTTTTTGTTCCCTCACTATTCATTCTTTTTCTTTTATTTTTCTACATCCATATAAATTAGATAACAATTAAAATCTGACAAGTTAATTCCTAACCTTTAATACAACTTGCTTCTTTATACTAAAGGCGAAGTGTACACACTAGTAGCAAAATTTAAACTTATACAAATGCTTGGCCACATAAAGGTGCGGTTACAAAGCGCACCGCAAAACTTTCTGCCCACCCCACATCGGCGTGAGCGTGTTGCACGATACAAATTACCAACACCGGTGTTGCTCCAATAATGAAACTTGCAAACTCCATTATTGCCAATGACGTTGTTACCAGCTGTTATTACAAACAAGCGTGGCTTGTATTCAGTACCGCACTCCAACTCAACAGTAAATGACCTTAGCTTTGATATGAAATTAGTTTTATAGTCTTCTTTTAGTTTGTAAACTATAATGATAGTTTATAAACTTTTATTTCAATATACTTATGAAATGATGCAACACGACTTTTTGATACGAAAGTCGCAACTGTTGTATTTGTACTATATTCTTATATTAGCTGTCGCCCGCGACTCCGCACGCTCGGAATTTAAAAAAAACTCAATTTGTAGCCCATGTGTTCTTCCAGACTTTGTTCTACATCTATGGTATATTTCAGCGAGATCCATGCAGCCGTTTTAGAGGTATCTTCAAAGACACATCCATCCATCTAAACATTCGCATTTATAATATTAGTAAGAAATAAGATTTACTTCTAAGTGTTACCAATATTTCTTAATATTATACTATACTGTATGATTATTATACTTAGTAAATAGACATATTTCGGCATAGTAAATATTTAAGCTTATATCTACTCGAAGTATAGACATTATCAAAGTAGAGAATGTTAAGCGGGTTATAAAATTTACATATTCCAGTATTAACACAACGTTGCAGATAATTTTGATAAGCATTGACATGCCGACAGCATCCTAATAGGCATACTGGAATGCAGATAATGAACTATCACATCATTATCGCTTGGTAATATTCACCTAGGCATTATTGATAATAGCTGACAGTAAACTAAACATACATTTGCAAACATACTACAAACCAAAAAGTATAGAGATTTTTTTTGTGTTCATAAAATAAAATTTGATGTGAGATATGACGCTGTTTTGTTGTTGCAGGGTCTGTGCTATGTTCCTGCCAGAGTTTGCGAGTTTCGTGGCGGCCATCTTGTTTGCGGTGCATCCCATACACACTGAAGCGGTGAGTTTATTATACACAGATACTGGCTGGTATAATTTTTTTTTATTAAAACTGGCTGGTAAATGTATTCTTTTTTTTAATATCTTATTAAGCCCTTTGGTTAATGTTATTTAACACTGGCTGGCAAATATATTCATAGTAGAATTAAAAAGAAACACTAAACATGCTGCACCATTGCCTGATAGTATCTCGTGCAATCCCTCGGTATAGATATCTTACTAGCGCTACACTAATGGGCGCCCTTAGTTTGCGACAATTCTGAGTGCAAAGTCGAACAAATAAATCACTATTTACCACTTTGTACACACAACTTTATTATGCACACGCTATTATAGAATATTTATAACCTATGCAAATGGGAAGCCAAAAAACGTCTTGACTAGATTTACATATAGACCGGACACAATACAAACTGTTAGAAGACACCATTGCGTGCTAGCGACATTGAGATATACAAAATGAAACATAATATTGTTGCATTTCTTTATGCTTTTTCACACTGGAGCAGCACAGTGAGGCAAACATTGCAGTTCTACTTTTTTGAAAGCACTGTCTCGGCGTGCTCAAAGAATATTAGTAGTATTCTACCCTCGTGTGAAACTAGCATTAGAGGGACTGGATGATAATATATGACGCGGTGTATGCGTATGCCCGGCATATGCAGTAATTAATAACTGAGCTTGCGTGAGTCGTTCGTGAAATGCCGAGCACTGTTATCTTCATATTTTCTTGAATTTTTTTACGTTTAAACTCATTATAAAAAAACTTAACTTTAGTCCATGAGCTTTTTTATTATTACGGATATTTGGGCGTATTTAATGACATTATTTTTGTAAGGAAACCCTTCCTTAAAGTTAACTTAGCAGAGGTGTAAATACGCGATAAATTAAGATGTAAAAATACAAACAGTAATTTAAAATTAATTTAAAATACTATAAAATTTATCTAAAGATCTCTCGAGCCTCGCATCAAAATGCAAGGCTCAAGAGTACAGCTAAGTTTTCATAAAACTTTTATAAGCTCTTTATAATCTAGCAAGACGCTTCTCCACTACGAACTGAAAACGCAAAATGCAAGCTTCTTTATACAGGACTTTAACTTGCTTATTTTAAATAACATTTTCTATTAACATAATGAAAAACTCGAAAGTTCACATTCACGTAATGACTGAAAATACTTTTTATATCTCATTCTAGAAGTCTTGATTCAAGACTTTTATTTAGACTGGGATAAAAATAAACACAGCAATTATCCATGTATGTTTTTGTTCAAGAAACAGTTTTTTTTTTTTTTTAATTTTACTAATATTTATTAATTATAACATTCCAACTAAGCTCTAGGCTTGTGCTAGGATAGGATTTACGACAATAGTCGAATGGTGGGGTTCGAACCCCCGACCTCGTGATCACAAATCCTTACCCTTAACTATTAGGCTATTGGCGCATAAGACATTGTACACCGTGTACAATATTGGTTAGAATCTTGTGCAAATATCTTGTACGAAAGCAATCACATCATGTCATGTGCAAAACCATTTACAGAAGTACTCTGATCAACCGACTGTCTAAAGCTTCATATTTCAGTTCCGTCCATTTCCCTTTGACGTGGTCCGGGACGAACGTAACTAGATAACTGAAACAAAGAACACGTTGCCATGGCACTGAGACCGTTTTTGCGGTCTATACGCTGTAAGCTGGTAGCGCACCAAAAGTAATTTATAATCAGGTCTTCAGTGGCTTATTTTAAAGGAAAATACACTTTATTAAAGTAGTTATAGAAACCATTTATTAAAAATGTATTATTATAAATTATTTATTAAAGTGTAAGATAATATTAATTACATTAAAAAGGTTACTATTTACTGAAAAAAAGCATTATTCTGAGAATTATTAATTGTAAGAAAACTATCCGCTGTACAGAGCTGTTTAAAATTTCCTTTATGTATGTTACCCATAGCAAAACAAATGCACACTAAGGGTAATCCTCAGTGACCAATCAATGACTTTTAGTGAACAGTTTGTTATATAGCTTTAAAGTACAATACAAATTGTGGCAGAAAGTATCTAAAAGCGATGCTATGTCAAGAAGCGTTAAAAATCAGGAAGCTTAATCTAACGCCAATCATATTTTAAAAATAGAGCAAATATTTTCGTTCGCTATTAATTGCTCCGAACAGAACGTCGGGGAGGGAAACCTATTTGGTGCATTCATAAGTTAATGAAGTAAGTCGAGAGACGAGACTCGAGAAGTTTTTGCACTGGATTTAAATTAGTTCCTCATACTAACGCTATTACTGAATGTCGCTTCTTAATTACGACCCCTTGTCTTCGTATGTGAACAATTAATTATATTTCATAATTTATTCTATCATAATAGCCTAATAAACGTAATGACAAAGTTTTATATTAATTATAATTACGTTCACGGGGTCACACATTCTCGTCTAATTTTAATTATATTATTTTAGGAAAAGCTTTTACGTACATCAAATTAATTTGAATATTATTTTTCAGTGATGTAATTGTATTTCATTTAAAGCTGTTCATGTAAAGTAAATTGGGTTATATTCATCATCATCAGCTAACTATACGTCCCCACTGAGCGGCTCGGAGCCTACCCTAAGTTAAGGGTGATTAGGGCATAGTCAACCACGCTAGCCAAGTGTGGGTTGGTTAACTTCACACATATCTCTGAATTTCTTCTGAGATATGTACATAATTTGATATTAGTTAATACGTATCTGTCATATTCGGCGTGACAAACTTTTATATTTAAGCGTTATGACAAGGAGAAGAAAAATATTGGGTTGCCCAGTAAGTTCGTGCCGCTTTATAAGGAAAATTGAAACCCTGTTCTCTTAAATTTTTGGAAATGTTTTTAAATTATATTGGTACGACTCTATACCTAAAACGTCTTTTATTATTGGATAAAATTTTAAAAATTAGTTTTTATCTCAACCAATGAAATGAAATTATTCACAATATAGAAATTTTTGTGACGTTTGATAATGGTGGAAATCCGAAAATGAATCCACTTCAGCTACAGTCTATTATTTTACTACTATTGTAAGCTTTATATCGAAAATCAGAACGAACTTTCCGGACAACCTATAATGTTAATACAAAGTGTCAAATGAAAGTAACAGAAGTAGTTTATTCCAAATTGTATCACAAGTATATAGAGATAGGGTTCAATTTTGTCAAATGTACCGATATTTTTGCGCACCTTGACTGCTTCGTTACTTATGACGCTGTGGCTGCTACGATATTTATGAGCATCTTGCATGTACTCATATATTTGACGCTGTGTATGTACCGATGTATTTGAGCAGGGTGAATGTATCTATTATTTTGAGGACTTTTGTTGTACCGATATAATTGAATACTTTTGGTGTACCTATATATTTGCATATCTTGTCTGTGACGATCTATATGACGCTGACTGTACAGGTTGCATCACGATGTTTTCCTTCACCGTAAGAACGTCGGATAAATGTACATATGTAAATCGGTAATCCAAAAACACATTGGTACAAAGCGGGATTCGAACCCAGGACCTGCAGATTACAAGTCAAGTGTTTACACCTTAGCCACCGACGCTCAATATAGGTATAAGGTTATATAAATACAGTTGTATTTATCATCCTGTTGGGAGCTATTGTAAGAGTTTATCAGTGTATTTATTGGACTCTATTTTTCGCATATTCTTACTTAAATTTTCGTCGCTACGTTTTGTTATCATAGTTTCAGAGTTAGATTTTTCGCTGTCAGTTTCGTAACATTGATTAATTTCGATTGGCTTTTTTAAACTTTTCTAATTATAAAACGAACGATTCTCTCCGAAATGTTACACATAGTCAGGTTTTTTTTTTTAATGGTAAAACTGTAAATAAACAATTTTAAAGGGTGAGTGTCACAATATTAATAAAAATATTTTCCTCTCTCATACTTTCTAGTATCAAGTTGTGCTGACATACTAAAGCAGACCTAAGTGTGTTCGTTTAACGAAACGGCCGCCAGACATCTGCTTACTGTCCACTCTAAGTTAAAGTTACTACCGCTAGCCTTCTGCAATTATAACAGCTTTTCTTATAACTTGATAACGTAACTTAGTACGGGATAACGTCATAGCTCTTAATAGAAAATGTTGTCTTAATCATTACCTATCCGTTTTATAAATCTTAGTTCTTATTCCTACTAATATTATAACTCGAATATTTAGATGGATGGTTGAATTTTTGTTTAAGTATCTCCGAAACGGCTCAACAGATCTTGATGAAGAACATAGTCTGGAAGAACACGTAGAGTACTTATATAGTTTTTTTATTATTAATTATTCGCGGGCGGAGTAGTGGACGACAACGTGATACAACGACGTGAATAATCCTACAGCTAATCTGTTAATTTAACTAATTAACGTTAATTAATGATAAAATATTTGTTCCTTTCAAATTACATAGTATGTTTTAAGCAAAGTCAGTTAATAAATTGTATGATTACTTTAAAATTTCTCTTCGCAAAGCATAACTTGTTTAATTTCAACAAAAAGTATCTCGTAAAGGATTCAAAGTAGATAAACTACGATGTTCTTATTTATGTTTCTGTCAGTTAATTGCAAATGTTTTAATGACGTTTATTAATATTACTAGATTAATTACTTGCGTTTTATACAGATACTAGCTGTTGCCCGTGACTCTATCTGCGACTTAGTAACCTGTGTGATCTTCCAGGCTATGTTCTACATGTATGTCAAATTTTAGCGAGATCCGCCTTTCCGTAGATGCCTTCTAACAAACATCCATCCATCCAAACATTCACATTTATAATAAGATTTTCTTGAGTTGCATAAGTTTTTATTAATTTTTTATCAATTATTATAAGTAATTTATAAACATATATATTTATTTGTTGACGAATTATATATCGAATTCTTTAAAAATTACCTTTAAATGTTATAATTAACCACGAAGATAACCTCTTTTATAATTGAATAAGCTGTATTCAAACTGTATTCGTTTTTTGTGAATATTACAAATAATTATTTCATATTCCTAGTAAGGAGGTCAATTGAAAATTTATATAAATATTAATTCCGAGAAATTAATTAAGAAATATGCTTAGATTCGATAGAAAAGGCGCACATCAAAGGTTTTACGTTCTTAGAACTTTATATCGTGGTAATCAACTGTAAATGGAAAAGTTTTATGTAACACAAAAAGGATGAAACAAATTAATAGAAGAAGGTTAAAAGACAAAACAGCATAAAATACTTAAGAGAAAGTTAATCATAATTTGGAAGGCATTCGGGAAAGTCTCCATGTTCAACTTTGATACAGGCTGATGATAATGATGAAATGGTAAATAAAACTTTTGTGCACGTAAATGCGTAGATGGTAGATTTCTAATTGTCTATAAAAATGTCTTCCATTGAAAAAAATGGATATATCGAATACAATGAATTATACACAGGCAAATAATATTTCAGCACCTCCTTACATAAATTCAAAAAAACTAATTTCTACATCTCCAGAGGCACAGACTTAAACATAATGTTGAATTAAGTATTTTGTTACTTAATTGTTATATAACATATTTATTTACATTTCCATCGATGTTGTACATCTGTTGTTAGATAACTTATCAGTTTTGTTATGTTGTCTATACTATTAATTTTGTGAATTTTGCTATAAATCTATAAATAAATAAAAACCAATGCACTGTACAACAGAAACGAGTATCTTGTCATCTGATTTTAACGGAAATATGCTAACAAAATGTACAAATCATTAAACAAGAGTTCATGTGAGCTGTCAACTGGAGACGGGGTTTGTTCGCAGTTGGCGCTTTTAATTTGCGGCTGAAATCTGGCCGCAGGACGTGAATTTTGCTTAGAGTTTTGACACTTTTCAGCGAACGTACGATATACATTTGCTACTGTTACTATTGATTTGGTATAACACGAAAAAAACACGAAGCCCGTTATCAAAATACTACGTAAAATAATTCTATGTATCTTTTAACATATTCTCTTTGCCAAGACATTATAGAGGCTTCTTTCGTTTTAATCAAAATCCTTAGCATTCCATTAATAATAATTATCTTCATTTGCTCTAAATAATTTCTCTTTATAATGTATATCTAAGAATTGCAAAATAATGATCTACATATACACTTTATTACTTTAGTGTGGGAGTAAAACAATCTTATTTTCTTTGAAGGCAATTTTTACGAACAATAACAGTTCAAAGAAATTGTGTTACATTTTAATATTATACATTCCATAATTCTAAAAATAAAAAAGTAAAAAACATTACGAAACGCTACTAATATAGAAATATACTTATCATATGTAAATCGTACTTACTATCGAATGTCTATCAAAACTAGTGCAGTGGAAATTTTGTTAAAGCCTTTGTAAGGCCAGCGGGTATTCAATGCTCGCTAATTGATTAATTCCCATGCTCTGGTCGATACTACTATAGGATCGTAATTACCCAACCTGTTGCGTACATTACCGTGGTGTCATTGACAATCTCACGGTACTGGCCAGCTGGATCGTGTTAATAGGTTATTTATTTATTCATATACAGAAGCAGAAATTCTTGGTTTTATCTGTTGCGTGTTTATAGGCGCTTTCTTATTTTTTTTTATAATCTACTAATATTGTCGGCCACTCAGTACGTGAGGAATTAAAAAAAAACTTAAGTAGCCTATGTTCTTTCAGATTAAGTCACGTTTTAGTTCTTTTAAGAGTTTGAAAGAACAAAATAATCATATTAGCCTAAGAAAAGAAGCAACAGCGGGACATGTAGGGTACAGCTTGATAATGATAAAATTAAATCCTATGGTTGAATTGCAATTTTTATTATTTTAATTGTAAATTATTGTTATTAACATAAAGAAACAAACGTTCACAATATATCAAAGAAAAACTTTCACATCATAAATATGAGAAATCTTTTAAAAACATCCACAAACATTTTGATGTAGAGTAACATGTTTGTTCTGCCGGGCAAAGCTGGTTATAATGAAGTCGTCAAGAGTCGGGAGATCCGACGTTATACGTTCTCTGTTTTATAGGGGAGCTTCGGACGTGGTTAGCAATATCTTACCCGGGTTAAATCTCCCTTGTCTTATACCCCCCGTCAATATCTAGCGACAAATTACCATACCATAAACTACCAACGCTTATTCAGCGTAATGCAAACATATTTCAATATTAACTTTTGTTTATTGGCTGTAGATATTTGGGAAAATAGCTTTATAAAACTCCAGAATAACAATCTATGGCAGATTCTACTCATATTAAAGCTTTTTAATAATTAAATTTATAATCGTTTGTAGCATATAAAAAGTTAAATTAATTTTACATAAACACAAACCGCACGATCCCTGTTCCGAAAGCTTAAAGTATTGTTTTTGACACTTTTCGTGCCACCAACAATTTGATATCAATTTAATGTTTTAAATTGTAATTTTGTTATTTTATATAACGTAATAGTGCCCACGGAAATGTAGTCTTATATACTATGTTAAAATTAGTCTCTAGCAAAGTAACCAGGTTAATGAATGGTTCAATCTCCTAATGAAACTTACAACTGAACAATATAAGAATACTACGGACTCGCTTGCAAGCAGTAGTTGCTAATATTTTCTCGACTTTATTCCGACACCTTTGACCGTCTGTTGCTATTTTATCGCCTCGATTCTTCGTAACAAACGGGATTTGCGGACCAATGCTACCAACAAATTGATTTCATTAATTATTAAGCGGAATAACTCTTTTGTATTATTTCATCGCGCTCACGTTTACAAAGCGTATGTTAAAACCAAATCAACAATATTCATGTTATTCCTGTAATGCTTTTGTCACGTATGTAATGAAATATCAGTTGTAAAAAGTATATTTCGCTTTCAAAGGTGGAATTTGAAATTTTCTAAAACCATGAAACCATGAATTTGGAACAAAACTGTCATCGTACTTTAAGAATCGTCAACGACCGAGCTCTTACTGATCGGCTCGACACTCTGGCGCTGCGGAGGGACGTTAGTTCCCTCTGCATTTTCTACCGCATATACCACGGGGAGTGCTCTGAAGAATTGTTTGGAACGATTCGTGCCGCCGAGTTCCGTCATCGGACGACACGACAGACCGCCAGGTTCCATCCACACCACCTGGATGGCTGGCATTCCACAACGGTGCGATTCTCGCGCAACTTCTTGCCTCGCACAGCCGCGTTGTGGAACGGTCTGTCCTCGGCGGTATTTCCAAACCAATACGACTTAGGGTCCTTCAAGAAGCGAGCCTATCACCACCTCAAAGGCCGGCAACGCATCTGCGGTTCCTCTGGTATTGCTGATGTCCATGGGCGTCGTTGAACACTTCGGTGTTCCCGCTGCTCGTTTGCCCCCTTCTGTTATAAAAAAAAAAACCTTGAAAACACAGGATCGAAGTTACAAAGAATAGGACACTTTTTTTTTAATTTTGAATTATAAATTAAAAGTACCAAATTACTTTATGACTCAGGTAACGGGTGTGGTCGGCCGAGCAGAAATGCTGTCATCCGTGTTCTTCCTGGGAGCGTTGCTGTGCTACGCCCGAGCCGCAAGCAGAAGACGATATACAGGTAAATTCATGAAGGTATAAATACTTGTATGCAGTTACTCATTGAAATATATTTAATGATAGTTGTTTGTATCCTTTAATATAAATTCGAACAGCAATTAATTATTAAATTCATAAAGTAAGCAAACGGAGTTTAAAGTTCTATCAAACACCTGAATTCCAACAAATTTTCCAAACTCAACACAAACGAAAAACCTTTGGAAAGTTTGAGTTTGTGTTTGCCGCGCACACTGTCGCCATCTATCTCAGTAACGAGCACATAATCTCGTTGAGTCGTGTGTACAGATGTTTGCAGTTCGTTTTTAACTTGTATTTTCCCTTCAAAGGAACGCGAGATGGGCTTCAAAAATTCGCGGTCGAGAGTTCGGATTCAATTAGAGAACCTCTTTTCAAACCGCCAAATAATTGGGATTCCTGCAATTTTAGTATCGTATAACATTGTTTTTGGGATTCTATTTTCCTTTTATTATATTTATTCTCTTTATTTTAGAAACACTTTTCTTATATATTAAAATCAAATATGTTAAGGAATTTAATTTCAAAACTTACCATCTTTAGCAAACATAAAAGTTTTAAAACGAGAAGCAAAAACTTTGTACCCCTTTTGAAGGACATTCCGCAAACGAAGACACGTGAAATATAACAAAGTTAATATGAAAAAGTGCATGAGACTATTTTTAGTTAAATAATATATGAATCATGGTCAACAACTAGTAAATTGAAATGGAAAATAGTTTACTTTTTCCAGTCATTACGCGTTTAATTTAATTAATGCTTGTATAAAACCCAAGGTATATAAATCTGACAGGTCATTTGTAAAGCCACGGTCGACGTGAATGGGGGACAACGGTTTGATGCCAAGCGCACTGCCTCAAACTGATATCTTCAATTTAGGTCGACGATTATTAGATAACGGGATCCGGGATAATTGTTAAACTTTAAAATAACAAACTAGTATAATTCAATAGAATCGTTGAAGTTTTGGTAATAAAAGAAGGGACTATTGATTTGTTAGCTAACCTATTTTCCCTTCCCGCCAATTTTTTTAACAATGACTACAGACTTATTGCTACACTTATATTTAAACTTTAATTAGCAATTATATCCAAACAATAGAATTGACAAATAGCAGCAATTAGCAGCTGTTTCGCAGATTTTATGTGGGTGTACAAAACTTTGATTGTAATTCAGTCTCAACAACTGTTCGCACCTTAGTAGAAATACAACTGTTAATCACTTCTAGTAACTACGAAGCTATTGCACATTACTAACGAGCAAAATATATCACGTCATTGAATAATGTCTACTTTATCTATAAGTTTAAAGACTTTATAGTTCTTACTACTTCATATAAAGAGAAAAGATTTGATTGTTTTGTAATGATAAAATTAATTCATCCCCATTGTTGTCAATAGGCAGTTGAAAATATCATTTGAGGTTGATTAATGCACAATACGTCTTACCCATTGTTTGGTTTTCTAGATTTAAGGCAACTTGTGCAAATATCTAGTTTTAAACACACATTCGTATACTTTTTTTCGTCTCCCTTTCAAAATTACAATGGTTTTTGAACACTCTACCGCCGGGACTCCAATACACAGCAAGGATTCAACCAGACCACTTTGGAAAGTCGATTTAAATATGTGAAGTTTAATAATGTTTCTGGTATTCCAGACTGGCGGTATTTAGTTGCGTGCACGGGTTGTGTGGGCATCGCCATGCTGTGCAAGGAACAAGGGATCACTGTCACAGCTGTCTGCGTTGTCTACGAACTATTTGTGGCGCAAAAGGTTTGTAACTTGGTTCCTATTAAAGAAATAATTTTCTATGACATCAAAAATACTTTAATTGTTATCTAATGTTCTATCACAAATTATAGAAAATATATGTTTAGTAAGTTATTAAATTGTTTTTACATTTATATTTATTAAGTTAACATGACAGAGACTTTGAAAGCTGGTCACTTTGAAGTCAAAGGTCCGAGTCGGAGGCGCGGGTCCCGATGACAAAGACAAAGGCTTTGTTTAGCGCTCGCATCGCTAGTCCTTTGTTGTTTATAATTCTATCTGCTTCAAAATTATATTATGAAACATAGATCGCAATGGATACGTTACAAGCACTACGTGTTGCCTCTCATATTAATTTTGTTTTGTTGTTAAATGTGTAAGTAATATTGTTTGAAGGGTTAATTACACATAATTATATATTTTTTATTTTTTTGAATTTTCATAACTCTTTTCAATATCAAAAAGATTTTTTAAATTGTTTGGCACTACATATGTTATTGGAATTTTGAATGTGTTAATACATTCATGTAAACATCGTGACCGACTATCGTATCCATTTTAGAAAAACAATGTTAACATCAATGTTGCAGCGTCGCGGCTTAGTATTAAACGGTCGGTCATGGCTGGAGGCATGGGGTAAAGCGGGCTGGGGCTGCGGTTGCGGCGAAGCGGCGCGCAGAGTGGCTACCGTATGTTGCGCCACACTGGCTCTGCTGGCCGCACGCCTGCACGTAATGGGCGCACAGCTGCCAGTGTTCACTAGATTCGACAATCCAGCAGGAGCCTCGCCGCCTCCCGCCAGGTAAATAAACCTATGACTCACTGCCATAGAGTCAGTTCATTATTACACCTTAGTAATACTCAGTCTTCCCTAAATAACTCAGTTCTAAATCAAACGCCGTCTCAAAAATTCTAACTGTGTAAAAATCCATCGAACCATCGCATGAAATAAACATTTCTTCCACTTGTATACAAAATAACTAAACTTAAATTATTGTAGCCTTTAAGCCTGATTTACAATCTACAACTTTAGTTCGTTTATTCCAGGCATTTAACATTCGCGTATTTACCCGCGCTGAATGCGTGGCTGTTGACGCTGCCAGAGGCCCTGTGCTGCGACTGGACCATGGGTACGGTGGCATTGCTGCGCTCCTGGAAAGACCCTCGGAACTTAGCCACCGTTGCATTAGCGACACTCCTCATTGCGGCCGCTGTACATGCTTTGAGGACAAGATCTTCTGCATTATCTATGGTAAATATTGTAGTTTGTGCCAGGTTTTTGTTAGCGATTCTGTTATGGATTGAGAAACGCTTGGCAATTTCAACTAAATTTTGTTGTGAATGACTGCTGTTTTTAGACCCGTTAGCAAGACATTCCAGTCCAAGAACATGAAGTGGGACTTTTATCATCAAATTCATTGTATTTTTTCAGGGTCTAGCGCTACTGGTGCTGCCATTCCTGCCCGCGTCGAACCTGTTCTTCCCCGTTGGTTTCGTAGTGGCTGAGCGCGTGCTGTACATGCCGTCGATGGGTTGGTGCTTGCTGGTGGCTCACGGTTGGCGGCTGCTGGCTCGCAGGAGAGCCAGTCTCGCCGCCGCAGCACTCATCTTTCTGCTCCTAGCCTTCAGCGCCAAGACCTACGTCAGGAATTGGGACTGGAAAACTGAGTACTCGATTTTTGCGTCCGGACTTAAGGTACGTTAAAAATAATCAATTTATTTATCTTTTTAACTCCTTATTTACTGGAAATTTAACCTCCCCAATATCTAATTTAAATGTTGAAAACTAGTTTTTGGATTTTTTTCATTTTTATTTCATTTTTACGATATTTAAAAACTTCGATTGTATCAATATAATAATAACAGTGAGGAAATTAAAAATGAATTTCAGGTGAATCGTAACAACGCGAAGCTATATAACAATGTAGGCCACGCTCTTGAAGCGGATGGGAAATACGCAGAAGCGTTGCAATTCTTTAACACAGCAGTGAGCGTGCAGCCTGATGACGTCGGCGCACACATCAACGTCGGCAGGACATACAACCACCTCGGACGATACCAGGAGGCGGAGGAAGCCTACGTCAAAGCCAAGTCCCTGCTCCCTAAAGCGAAACCTGGAGAATCCTACCAAGCTAGGATAGCTCCGAACCATCTCAACGTTTTCCTAAATCTAGCCAATTTGATTTCCAAAAATGTGACCAGATTAGAAGAAGCAGATATGTTGTACAGACAAGCGATCAGTATGAGAGCTGATTACACTCAAGCGTACATAAATAGGGGAGATATTCTTATCAAATTGAATCGTACGAAAGAAGCCCAAGAAGTTTATGAGAGAGCGTTATTATATGACAGCGGAAATCCTGACATTTATTACAATGTAAGTATTACCAATGAATATCCTTCCATAGATTTTCCTTACTTGCCGTCGCCGCCGAACAGTAGCAAACTTTATTTATTTATTATTATTATTTAATATTATATTTAATATTATATTATATTTCGTGATTTTTTAAATATTAAATTTGAATTGAATTTAATCGTCTTAAATATCATTACTGTTAGATCGTAGATAACTATTAGAAAGAATCAGAACATTCTTTAGAAAACGCCGACGAGTATTTCATTGCTACCATGTTAATGGAAAGTTCTCAATTTCTTGTCGTAGTTTGTGTGTTAATACAATATTGTGTGTAGCTGGGCGTGGTGCTGCTGGAGCAGGGCAAGGCGTCGCAAGCGCTGGCGTACCTGGACAAGGCGCTGGAGCTGGAGCCGGAGCACGAGCAGGCGCTTCTCAACTCCGCTATCCTGCTGCAGGAGCTTGGCGCCGCCGACTTGCGCCATCTAGCCCGGCAGCGACTGCTCAAACTGCTCGATAAAGATGGTATGATGCTGGCACTTATCTGGGTGTTCGAACTTTATACAGCAGTTGCATTTCAATTTTGTGGCTAGATACTAGCTGGTTGATTACTTATTCTATTATTGTATTTGTTCTATGAATAATCGTGGCCTACAGACAATTTTTTGCCATATTGATAATCAGTCAAAAGGTAATATTTGTTTTTTTACCATTCTTTTGTAAATTTCTATTATTTTAAACCGATTCTTTACTTGGGGTAGATTGCGAGCACCTCGGCGTGGACGTATTTGAGCTGAAGACAATCTGTACATTGTTTGCAGCGACGAACGAGCGCGTGCACTTCAACCTGGGCATGGTGTGTATGGACGAGGGCGACGCCGCGTGCGCCGAGCGCTGGTTCCGCGCCGCCGTGCGCCTCAAGCCTGACTTCCGCTCCGCGCTGTTCAACCTCGCGCTGCTGCTGGCGGACCGCCGCCGCCCGCTCGAGGCCGCGCCCTTCCTCAAGCAGCTCGTGCGACACCACCCGGACCACGTCAAGGCGCTGGTGCTCCTCGGCGACATATATATCAACTCTGTCAAAGATCTCGACGCTGCGGAGAGCGTGAGTATCACTTTTCACACCTTACATTTCCAAAGTCAGTGTGTTTAATTAATTGCTTGTTAGCAATAGCAGATGTTATGTGATATATAACCTATCTAGATTTTGCCCGCGACTCTTGGAGATTCGTGGAGTCTTTCTAGAGATACGTAGTGATAAACATCCATCCAAACTTATGCAATATAAGTAAAAAGTAAGATTTTGTCCAAAACATTGCTGTAAATGATGACGAGATGTAATGAAATGAATATTAAAAATCCATTTCAGTGTTATCGGCGCATCTTAGAGCTGGAGCCGGACAACGTGCAGGCATTACACAACCTGTGCGTGGTGGCGGTGGAGCGCGGCAAGCTGGCCGTAGCCGAGGAGTGTCTGTCCCGCGCCGCCGCCCTCGCCCCGCACGAGCACTACATACAGCGACACCTCGCCGTCGTGCGCACGCGCCGCGCAGCACTCGCATCCCCCACCCCGCACGCATCCCACACACCCCACACGCCTCACACGCCTTCCAGCGCCAGCGAGGTCCGCGCGCGCTGGAACTACATCCCCCAGCAACCCCCCGACCCTCACGAGACGGACCCCTCATAGCGAACCTAAGAGAACTGAACCGGTTTACAATCTGGGTTATATCAGCAGTTCAGTAATTTGTCGTATTGTGTAAAATATTTAAAAATTAAAAAAAAAACAATGACAAAGATTATAAAAGTACCCAAAATGTTTTTAGTACTTTTTTGACCGAATAAAATAAAACTATGAACCTTCGTAATTGACTTTTTATTTTTTTCTTTTCTAATATAACAATTCAAAATATGCCAAAATTCCTATCTGCTGATATAAAACCCTAAATTGACCTTGTAAATAAAATTGTTTAGAAATAAAAAAAAAACTATATTTGTGAAACACCAAGAAGTCGGCCAGTGATGTCTGCTGTGTATTTAATCGCATTATCTGTTGCTGTCATCAGGGTACCCTTACATATTATTTCACCTTCCGATTAAAACTTAATTTAATATTGAACCGTATAGAAACAACCGTGAAATAACGTCATAGCATTTACCATAAAATATTTTTTAATCGACTTCAAAAAGAAGGAGGTTATTAATTCGTCCGTATTTTTTTTGTAACCTGCCAAAAAATGCTGTTCGAAACTTTTCCCAGATTTTAATGTAAAGTTACATATTCAGTTTTTATTTTTGTTATATTTAAATAATAAATTTAAAATAACATGAATACGGCATTTTTCTGCCATTTACTATGTTTTCGTACTAAGATGTTATTTCACGTTATTTAAATCGTAAAAGTAACGTAAAATAAAATACTATGAAACAATAAATTTCAACAGAGAAAATGTAGATTTCTTAATGAAATGTGTAGGTTTGTATGTTAGGCTTAATTTGCCGTGATATTACTTTTACGTATACCTCATATTCGTAAATATGTAGAATATGTTGGAACGAGCTTTCGTCATTAGCGGTGTATACGGACTTGTGTGTATTTATAACAATAGAGATAATATTGTAAAGACTAAGCCGATTCCAATTTAAATGTATTTATTAAATTAGATTGTTTTTACTTCAGCGAACAAATAATTCAAGTGTGTGTCGCTTCGATTTTATATGTACATAACCTACCTAACCTGTCAGTAACATTTACTCTGTGGCTCGCGTTGTACACAGATAATATTTTTTTTTGTTTCACATAAATTGTGTCGTTTTTTTTTTAATTAATAAAAATTTTGATTTAATTTGCGTACATCTATTGCTAATAATAAAATTCAAGCGATTGCATTTAAGAAATATTCTCTGTAATGAGTATTGTCTGAAAACGACTGAACCGTGAACAACATTTTTAAAAATAAATTGTAAAATGTAGACGTTACACTAGTTTTATTACTTGCCATTTAATTTTAATATCAAAGAAAATAAATCATTTTTGTTTAAATGTTTTATGCCTTTTTTATTATACTTTGGGTTTCATTATGGAATTTTTAGACATATTCTTTGGAAAATAAATACATGATATTTCGGGTAAAAGATTTTTTATTACAGCTTCGATAACTTTATTTATGTATTTATTATTATTATATGTATTTTAAATAAATATAATTATTTTATAAATTATTGTAACTGGGCCTAGTCTTCTATATTATTAAAGTCGATTGGAAATCATTATCTGTGTCATAAATAGTTATTTTGTTAAACGCCATGTTATATTGTGTTGCCACTAACGAAATACGAACAAAGACACATCGTTATCTCTTTCAGTCTTCTTGAATATAACAGAGATAGGTATGTTTTTGTTGTTTCGTAGGTGGAAACCCAATGGTAAAAGTGATCGATCGTTATTAGATGTAGATGTGAAAGTGTAATGTTGTTAATGTTTTAAGATGAAAAAAAGAATAATAATAACTTTTGTAAAAACTGAAATTTTTTACAATGTCTTGAAACATTTGTGGTGGACAATTCAGATGGGAGTTGATGAAATTGTAAGGACCCCGAAATTATAAACTATTTGTCGTCAAAACATTTATTTTTATAAAATAAATGAGGTTTCAAATTTATTTACAATTTGTTTCACTACACTTAACAAAATCCTCCGCTAATCAATCATAACGTTTGAGCAAGACTCATGTCTTTGCCTACAAAAAATCTAAATTCTAAATGGTTATCAAGATAAAACTTTCTAATCATATATTTATAATCTATACCTAATCCGAAGAACAAATTTAGGCGAAAAAAAAGTCCATGTTGTCATTTCCAACAAAATGACGACGAATCGACTTACGATTAATCGTCAAACTTGTAGGTTTATTTATATGTTTTTAATATTCAACAATTCATTGATAAAGAAAAGCCGATGGAGTACGAACAGGTATGAGCCTCGTTCCACCATTAGCAGTATCGAAAACACAATATTCCCTTCCGTTAATTATTTTCCTTTGCGTCCTGTCAGTTATCTTGTATTGCGGTTTGCCGCCAAAAAGCGAATCGTATGGAGGAGGTCGACTATCATCATAGCTATGGTCAACAAATCTTACTCTGGATTTTTTCCTTTTTCTTTTATTGTCCTTGTCTTTGGTATTTGCATTCATACATTTCGATCGCTTGATGAATACCTGAAAATTAAAAAAAAATTCAAAATAAGTATTATTATGAGCGTCGATGGCTCAGAAGTAAAGCACTTGACTTGCAATCTGCAGGGTTCGAATCACGCCATGTACCAATGTGATTTTAAATTTACGTATGTACACTTTTACAATGGTCTTACCGGTGAAGAAAAACATCGCGATGCAACAGATATCTGCGGAAAAATTCAAAAGATATGTATTAAGTCAGCCCCGAGCCACCGTATTTGACTATGGATCTCAATCTATCAAGAAAGATCTATGTACATATGTACCTCTCCAATAAATACAGCGGTCGCGGTCGCCAGTCCGATGGCCATTATGATGTATGTCATCATAAGATCCCTGTTGCTGAGCTGGCGGTCCTTAGACTGCAAATCAAGGGGACATATCTTGGTGGTCGGCAGGTCGCGGTGTTCGAGGTAGTTCACTATACCCGCTTTCAAGAGATTCGTTATCCTATAATAAAAAAATATTAACCATATTAAAGATTTTCAATTTTAAACATTTGGCGTGTTCTCTTTACCAAGTCAAGTGTCAGAATGATTAGTAAGGGGACATAAACGTCGACATTTTAGTAAGGCCTAGTGTTGCGGCAGTACACCGGCACAGTGTCGGATTTTCTTCCTAACAAAACTGATCTTTTATACATGCTATTCATAAAAATGCAATGAAGATGTTAGTGGATTTTTACAAGCTTTTATTTTATAACTACAAAAAGAGGTGAAAAGTTTATTAGGACTTTGAAAGTACAGATGAAAGTTGTTGAAACTACTGATGTACCTACCAAATAATTTACAAAATCTACGGACCATATAATCTTAAATGTAATCTGTCAAATACCTACACAGTATCAAAGAGTATCTTCAAGGTCGTATTATTAGGATACGCGAATGCTCTTTGCTTCTTCATAAAGAACTGTGGTGCGACAACATAGGTGCATCTGTCGCCTTCATCGACACCCTCCCTGGCCTTCCTCAAGTAATCTCCGTACATTAAATGGTCTATAGCTGTCTGCTCCTTCACCAGCACTGCGCCAGCGCGGACAATAGGAAGGTAATCTTCGTCTTTACTAACAGAACGAAACTGTGCTCGACCGTTCGATACCATTTTGTTTAGATAATATAATTCTTCGTCGGGCTGTGGAAATATGCAAGTTAACTTCTTTCTGTTTTACTCCGAGTTTAGTGGTCAACAATACTATTTTTAATAGTTATTAGCTAGGGAATGGAAAAACTGACAAATAGTTTTTGAGTTATCTATGTGGATCTTAGGTATATAGAAATATGTAAGTATCATAGTATTTTGAGGTAATTTATATATCTATTTTAAATTCTTTTGATTCTCTAGGGGCGTGGTTCCGGCGACGCCTTGTTGGAGACGATTTAAATTTCTATCATAAATGTATAATATTATTTTAATTATTTCAAAATGTTATAATGTCTGTAATTAGATACAAAAATCATTTTAGATTACATTTCTTATAGTATACTGCACAGCGCCACCCTCAGCAGCGACCCATCTGTAGCTTTTCTTGTACAGGTCCTTGGGACTTTCAATGTCCAGGGTGAACTTGGAAAGCGTCAGAAAAGCCGTCAGATTAGCTGTGTAGAACGCAGACAGTAGTATTATGAATATCCACCAAGTAGCGAATAGGACACGGGTTGTGTCTATAATCGAGCAAAGAAAAAAATAGATTAGATGATTTGTGAATGAAGTCATTTGAAATGGAGGAAAACTAGTCTTAACTATAGTAACATAATCCGTTCTTCAAATCATATTTAACCTTTTTTTGTTTCAATCCCTCAGATTATTTACAGCCAATAATTGCCGCGAAAAAGTATTTACTTGTTTCCTATAAAAACCAATATTGTAAGCGATAAGTCATAAGCCTGTATATTACGTAATAATATATTAACAACATTTATGTATCATGTATATTTATAGGTCAAACTATAGAAAGCCTAAAAATGATCATTAAGGCATACATATTATGAAAATATATGTAATCAAAGTAAGCTTAAACACAAGTTATATACAAACAGGCGTCATAATATACAAATAGTAAGGCGTGACTAAAGTGTGATTAACGACGACCGCAATTAAATATGATAATATCAAACGAAATCACTAGAATTATGGAAAAATAAATATTGGTTTTTAATTTGAACAATACAACTATTTGCTTTATATTTACAACAATATTCCATAATAATAAAAGCTAGTTCCTTTGCTGAAAATATGTTAATTAACCATCTCCAAACACTTAAATATAAACACAGGAAGAAGACAAACTACATTTTGGTCGTAGGGCTTTTTGTATCGCCACTTTTCTCTCATGAAAAACATTAATCTTTGCTTTTATTCTTTTACGTTCGGATCCGTTTAAATTAACTATAAGTGAATACTAAATAAAGTCAATATTACATCAACATGCGCATTTACTTACTAGCCTCCGGCGCTAAATTAGTTCCTTGCTTGATGTAGGATCCATACACGAACCAAATACTCTCTGACAGATCTATGGGTCCCTCTTTATCCCTAACTAATTTGGACCTTATGCGCGTCAGGAATGTTATGCACGGTCCATAGGCAACAACTGCTGCCAGAATAAGGTACCTGATAAATAAATTCTATTAATAAAATCGATATACGCATCGGTAATCATTCAATTCTTGCAAACATACTTGAAATAAGATCAAACTAAGATCTAAACTATAGTCAAGTCAATAAAGGATTGATATGTACCTACTTGGTCAAATATTAACAATAGCAAGTTCCGCAAATCCTTTACCGTAGGCACTCTGACTCTAACTTAACGTAAAGTAGAAAATATCAATTCAAGGTTATGGCTAAAAAGATGCGACAGTGGCGTCCACATCCCTATTAAACATCATCTCGGTTATTCATCTGATACTGCTCCCTTTCTGTATTTGTGCATCGTTTCCTCATTGCTAGCCTGACCCTTAGCTTACCAAACATATGTTTCAAATGGAGCGAGCAAGCCCGAACCGGCGGCGGATTCCTTGGGTCGTTTCAGCATCATCATCCACACGCCTTCATCCAAATCATTAGAGAACGTTGCCTTTTTATTGAACTTTACCAGTCGCGTCAAAAATGCTGCAGCCATGTCTACCTTCTAATGAACAATTATCTTAATATTTATGACATTTACAGCTAACCTATTTTTTTTAATATAAAAACTTTAAGCTAATATTATCAACCGCTTCCTTTATAGAGATAATAAAAGATTGAAGAAGAAAGAAGAAAGCTGCTATTATAATATGGGATAAAATTCTTACACTACTGTTAACTAGATTGATCAGAGAACTTTCTGGCCTGCCGCCGCCGAATTCATAGTTAGTCTCCGGGACCACGACCTCGAAAGTGAAATTAAACTTTTGTCGCAAAATTTCCACGATAGCGAATGCGACTCCATGACCCGTAATCGTTCCATTGCTTTCTGTCTTCGTCCAGCTCAATGGATAATTCTTAAATCAAAGTAAAACTAGATCTAATAACTAACTAAAAGTTTTAAAAAAGTAAAGAAATATCTCACATTTGCCTGTGTTTTTCAACTTTGAAGAATGTTTATTATAGACCTTATAACTAGTTAATTAATAATAGAATTCATCGCTGTATAAAGTACGATAATTTTACTTACATTATAAGTTCCAATTCTTAACAATTTTCCGTTGAGATCGTGGGTCAAACTCATTTCATTTTTCTCGTATGACGAACGAGACCCTAGTTAAAACATTTGTAAATTTGAATTTCGAATTACATTAGAATCCAAAAATTGCCGCCATCTTTCTAATAAGCGCAAAAATCAATTAGAAAACCTACCAGTTGTTGGATTGTTGTATACATTTTCGCAAAAGCTTGCGTTGCAAACCGCTGAAAATATAAGATCTATTCCGGAAGCCATGGCATAATAACAACTGTCATTTGCAAACTCGGCTACTGCCCTGGTGTATGGTCAACGTGCCTAGCATCGACTGAAAGCAAAGCGAGGATGCGCCTTGACACAACTTACGTGACCGCCCCTGTGGTGTTATGATTAATGTCCGTTGGAAAGTATGGACATTCTTATAAAAGATTTATCGCATATTACTTAAGAAAATATAAAAGTGACAATCCTAAGTAGAGTTAACATATAAAATACATGATAATTCAGCACAACACTCTTCCAAGCTATGAACTTGGTGAAAAATCTCTTTTTTGATCCCAAATAGATAATGTCAATGTCCAAAACTACTTTTTGCATACAACTCATATTCAATCTTGAAGCAACAATATCGCGTGTTGTAATCCGCAATTTCTAGTCCTCTCTCTTTCTTCTGTCATCCTCCATTATCTCCTGTTACAACACAACATCCACTTTCTAATTGTAATCATTTAAACGTCTAATAGGTATAATAAAGTAATAAAAATGTTGCTGTTATTATTTAAAGTCTTATCTATATTTTTCTTTTCTCATTAATATTCTTTATTGGGGTGACGGCATGGCAGCTTGGGTAAATTATTGTCATAGGTTGTAACAACAGTAGCCGGTATGGTTATGTAAAGTTATTCATCCATTACCGTGGCAAATAGGAGGCAATCATGCATATTGGTTTTCAGTATATTTACATCATACTTCAAACGCTTTATGGTATTGCATTTATCATTATGGATATTAGTGTCCTCTTTAGATGAGACTGAAAGATTAGTCTAAACATACTAAGTATATTGGAGTAATTTCGTCAGTAATCGTAATCACTGATTAATAACCGATTGAAGGTGATGTTTAAAATATGCAACGAATTAATAGAAATAGAGTTTTCCTAGGTTTTCCAAAGTTCTAAATTTCTCGTGAATGTCACAATAATTAGCAACGAGCTAGATCGATTTCCCGCAAATTTAATTTATGTATGTGCAATTTTCTCAAAAATCAAAAGATTAATTTAATAAGTTAAAATAACAATTGTTACAAAGATAAATTACGATTAAAGAGGATTTATGCAAAGGTTTCTAAACGATTAATGTTTCTATGTTTCAGAACTGAACTGACTCCAGATTCAAAAAGTCAAAACAAACACCTAACCTATCTTTAAAAAGCTGTCTATTTTCCTACATTATAAAAAATCTTCAACTGTACTAATAAAAATACTTTAATTAATAATGAGGGACGTATATATATCACACTGTGAAAAGGATTTTTTGCAAAAAATTGTAACAGGGGGTCGTGTAAGTGTCGTTGTATTGCGAAGTGTTTTTCTCTTGAGTTTAATAATTGTTGAACTTTCCGTCCTACTTTCAGCGATTAGATGGCAGAAATTACAATGAAAGTCGTAAACTTAACATTTCTTTTGGTTCCGAGTATGGGAGTTGTATAGTTTCTTTGGGAGAAACAAAGTAAGTTTTTAATTAACAACTTAAAATTAAAAGATAATATGGGTACTAATTGTAATCAATTTTAGGGTATTGTCCCAAGTATCTTGTGAAGTTGTGCAGCCAAAACAAATCAGACCAAATGAGGGTATTTTGTTTATAAATCTTGAAATAACTCCAATTGCGGGCCAACAGTTTGAAGCAAATCGTCAAACTGATCTTACTGTGTATTTGAACAGACTTTTAGAAAAATGTTACAAAGACTCTAAGTGCATCGATCTTGAGTCTTTGTGTATTGTTGTTGAAGAAAAGGTACTTTCTGTATATTACTAATTAATTACATATTACACATATACAAATATCACCTTTGAAAAATGTAGACATATTGAGATCATAAATTCCAATACTCTTTTAACATAATACCTAATTGGGCAATTGGAGTGCAAAGCTATTTTTAATCAAAAAAATCCTTTGATTTTGAATTATAATTGAATTTTGACCTATGGGCAACTAATATGCTTAAATATTTAATCTGCAGGTATGGTCACTAAGAGTGGACTTAAAAGTACTAAATCATGAAGGCAACTTAATAGAATGTGCAAGTATAGCAACATTAACTTCATTGGCACATTTCAAAAGGCCAGATGTAACACGGAGTGGTGACAAAGTAATCATACACACATTGGCAGAGAAGGATCCGATACCTACTGTACTATACCACTATCCTGTCTGTTTGACATTTGCTATATTTAATGAGTGAGTATATCTTTTTAGACAATAATTTCATGTACCAAATAATGTTTTCAATATCTTTTAAGCTAGAGTAGACAACTTTTGTGTTTGCCATCATATAATATGTAATTTTGTGACCAAGAAATTATGCCTTTAATGAAAATGAATAGAATTTTGTAATACTCTAACCCTCTCAATATGCTATTGAACCTGGATAAGCTAGAATCTTTTAAAAACAAGTCATTGTCCGGTTCTGACGAACAATCTTCATAAATGAGAAAATCCGGTTAAAGAGAAACCTGTATAAGGAAAAAAGAAATTGAGGTTGATTGGACTCTAGCTTATCTTAGTTTGATTGTAAAAGACTAGATAACTTTGAAGTGTTTTGTTATATCAGATATTGTTTCTATAAGACACATACAATTTCATTTTCAGTCTTCTCATATCAGATCCAAATTTCCTTGAAGAGACAGTTTGCATGAGTAACATGGATGAAGGCGGTAACAGAGGTGGGATCCTTGTTGTTGGCATGAACCAGTATAAAGAGTTATGTTTGCTAGACCTGACCGGAGCGGCTATTGACAACTCTAATATTGTACATAGAGCTTTATTAGTTGCTGCAGATAGATGTAAGGAGCTTGTTGATTTGGTGAAAAGTACTATTGTTGATGATGATACTGCCAGGTAATGGAATATTTTTTTTTCATTATATTTTTTAACACAGTTGTAAAAAGATGCCAGATTGAAATCCAATGAAATTACATGACATCTTTAACAAATATCAAACCATTAACATTTCATTGGAAATTACTTATTGATAATCAATTGAGTTTACTCCGTCTTAAGGCTGCAGTATATTGATTAATTTTTAATTTTCAATTGAGATTAATTTGATTATTTAGACTTTGGCTTTGTATGTATGCTTGGTGCAGTCTGTTGTATGTTAAAAATTTATACAAATTTCAGACAAAAAAGAGTAAAGAAAAACTTCTCGGATATTATAACAACAGAGCATATGCTGTCACTGAATAAAAAGGATTTGAGCATTTGTCTTAAAAACTACAATGTTGAAGACATTCAAAATCCACAGGACGAGGAAATGGAGGATGAAGATGTAAAACCAGAACCAAGCAAATATGATGGTAAGTTTGTTATCTTCATAATTTAACTGAAGACTTACCCGATAATAGATCTTGATCCATTTTTGAAAAAGATATAGAGCCTATAAGAACTTACTGCATTACCATATAAAATATAGTTAGACACTAGTTAAAGACATGTTTTAACACTTTGAATGCTAGTGAGATTGTAATGGAGCTCAAAGTTGTTATATGTTTCACCGTACTGCTTTTGGTAAAGTATTTCATTATTATCGGTCAAGAAGTCATTTCGCAAGCCTAAACATAATAATGTTTTTAATAGCCATAATTTGTCAAAAATGCGCACGCCGGGGGTAGTAGTCACGGTATAAAACGGTTGACGTATGTTTAGCTAAAATGTATTTAAAACATTGTCTAATTTTGTATAATAAGTTTCATAATTTTTTTTTATAGAATAGATTCATTTTTATTCATATGGTTCAAATTCAAGCAATCTAGTTTTCGCCAGCAATCTAAAAATCTAACCGAAAGATTAAAAGAAAATGTTTCATCAATTAAATTTTCTAATTTATATAAAATTAACTTCAGATGTATCTAGTAGTGAAATAATGGGTAAAACAAATTAAAGAAAATTAATTTCTTTTCCAGTAGTACCTTCACTACCACAGACTGCTGAAATTGTTGCTCAAAAGGGTGCTTCAACGTGGATAGAAATATCATCAGGTTCAGAGGAAGATTAACAAAATACTTTTGTCAAATAAAATGTAATAAAAATTACATTTTAGTGTTTAATTATATGTCTTAATGCTAGAATTTTTTTCATATTAACATTGCATTACCCTCATCAATTTACAATCATAACATATTTAATTGTGAATATTGAAGCATCAATCTAATTCAACTAAATGGAAACAAAATTTGAATAAATACATTGACCCATTTAAGGAAAACAGTTACATCTATGAGATCTCTTATGAAATGTAACTCTTTCCTTTAGATGGGTCATCTGATAGTTTTCAAACAAAAGTTTAAAAAATAAATTTATTTACAATATAGAATAAAGATGTATACAGTGTGCTTTAACATAAGTTCATGTAAATAAACCAAAAAACGGTTTTGTATTGCATGCAAAAAATTGATTAGTTAAAATACATTTACAAAAAAATAAAGCAGCAAAAACATTACATGAGTAATTTATTACTTAACTTTATTTCAATTTCATTTTAATCATAAATATACTCATCTTAATTTCTTACAAAAAGTAATGTCATTTGAAGTTTTCAATTCAAGCCAAAAACATTTTGGCAATATAGTTTTTTTTATTCATTTAATATTTCATAATATAAACAGGGTGAGCAATAACTTGCGTACATGATATTTGAAAGTTATTTTCAACTACAATGATTGAAATGACTGGAAGATAAACAAACTACAACTATAATTAAAAAATAATTGTTCATTCACACATATTTACACTGAATCTGAATTTATTCCATTTTTCTGATCCAATTTATTACCATTTGTCTTCACCATATAAATAAAATAAGTCATTATCTCTTTCTCATTTACAGGGAGTGATTTGAAGTGTTTCTGGATAGCCTGAAATAATAAAAAAATATATATTGCAGATTTAAAAAAAAAGAAAAATATGTAAAAAACTGCTACTTTTGGCAGTATGCGTGTAAAAATGTAGCTACTTACATCAGCTAATTGAGCTTTATTTAACCCTGGCCTTGTTGGGACCTTGTAATGTCTTTTGTATCGCCTTAATGTATTCACTTGGAGCTGATACCAGTCAATCTCTGGACAATCCATGTCTGCCTCATTGCTATCGTCTTCAGAGTCTTTAGGCCTCCTTTGTTTTGTTCTTGCACATTGTATCATATTTTTGTGGTAATCGCAAATATAAGTATGCCTTGCCTGAAAATTACAAGTAAAATTATTGGTAATTATAAACAAATATGGGCTTTTTTTTTTTTTAAATTAAATGTCTACAATTGAATGCCTATACCCATTAATATAACACTGCTTAGCCAAGATTGAGGTAAACGGTGCATATTTGTAATTTTACACCATCTGGTTGTCTTTTCTTTCAGGGTATATAGATTCTAGTATATAACTAGGTTCTAAACTATGTTTTATTTTGAGATTAATTTTATTTAACAAATGTTAAATGGATACTAACTTGATGATCAATGTTGAGTTTAAGCCTTCTTTGAGCCACTGTCTTTTGTACGCGTTTGCTGTACGAGGCGTTGCCAGCGGGTCGCCTACAGCGATCCCCGTCATCCACAAGGCAACATATTTGATCTGAATTGCCTCTAGAATCTTCTTCTCCTGTACTAAACCCGTTGTTCATTTGATACTCGCGTTGAATCATATATAACAGATAGATTTAACTTCCTCAGCAGACCTCGCACTTGGCGACGATAAACAGACGACGTATTCACAAAGCCCCGCAACAATTGAGGTTATGGAACGTAATAACACTGATCATTTTCACGAAAATAAATAACTAATAACAAAACAAAAGTGTCCGGTTAATAAAGTTTCACACTGTATTCATCAAATAACATTCAAAAGTGTAATCATTGCACATTAGTCAAATTAAAAGTCTATTGGTATTCACAGTAGCCCACTAATGAGAGTATTTTGTACGTGTTTTACAATTCCTATTTTTGACTTATTATTTAGATTGCCCTCTAATATAACTTATAGAATCAATACTACGATGGAATCTATATTACTTCCCATATAACATAACAATTATATTTCACCGATCGCCATTCGAGTAGACGTCCCGTCACCTTACTCAACGTCAATGCTGTACTGCTGGTATTGTGGTAGTACAGCGCACACTTGCAAACGAGTGTTCAATACAAACGTGAAGTCTTTCAACTACGCTTTCGTAAAAACACTGCATGTTGTGAATGATTGTGTGCGTGTTCAGGGATGCAATGTGTAGGACATCGTAGCTATAGTTAAGTATAAACAAAAAATAAAGCGATCTCAAAGCCGTTGATTGGTTGCCCAGTGGCGGGATATTCAACGCGAGCCAATCAGAAAAAGTTACCGCTGACATCGTCCGCTCATGTATCATTACGATTACGGCGAACAAACGCGAAGTTCCCTACGTAATAAGCGCTGAAATCGTGTGCTCGATTGCAATAAATATTACTCGGTGAGTTTTATTCTTCCCTCTATATAATTGTAATCCAGAGTTATTTTGTTTAAAATAAAGAGTGGAAACATAGTTGATGTAACGAGACAAGTGTTATGTTCAAGCGATATTTATAGTTTTCAATCTAATTTTGTAAGCAAATGGCTGCCGAGTTTCGAAGCTAAGTGACATTATAAAATAATACAAATCGGTAGTAGGTAAGTAGAGCAATATATTATAATAGGAGTTTGTACAAATTGTATTTCATAGTGCGTCGTTTTACAATTAAACCACATTTTTTTTCTTCTGTCAATAAATGTCTAATAAGTGTGACAACCACAAACATTACATGATAATAGAAAATTTTATCGCGAATGTTGTGGTTATGTTTTGATGCGTTCAATTTACGTTTTTAAACAGAACTAAAAATATTCCTTTATATTTCGTTATATTAAAGGTAGTGAAAAATACGGGGTTTTTGTTATTTCTCATACAAAAATTAGGTATCCACATACGCGCCAAAAAGTGTACCCATATTGTTCCCCTACCGTAATAACTCATGCAATTTTATTATTTTGCATGTTTGCATATTGTTTCTCTAAATAATTCCCCATGGACAATGATAATGTTAATTAAAGATTAATTCTTTGTTTGAGGTTAAAGCTACAATGATTATTTACCGCCTAAATTCGAATTTGTTTATAGAATCGTGCCATGGAAGTTTTGTAAATTACTATGAATTATTATTAACCTGTTTGTGTTTTTCATTTATTTAATTTTACGTGATGTTAATTCATATTTCTATTTTCCAAATTGTAAAAATAACTTAAATGTTTATCAATGCAATCTAATTATAAAATTTTATTCGTGTATTATGGTGAAAGTATGCGTTCTAATACCATTTGCACAATTTTAATTTACACCTATATGAAAATTAGTATTAGACTTTCGTTATCCTTGTATGAAAGTAGGTAAATAACATAAAAACGAATAAAATCGATGACATAGGTACCGACCTATCAATTTGTTTGTGAAGCTATTGTGGTTAAGGTTTTAGATTCGGTTTTGGGGAAAGGGCTTAAGAGCTTAAGGAAGAAAGAGAGGAGAGTGCACTTTTTCCAATACTGATTATCAAACTAATAGGAATGGTCTAATTGGAGATGTGCCGTTTTTGTGAACTTTGAAAAAAGATCCATCATTACGTCAAAAGCGTAAATTTAAAATTAATACTTCGCATGTCCTCATAAACCTCCCTTTGGTTCGTGCTATCTAAATGTTAAGGTGTTGTATTTGAGTAGTCAAGACAGACAACAAATATTTCTGACACCTAATTCTAAATCAGTTAACTATTGTTACTGTTTAACTTTTATTCACATCGAACCGACAGTACTTCATCAAGATAGACTTTGGCGAAACACAAAAGGCGCATGAATACAGAATGATGATTTTATGCAATAATTACGAAAGCCATATATTTTACCGGAAAAGGGATCAACTAGGGACTTAAACATAGCATTTATAGATTAAGTGTTTGAACAATCCTTTAAAATTTTGGTAATCAAATAATTCTTGAAATGTTTTAGACAAGTTTACATTTCATCTAAATTTACTATATGTGTATACTCACTCATGTTTTGTATTCGTACGGAAAATAAATGAAGTTGTAAAAGTCTTTGTTGTTCGCAAGAAATTGTCTGGTAAACACAAGGTCTAATAACAGACATAAGACAACGTGTGCAACACAATTCTATTTTTGGACTACTCAGCTTGAATTTGTCCTTTATAAACTAACACATTTTCTTGAGGTTTGGCTTTATATACATCCAGATACCAAAAAGCATCATTTAAATTGTAAATACAACACAAATATAGGTATTAGTACTTAATTTGAAACAACTTAACGATTCGAATAGAATATTTCAATAGAAGTATTTTTATGTTGTAGATTTGGTTGAATTTATGTTCGTGATGTCAGCAATCAGAACAGTACATCCGTCATTGACTTAGTGTTTCGAACATGTTTTCGGTGAGTTAATTTTTTAATTTATTAGGGGGTTTTGTAACATCACCATAGAGATGCCACATAAGCGTCGCAGCGTCGCTATGTAGTTTATAATATAAATCAAACGACTGTCCCATGATGAGAATCAAAAAAGGTAAGGGAACATCCCCATGGGTCTCAACTGCCGAAACATCTGTAGAAAAACATGTATTCTCAGGTTTTAGTTTACAAAGAAACTGATAGGGTTGCCAAACGGTTAGGTTTTGCGTTACAGCACCGCATTTGGTTCTGTGGTGCCAAACTGACATCATGGCGCCTAACTGCTGTGCCACCTATGTGGCGTCTCTCTTATTGTATTGAGATCTAACGCTTTGCGATACTAATATGCAGGTATAGAAGATACAATAATGATCTATTTTCACAATCCCGACACATCCTTACTTGCTTCGTCTGCATTGAAATGTTTACGCATCCATAATGTAATTATGGGTCTTTTTATTACTACTTATTCTTAGGTAGATATTTACGGATTTAAAGTCCAATCAAACATCTTTATCATCATCATTATCCTTACCAGGTAAAGAACGGTTACCGGGCGCCTTTTGATGTAATTAATTTATATGATTTTAGGAACGTGTATTTTATTATTTTTAATTAAAATACTGATGCTAGTAAACATTTTAAATATAACTCATTATTCATCATAAGTCAGTGATCTTTTCATGCGTTGAAAAACCACATGTGTTACATGTTTTGAAACTCTATCACAGTTTAAATTAGTGTTCATGTATGAAATGAACAGTATAAAAACATTTTTTATGCAATAAATGTTGATTTATTTAAATTGGGAGTAAAAAAGAAATCCTTGAAACTGCTTGTAACGATATTAGTCATTAATTTGATCGTCTCAGAAGCGAGACAAAGCAAAAAACACTTAAGCTAGTAGCCTCAGGAGTACATTAGAACATATTGAATGTGCGAGGAATTGATGGTTCAATATTTAAATGTTTTGTTTCAAATGAAAGTGTTAATAAATTTGTACATTCATTTACTTGAAACAAACAAAAGAATTTGGATAGGAACTCGGATTGCCATGGCTGCGCCGCTAATCGCCTTATTGACCGGTCGCCGGCTTGCGCTCGTCGGACGGGAATGTTGCTAGTTCGTGCACTCTCGGAAGCACTCGGCAACGTTCCGTCGTAGTCCGCTGCGCGTTGGGGGCACCACCGAGCGCTTGTTTAGCGTCTAGCGTGCGGCGTTGCCAACTGTATTGACTTAAGCACGAACCAAGACAAAACGTACGCGCGTGGTGTTAAACTTACAGCCGGCAGCTTTTTCATAAAAGAAATTGAAAATCCGTGTGAATTTGTGTATTCAATCGATTTACAAGAAGTCAAAAATGTTACAGCTAACGTAGACATATCGAGTCTTTGTGATGAGATTTTAGACTGTGCGCCAGTGCAAGTGTTTTATGTGAAAACATATCCGTTATTAATGTAACGTTAATCGATTTTGTGTAGAGGAGAAAGGGATATGAATTTAACGAGTGTCGCTCGAGCTATAATATAGAGTGGTCGAAGCGGCATAAAGAAAACTGGTTAGCCGAAAGCGGCGATCGTGATATGGGGGAACGGGGCGCGACGGGGGGCGCTTGGGGTGCGCGCGACGATGCCTCGTGGTGGCCGGGCGGCTCGGGTGAGCTGCAACACCAACAGCAAATAAACGAGGAGATAGCCCGAAGCACGGCCGCCGCCACCCATCAGCTGTACACCTATAAAATGACCGGCGGCTTCAATAACAGCGGGGACAATCCGACTCCAAGTTTCGACTACCGTCTCATGACTGGCTCCAATGCGAGGCAGGAGTCCCCACAGCAGCCTTGGTGGTATGCCTCAGGCTCGGTGGAGGCTCAGCAAGCCTCCTCATCGGTATGCTTATCTATAGTAATAAAATATGATACAAGTATATGATACGATACAAGAACAATAATCAATGATACTAAATTAAAAGTTTGATATTCAACCAATGATATGCTAAATTTAAACATTTAATCTAAAACAAATGTCATTAAAAATAATCAGGGAATTAAATTATTGTTTAGGTATTTGAAGTGTAAAAGCTAGAATCAATGAATCCTAAAAATGTGTAATGCGCGTCTCATTACCATGACACAAAAGTTAATGCGCGCCAAACTATCAAATATGTAGCCAGTTTTATTTACGCACCTTGCACCTTCGTATTTTTTTACAAACATCAAAACATAACAAAGATAACCAAATATGAAAATGAAAAACATATTTCATAAATATTATGAAATTATAATATTGAAAACATTAACTTCCGGGACAATTTTTTAATTCCTATGCCTTATGCCTACTACATAAGGAATTAAAAAAAATCAATGCTGCACATATTTCATCGCATTATTATTACGAAAAGTTCTTCGTGTTGGTGAGAAACAGTCATACCAATTTATTTAACACTTTATATGTGTAGTACATGAGACGTAAATTGAAGGTAATTAGCGACTTGCTAAAACAAAAAAGGTGGAAACTATAAGCTATTTAGCGGGAATGACGTAGATTATTTGACAGACGAAGAAATGTCTAAGCAGCTTCCAATAAATTGCACAAAACGGAATCGTTAAGTTACTACAAAGTGCCAGGATATGATTCATTGAGTATTGTAAAGGTTAATGCTGGCATTGAAAGAATAGTTTAACATTAGAATGTTTAACCGCATACAAAAACTTGGGGAAACGCCTTTAAAGTTGAAGACGATTCTATAGTATGTGAAAGATTAGATTATTTGTCTCACCGACATATGGTATATTACATAAGTTTTTTTTTTACGATAAATTACGAAAATGAAAGCTGCACACGCAATGGGCTCACGAAATTACTAATTGCTCTGTTATAACTAAACTAGTGTGAGAATTTGATCTAATTGAGACTTTGGTTGTTCCAATTACAACCAAGTCAACAAACTTATCCACTTGATGGATCCCTATGGTGACCAAGAGGAGAAACTCTTCTCGACATTACCGTGAAAAAAAAGTGTCCCTTACCTGGGACACTCTGGTTTAATTAATTCCCTTAACAGCTTAACCCAAATGAAATAAAAAAGTTTGAATTTACTTTTCCCAAGTTCAACAAAGCAGGTGGCTGAGTTTATATATTACGTTATCGTTCTTTCATACAAAGAGAAACGTAGAATTTTGTTAGCAGCTGCCGACTAATTAGAAAAGCCGATTGACGGTTTTATTAGTTAAAGTTAATTTGAATAAACTCAACCTTGATATGAAATTTAGTTGAAATGTATTTTTCACTACTTAAGCAATAAAGAAAGAAAGGAAGCTTTAGCAAGCATTAATTTGCTTTTTGATACGAAAAGTACTTGTACAAGTTCGAACGAAAGAACCATTGAACTAAAGCGTGAAAAATTTATTTCGTAAGACTTAAATATTTAAGTTGTACGTAAAAAGGTACCAGACTATCATATTACATACATAACGAATAGTCCAAACTTTAGACGAAACTATTCTCTTTATAAATCCAGATTAAATAATTTTGTATAACTTTTACACGAAACAACAGTATCTTGCGATAGCGATGTTATGATTACAAAATCAGTCCAATACACGAACCTTCTAAAATTATTTTTGATTTATTTAATAAATGGGACCGCTTGTACGTAGTTTATAAAAGTTGTATATACAAAATAACTATGTTAAAAAATTCCGATTTATAAGTTACAATATACAGATTGAAAGTAAAACCGGTATGCACTTAAGGCACAACTAACAACAAAAAAAAAACAACGTACCCGGCGGACGATACCTCTAGTTAAAAGGAAAAGTATACAGGTTTGGCTTTTGTTAAAGGAAAATTTGATCACATTCCTCAATTTACGTGTAGATAAAAATGGGATTGATAAATATTAATATTGATAAATTGTTTTCATTCGTATGATCAAAAACGTTTGCGTAGTAGATAAATTTGGTTTTGGAATTTTGTTTAATACAAGTAAATACATACAAGAGGCTTCTTTCTACCAGGAGTAATGATACCGTACTATTAAAAAAAATATGAAACTATTTTTATTGTCAAAAAAATTTGATAATTTTATTACTTAAGAAACCTTATTTTCAATCAAATAATTTTGGATACGAAGATAGGAGACGAGTCAGTCGAAATGACGAAGAAAGTTGAGTCTTAGATGTGCTATGAAAATACGGTAATTTTCAATAGTTACTCGAGATATAAAGTACAACTTCATATTAGAGGATCTAATATGTTTATTTACATACTAGCTGTCTCCGGCGCGTCCGTCCGCGCGTATTAAAAAAAACCTAATTAGTAGCCTATGTGTTCTCCCAGACTACTTTCTAAATTTATAACAAATTTCAACGAGATCTATACTATCTTTCTGGAGATACCTTCTAACAAACATCCATCCATCCATTTAAACTTTCGCATTTATAATATTACTTAGATGAAGAGTACCTTAGTAAAGTGTCATAAGTATGACACTTCCCTAAGTTAAGCACTTTACAGTTTCAATATTATATTAAAAAAAACTCAAGAAAACAACATGTTATAATTACTATAATTATAAAACTCAAGGTTATTTGGATGGAAACTTAACGCTCATAATATTTATTTCTGTGCCTGTCCTTGGACTCGCGTCGTGGTGATTCATAGAGGCGGGCTACTAATTGTATAAAGAATTCATAAATCGATACAACTAACAATTTTACATTGCGATGTATAAAATACATACTTTAAAACTTTGCTAAATTGACCTTATCAAAATAGAGTTCGAGGATAAGACAATGAAAAAAAAGGGTCTTGACAGACGGACGGACGGGCAACAAAGTGATCGTACAAGGGTTCCGTTTTTTTCCTATGAGGTACGGAACCCTAAAAAGGTGAACATGATATGTTCAGTACATGTGCTATTAAATATCAAACTAAATAAATATGTATAAAGACAAAAGATAAATAATAACAAAACAATGTTTCTGGGAGTCGACGAATAAGAAAATGGACTCATTGGAATTCGATCATACCACCTAAAGGTCACTAACAAGGTCTTTTTCTTAATCTTATGTAAGCTATAATTATGTTCTTGTAAAGAAAATCATCGAAACCTTTTAGCTAGAAGCAGTATCTCTTTGCTGGCATAGATTTTGCGGCGATGGCGCTCACCAAATCCGTTATATGTAATTTTGATATACATTCATAAATGAGTCAGTTATTTTAAAATGTAATCATCCAACTCATTTTTGATAATATAAAATATATTTTTGACAGATGGCATATTTATACAAGTTGTTGGGTTTAAGTTAATGAGTGTTGCGTCGTAAAATCTGTACTCAATTTAAAACTTGTAGTCTCATGAACAAGATTATTTTCATAAAGTAGATTAGAAACGTTTATACTGCTATTGCGAAATTTAAAAATATAAAAATACTGAATTCTTAACAAAAAACAAAAAATGCAATGCCTTTGCGAGATCATACATACTTACAATTAGTTTTACCATAATTAATATGTAGCAAAATATTTCTTTAATACACATATATTCATTGTTCAATATTAGCAATTAATCAATGGCATTTAAGGCTTGGAGATTTTTATCGCAAAATTTGGGTTTGCTTGCTAACCTCAATGTAAAAAAACTCCCCAAAAACGATCACTATTTAATGGTTTTGATTTGACGTATTTATTACATACTTATTACATTAGATACCATGGGACAGTAACTCCATTTATATATATTACAGGCCTACAGTCAAAATAACCAATAATACCGTCATGACTCTTAAAATAGATTACTCAAAGTGATTAATTATATTTATTACAGCCTCAGAACCAGTCGAGCCCAGACCCCGAGCAGGGAAATCAACAGGCTAACGGCTTACAACAAAACCATCAGGCGTTGCAACAGCAGCAACAACAGCAGCAGCAACAACAACAGCAACATCAACAGGAGCAACAAAATCAAGCTATTCAACAACAGCAAAACCAGTTACAGCAACAGCAACAAACTCTCCAACAAGCACTGCAACAACAGACTCAGACGCTGCAACAAACTTTACAGCGGCAACAAAATCAACAGACTCTGCAGCAGATGCTGCAGGAGCAACAGCAGCAGCAACAACAGCAACAGCAGCAGCAGCAGCAACATCAAAACCTCCACCCGCAAGACCAGCAAAATGTCCAACAGAGCTTACAGCAGTTACACGTGAGCCAAGCCCACGTGACCGCGCTCGCGCAGGCGCAGGCGGCGCTGCAACAGCAGGTCGTGCAGTCCTTCCAGCAGCAGCAACAGAACCTGCACGATCATCTGCAAGCCGTGCAACAGCAACAGCAGATTCAAGCGGCGTTGCAACGACAATCTGCCACATTACAGGTTTGTGCATATCTTCCTAAATATTTAAATTCAATTTAAATCTTGATCTCTAATCCTTTAAACAGATTTGTGTTATAAACTTTATTACTCTATATCTTTTAACTTTATCCAAAACTAAAATAAGGCATAGTATAGGCCAATGCGTGAATCATTCATTTTAATGATTCTGTTTGTCAAGAAATAGCAGTAAAAACGGCGTTAAAATAATATCTGAGAGTTATTGCAGGAGTTGCAGCAACAGGCGCAGCAGCAGCAGGCGCTGACCCAGACGAAGGCGAGGATGCCACGCGCCCGCGCATACAACAAGCCGCGCGGCAGGATGACCGCGTACGCGTTCTTCGTCCAGACCTGCAGGGAGGAGCACAAGAAGAAACATCCAGAAGAGAACGTTATATTCGCTGCGTTCTCAAAGAAATGCGCGGAGAGGTGGAATGTAAGTACATTTAAATTCATCCATATTGTGTGTATAGTTATAGTCAACCTTTAATTACGCAGATCCTAGGCTAAAAATTCCTAAACTTTATTTCTCGGGGGTGTAAGATGGCGAATCTTGCGCCCCCGACCCTAGGTTTACCAAAGACTAGGAGGTCCGTTGTTTACTTGCTCTTTGTGACGAAGTTTGATCCGCTGGTTACAAGTTATGAAATTCCATAGACAATGTCGAAGAAAGAGAAGCAACGCTTCCACGACATGGCTGACCAGGACAAGCAGCGCTACGACCTGGAGATGCAGAGCTACGTGCCGCCCAAGGACGTGAAGGTGCGCGGCCGCAAGCGACACCAGCCCAAGGATCCCAACGCGCCTAAGCGATCGCTGTGAGTCACGGTCTCGACACATTTTAACAACATTTCACACTTTTTGCACTAAAACACTAGTAATATTACCCTAGCTTAAACAATCCAACTTAATCGCCTTTCTCATATGTTAATTAAGACACATTGCGGACTGCAATGGTTTTGGGAATACCAGTTACGGTTATGAGTTATTTTTCTTTTGAAATATCTTGGTGGGCAAAGATCATGTCTGCTATTCGTAATATTGTGTTCTGCACTGCGACTTGCGAGAAGTTAAGAGCCGCCAAAATATCTGAAAACAGTTTACTGTATTACCCATACTATGTATGGTAAAGAAATGAAATGGATTTTTGGCAACTGACCAATTCATTTAAGGACGCAAGAGAGAATTAGCATTAATTATTTCGTGATTCATTTGATGTAGAAATTAGTATGTAAAGTTTTTACTAACAGATAACGATGGAGAACAATGGCATAAACATTGAATTGTGTTATACTTGTCAGGTCTGCGTTCTTCTGGTTCTGCAACGAGGAGAGGTCGAAGGTGAAGGCCAAGTACCCTGACTACACGATGGGTGACATAGCCAAGGAGCTGGGCCGGCGCTGGGCAGCCGCAGACCCTGACACCAAGGGCAAGTACGACGCTCTCTCCGAGCAGGACAAGGCCCGCTATGATAGGGTGAGTCACCTCCTCCATCCTTACTACTTACCACCAGACCTGGTACAAGGTATATTACCAGTCGAATTCTCATGAAAATGAGAAATTATATCATTATAACGCTTATAGATTGTATAAAAATTGTTTTCCAAATAAATGGCATTGTCAGTTAGTGACATGTCTATATAAAATTTCTTATTTCTATTCAATTCTACCATACAGGAGTATATAGTTTCGTTATCATCGTAAATAGCAGTCGAATATACATAGTTTATTCATTTATAAACAAATACTCCAATATTTTTCAAACTATAAATGAATTCGATAACAGCCATTTTGTCTCTTAATAACTTTAGTTCTATATCAATTCTTTCATAATAATGGAAATATGTTCATGTATTTTAGGAGATGACAGCTTACAAGAAGACATTAGAACAAGCGCAAGCGCAGCCCGAGGTGCACGAAGAGGTAGAAGAGTACGAGGCCGAAGAAGAATATAAATGTTAATGTGATGGAAGGGAATGCAAATAATAAGGCAACCACGTACTTGTTATTTACCGCACGGAGAAAAAAAACGCATTAAAAATATATAATCGTCATGAACATAAACATTTGTTACATGTGATTAATTTCTGTGATTAGGTATAGAGGTATTCAAATATGTTGGCAGCTCAGAACATAGCATGAATTGTACAGAATACAATTTTAGATGACTTTGAGCCGTCAATATATTTGGTACTCTATGTGTGAGCAATAAAAAAACTTGTTATATTTAGCGTTTTTTCCCCGTGCGGTGAAAAAATGCAGCAGATCGAATCGACCTTACTTTGAATATTTTTATAATTATTTCACTAAACACATCTCCTATATTCAGTGATCATTTTATAAGTTTTTTAAGTTCCAGTGGTAATAAATACTTGAGTCGTCTTTACCTCAACTACCAATATGGTAATCGGTTGTGACATTTTACCATTATTTGTTGTTAAATTATATCATTTTTACTGTATTTCTGTAAATTGAATAGTTTTTGTTCAATTATCAGTCATTTTCAGGAAGATTTATTGAAAAAAAAGTACTTAAATTTTAAGTCTGGATTTTTTTCGCTGCTAATTACTTACGAATAATGGATACTGATTCTTGTGTAGCTTAGTATAGAAAGATTTTTTTAATATTTTTATGAACTCATAATTGAAACTTAATCGATACTGACTTAATCAAAGATATGGTTCAATTCTGATATTTTTTAATGAAATCCAATGAAATTATATTAAATGTTTTACCATTTGCTTATTTTAACAAAATCATTTTTTTTTGTTTTCCATAGAAATTGGACCAAAAAACCTATTGGTTTTCTTATAATAATTTCAAACTAAAATCTGACTAAATTTTATGTACATTTTTTATGTATGTAATAACTGCTTGCCTAAGCAACATCAAAAATCGAATTGTATTTGGATTATGGATTATTTTTGTACTATTTAGTTTTACCCAGTATTTCATTAACAATTTATATAAAAATATTTAGATTATATATAAATTGAATCTCGAATCAATTAATACAAAATAAATAAACCGTGTGTCCACATTACATTAAACATTCACATAAAACATGTTGAGATCTCAGATTCTTTTAGAGAAAAGAAAAATAGCGATAATTATTTTTATGTGAGTGCTTAATCGATGCCAATGTACGGTAAGGCTCCGTTCACATTAACCAGGATGAAATATGATGCCGCAAATAAAAATGAGCTGTATACGATTGAAACAAAGTTTAATTTTACTTAGCACGTATTTTTTTTCAAGTGCAAGCGTAAAAAATACGCGAAAAGCATAATTAAACCTTATTTCTATCACGTAAAACTCAATTTTATTTGCAGTAAATGATCTGCTTTTATTTACACCCCGGTTTGTGTAAACCGACCCTTATATCTACTTCTGTAGATGTATTGAAATTCTAAAAAAAAAGTTGTAGAACGTTTTTTTTTTAATCTTTAAAAATAATAATATGAATGTTGTTTTAATTCGAAACAATGAATAAAATTATTTGAAGTGTAATATAAATTGTTGTTAGGCTTTATGTAGTTTCTTTTATGTTTAAATTGTTTTTGTTGTAATGTTTATCGGACGACTACATTATTTTTGATCGATTTAAGATCGTTGTTCCTTTTACCTATTTTAAGGTCGAAATTGAAAGGTGTGGCCTTATTTTTTCAAGAATCATTTGGCAATATGTAAGTTAAAGATAGTCAGGAACAAATTTTAGATTTAAATATAAGTCATTGGAAAAGTTAATATTATATAAGTTTAGTATTAAATATGAGAGACGATGTATGAATGATATTTTAATACTTGTGTCCAAAAAAAATGTATATAGTTACCTAGTTAAATTATATTTTTTTGTAACCCATGTTTTTGTGTAAATCGCAAGCGATGATGTCTGAAGTGCTGCAATCGGAAGGACTGCAAACGTGATAGTACGTAGTCTTAAAGCCACTAAGTATTTTGTCTACACAACTTTAGACTCTGTTAGGGTACCTGGAACATTCCTGAGAAATTTAATCTGAAATTCTATCGTTTTTGCAATAATTTCAAATCGGAATTAATAATTTTGAAATACTTTGGCGTTTTCAAAGAAAAATAACACGATATTACTAAATATTTGTTATGCAGAAATAAATTTATATTTATTAATATTGTTCTAAATTTTATACAGTTACGTTTTGCGTTAAAAGGAATGTTTTCAAGCCATATTATTTTAATATTCAACATATAAGCTAGAAACGCTTAGTTATATTTTGCTTGATATTATGAATTCATATACAGAAAATATGTTTTGTATAATTTTTCAACTGAAGACAATTCCAGGAAATTTCCGTAATATAAAAATAAGATAGAAATTGGTGAGGGCAATGAATGAGGAATATTTTTAAGGAGTGCGTGTAATCGGAGCCGATATTGTTTTGAATCCGAGGACTGTACAAAACAATATAGTGAATCTTTTACACTTACAATTGTTTTATTTTACCCTTTACCCACAATAGGAGTTATAGCAAACCCTTATTTTAATTAATCAAGATACCCCTGTAATGATTTGGACGCAATAGCAAATCGTATAAGTAGACCTTTTTGAAATATCTTGGCGCTCTTTCTATCTACGCGCCAGCACTATGTTCGAGCCGCCAAGATTTTTGAAAATACTATACCTCTCTCCAAGTCGTCGGAGCTTAGTTAAAAAAAACTACTCTTCTATAAGTCTGGCAGAAAAGATATTTGAATAAAACATTTTTGCTGAAACTGTCATAAGATATAAACTAGGAAGTGTCAAAGAAATAAAACTCGTTCATCTTAACATTTTTAATAACTGCGAAAATTCACTTCCACAATTGCACTAACATTCAAACTGCGGTCAACATGAATAATTTATTTAGTCATATATAAATTGTAATAAAAAAAAACCATATCGCTATATTGCAAGTCGTTTGACATCAAAAATTAAAAAAAAACAATAATCGCTTTACATTTGTATAAAAATAAAATAATAGTTCAAAAGTTGCCATAATACAAATTTTTGTTATAAATTGAGCAGAGACCAAAAGCAGCGTCAGTCCGAAACTCGACTTCAAAGCTTTTAATATAAAAAAATACAATAAAATATTTTTTTGCTGACCGTTTGTGTAAATACGCCAAGAAAACTTTTTATTCATAGAAACTGAGCATCCATAAAACAGCCGTTAATAAAATGTAACATGTCACTGTTTGAACAGATTTAGTTAATAATAATTGTCTACATTCACACCATTACAAAATAAGCTCTCTCGACCGTATAACCTTAACGGGAAATTTTTATAGATTATAAAACTATCTATTTTTTCTTTAACGACAGTTTTTCATTATAACATAATCGGTCATAGATAAAAATAATAGCAAATTAAAAAAAAAACATCGGTTAGTGTTCATAAAAATCGATTATAAACAGCCTCCATTTTAAAATCGATTACGAGTACAAATTATATATAAAGATACGTGATTTTTCTATCGCGGACTAATTAGAAAGGATTAAAATAAAGTGCAACTACGTTTTTACTAAGAATGTGATTGAACTAACTTAGAAATTATTGCAACAATTACTCATCACTAAACTTTTATACCTCGTACGCTACAAAATGCGAGCCGCTTTCAGGCATTTATCTACTTAAAACTATTACTTATATTTCATCACATTTTTAAGTATAACAAACACTTTGATTATTTGAAGTGGTAATTTTTTTTATTGTGTTAAAAAAAATTAAATGAAAAATGAAATGATCATAAAGCCAAATATTTTTTTTTCAGTTTGTAAACTTTTCTTGATTATAAAATATTTTATAAACATTACGAAAAATTACAAAATTAACTAAACATTCAGCCAGAAATAAAATCCAATATAAATATATAAAATATTGGATGTGTGTATTATTTTTTTTTGTATTTCCACACGGTGGGTTTAATTATGCATATCATGAACAAAACCTTAATAATAAAAGTACAAAATCTATTACAAATGCTAATTCTATATCTGAATGTCTTAACTGCTGATAGCTTTTTTAATCGAACGAAAAACAAAAAAAATCACAAATTTTTTATTCTATATTTATGTTTCTGAACATACAAAACTTAATGTTAATTGGGAAAAATCGGAAATTTATATATAAAAAAAAAGATTCGTGTAGATATGAATTAGAATAGTGTGGAACAAAACGCGACAGATGATTGTACTTTTCGATATAAATTCAATAGAGAAAAAATAATGTTTAGAAAATTGTGTTAAAATTTATTTTCAACTGAAAACGACTTAAGAAATAAATGAAAATGTATGATTTATTTCAGTTTAATCCTAATTACTTGCGATAAACCTTCAAAAGTCTGTAACAATGTTATACAAAACATTTTTACTATTAAACGATATATTATTTTGTATAACAATAAAATTGTTAACAATTATGTTTTGGTATTTATCAAACTTTCACTTATGTGTAAAAAACTATTGCTTTTATAATAGGATTCATAGCTACAAGAAAATTCTATTATATAACATACAAAGGATAAATATATCGTGCGATATCCAAAAGCTAAACTGAACGACGATTTTTTTACTTTATTTGTCGTTTAATCCATATTAATACCTATTTTAATTTTTTATAATACTTTTCGAACACATTTTTCAGATTTTCATTATCCTATATTTTATTTGAAAGTTTTATTATCAAATAAAATGCTAGTTATTAAGTTTTTTCTATTATTCTGTTTGATAATCAAATTTGGACGTTGATCTTAGATTATTGTTTGGTAAGCAATTATTTTAGTTGTTTTGCCGGTAGAGTTTAGGGTTTCTAAAGTTATAAAAAAATTAAATGTCACATAAGTAATCGATGGATACGACAAATGTAACAAAATTTGGATTTTTACGGTTTCATAGCTTGTCTATTTATATTTTAACAATTCTCAAACTCTAGAATAATATAAAATTGGTGTATTTCATTAAAAACTTGTGAACCCTATATGCGCAATTTTAAAGTCGCGTGGACGGCAACCCAACAAATGGATTTATATCAAAACGTGATTCCAAAATGAAATGCGTCTTATTTCTTAATTAATTCTCGATATACATTTAAATTTTATCAACATTTAATTGATAGCACACTTGAATTATTTACTGTATACAATGGTTTATGCATGATACAAGATGTGAGAATGTGTTAGTTGTATATTCAGATGGTAGAATTCAGTGTGAGGTGAGTTATCCGGAGCCGGAGTTGTGCGCAAGCGCATGTCAGACAGACAGTCTGCCGTCCGCCATCGGAGTCGGCAACAGGGAACTGAAATATAAAACATAACATTTTTATAAATTTTTGGATGGTATTTAGTAATTACTAAAATATTTTTTTTACAAACCTTGGTATAAAGTCAAATCTAGATAAGCGAGAGTAAACGTGAAACTCGGGTTAAAGAGAAACCTCTATACTAAAATATCCAGGTTCGTCTCTATATTTACTACTTTAGTAGTAAAATACAGTTCTAAATATTTTTTAACATTAAAATATGACTATGTTTGTTATTTTGGTCCTTTGAGCCGGATAGATGTGCACCTACCCGCACTCGAGAGCATCCAAATTGGTGGCAGTGGTGGCAGCCTGACCTCCACCCACGTTGGAGTTGACAGACTCCGTCCTAGAGCCCATGTTCCTCTGACGACAGAGATACGGTGTCACCGATGGTGACGGTGTGCTGCGCTCCTGGAATTATAACATCTTGAATTATAAGATACTTTTCTATCATAAGGTAGCAAACGAGCGGTCACCTAAATTCGCCGAAATAGCGAAGCGACCGCTGCCCGTAGACATCCCCAATTGCAGATGTGTTGCCTACCTTTAGTCGACCGACCTTAGATCAGGGATGACGAACCTTTCCGCATTATTGTGCTATTTTACTAAAGAAATATTTAATTGTCTTAAACGTGCCATCAAAATATTTCGTCTGAGTGTTTCCTCGAGTTTGTTCCTCATACAATACCTACTTCTAACAATTTTTCATGTATTTATCAGTGATGTGGCAAAAACATTTTGACGCGTGCCATTGGTTGGCCATCCCTGTCTTAGATGTATGAAGGTTACTACATACTTAGTAGACATAGTCTTATTATATATTGCAAATTACTGTTACCTAATACTACAGGGATTAATTTCTTTTAGTTATAATTACCTTATGTTATATAGTAAATATTTTAAGCAAAACACATATTTTTTTTATTAACTATATGGAATTTTTAACTTTACATACATATGAATACTATGGGAAAATACGTAAATTTTCAAAATGTACTTATTTAGTTCGTTTTACTTACTTGTAGGCTTAGATTTAAATTAATACTTTGCTTAGGTATCGATTAGGTTTAACTACAAAAGCTAAGCTATAATAAATTTCAATTTACGTAAAATTACGGTTAAATAATAGAATTTAAAAAGTTTTAGTAACCTTTATCTCTTTAGCGAAGTAGTCTTCAATGTGTTTTCACGTATATAAATCAGTGTCAACTTGTGAAAAACAAAACACAAAGCTACTATTTAATTTTGAGTAGTTTTTTCATTTATCTGGCAACTATCTCTTAATAATCTGTTTGGTGTTCTTAAAAACAGAAGGTAAATTAACAACATAGAAATTGATTTACTGTTTTTTTATCCTATCATATTAATAAAAAAAATCAAGAAATTCCATACACATGGAGAACTCTAACAGAGTTCAAAAACATTTTTTATGTTCAGTAAAAAAACAAGGTAAGCAAATTACATGTATTCGTATAAAAAAGTACACTCTCCTGTGTACTTTTTTATAGAAGAAAAACCTCTTTGGAGTGCACAATGTATAAAAAAAGATAAATAAAAAGCCAAAATATCACAGCGTACGTATAATGATTAACATTAATACAAAACAAATAAAAGGTACCTAAATAATATCTAAACATCTAAAACATATATTCCTAACATTTGGCACTGATAAAACATAAAATCTATTCAAAATAAAACAAACTAAATATACACATGTATAAACACTGATTTTTTTTCTATATTCTTGATAGTTAACTTGTTGAACTCCGACGGGGCAAAGTTAATCGCTCTCGTCCTTGAAAAATATTACCGTACGGTTATCGTTTCTAAACTGAAAAACTGCAATTCAAATAGAAAAAATACACCTGCTAAGAATCTACACAAATATAAGTAACTCCCTTAGTTCGTACTAATATTAAAAATTACTGGACCGCGTTCAAATTTACAGAAATACCTAAATTATAAAAAAAAACTGTTTTTGTTACTATTGTTCTGAAATCTGAAGATTTTATAAATTATACAACAAAAGTAATGTTCTTATGGTCAAGTTAAAAAAAAAACTAAGTTAAAAATTCGGTCTTTTTTCAAAAATATTTTTTTAAAATTTAAATTTTACAACTTCTAGTCTAATCACTTCATATGTAGTAAACTGGCACTAGGTGGCGTTAGTGATTATGACGTAAAAAATTCTAGTACCGTCTATAAGAAGTTTAACTTAAAAAATGTAGTCATAACGTTACCTGTTGGTTAGGTCCGCAGCAGGTGGCATTGTGGCAGAGGTCATTGGGCGGGCAGTGCAGCGCACAGGGGTCATCCGAAGACACGCCGCTCACCATCTAACAATCATAACCACCAACATTCTTTATTTTCATCAATACTTGCGGTCGCCAATGAATTAAAAAAAAATACTATAATATTCCTGCATGCATCAGCTACCTTCCTATCAAAGTTTCTTTAAAATAGATCCAGGCGTTCCGGAGAACACCCAGAACAAACGCGGCCTTGCGTACAGACAGTCAGAAAATATAATATAAATTAACTAACCAGGTCAGTACGAGACAGTGAACGTATTAAACTGGCAAGGCATGTCATTGGCATTGAAAATTTTAATTTAACACGTTAGCTGCCATATCGGACTATATGTCCGACAAGCTAATGTTTCAATCAGGCCGTGTCGGACTATGTGTCCGACAAAGCCATACTTCCATTCAACACCTCGTTGTGGCTTTTTAATCGAATTGTTGACAGCGTGACCCACAAGGCCCCATTCAAATGGTTTTGGACAAAATTAAAAAAAATCGTTTTTCGAATAATCATTCTGGCAGCTAACGTATTAAATCAACATGCGAGCTGCAAGATGTATATATATGAAGTAGACATTTCGTTAATGTCGATAGATTCTCTAATTATTAAAGATAATTAATATAAGCCCTATACTAACTACATAACCTCAAAGACAAACACACAATATTAATATCGGCTTGAGTCATAATTTTATTAAGGTCATAAAAGAGATATTTTTCCCAATTGAATGTGATCATCTGACTAATACTGCACTTGTCATTCAACTCCACGTAGCATTTCAATGGCTCAATCCGATGTTCGGGAAGTAAATTATAATATCAAAAGCATTCAAATTACACTACGAATGATATGAATGGACTTCCCCTACACGGACAGTTAAATTGCTTTTAACAAGCTTTGACTACGGACTTTCGATCACGAGGTCGGAGGTTCGAATCCCGCCATTCGACTATTGTCGTAAACCATATCCTAGCACAAGCCTTGAGCTTAGTTGGAATGGTAAAAGAAATATTAGTAAATTTACAAAAAAATCTGCTAATATTAAAAAAATGTATTAAAAAATTAACTTTTACGATGCTACCTATATCTGAAATTAGATGTGGAACACAGTCTGGAAGAACACGTAAGCCATTTTTTTTAACTTCCGTGTAAACGACCATGGACGTCAGCTAGTTTATGAATCTTCATCATCAGCTCACTATACGTCCCCAGTGAGCGGCTCGGAGCCTACCATGAGTCAAGGGTGACTAGGCCATAGTCAACCACGCTGGCCAAGTGCGGGTGGGTTGGTTGACTTCACACATATATTTGAATATCTTCTCAGATATGTGCAGGTTGCATCACGAGGTTTTCCTTCACCGTAAGAACATAGGATATATGTACATATGTAAATGGGAAATCGAAAAACACATTGGGTACATGTCGGGATTTGAACCCAGGACCTGCAGATTGCAAGTCAAGTGCTTAGTCCCTGAGCCACCGACACTACTTAGTTATGAAAATAATTCGAAATTACCTCATTGCCATCAAGCGGCAGCTCAATGAATTCTGGCTGTATGGTGGTTGAATGAATGCCCTCGTTATGGAAGAACTCCTTCACCTTCTCAGCAATCTTCATATACTCTGATAGATTTCTACATCTGGAAAGTTAAAAAAAAACATTTTTTTTAATAAAAAAAATTATAAACATATGTATTTTCTGTTTCAAAGATAATGAAAGAGACAACTTACGGCTAAACTTTTGTTATAAGAAATTTAATAATCAAAATACTACTAATCAAGATACAAGTCTGAGGTCTGAGGCCTGACACTCCATCCGCGCGGAAATAAAAAAAAACAGAATTAGTAGCCTACGTATTCTTCCAGACTATGTTATACATGTATGCCAAATTTCATCGATATCTGTCCAGCCGTTCTAGAGATACCTTACAACATCCATCCATCCATCTAAACATTCGCATTGAAAATCCGAAAATGTGGCAGTGTATTGACCCAACACTAGCCTTACTAAAATGTCGACGTTTATGTCCCCTCACTATTCATTCTGACACTGGACTTTGTAACGAAAGTACGTAATTCGGGCCAAAGGATTCTAGCTAATAATGTCTAAAAGAAGTAAGATGATATTAATAAGATAGGATGCTTTGTTCATCATTTTATTTTAAGTGTTACGATCCCGGCACTAATGAAGGAAATTCTTTGTTTAACATATGATCAATTGCTCCTTTGTGAATATGAAGGTAGGAGTTAAATATATCAGTTAACAAAGGCCGTTGTGATTCACTGTTATATAAACAATCTTCACGTCTCGCCTCCGATGTTATGTTTGCCGAAAGCGAGTTTTGTATCTAAATTATAATATACTGGAATATTAGCGATCGTCTCAAAAATATTATAACAGTTGGCTATATCTCAGATTGTTAGGAACAAAAATATCTGGACTGCTCCGAGAAAAGTATGGTACTGTACCGCTTTTTTCTCTCGAATCGGCGGGGGCATTGTCGTCCCACCAGAGAGAAAAATTGTTGAAATACTGAACTATCCAATTCGAAATCGACCGAGTAGATGTATAAATATGGAAGAGACGAGAAAGATGCGCCAAAATCTTTTTCAGTGGATCATCTCTGCCTACACATTTAGGACGCGGGTTGTGTTATTGATAATAAAAACAATTATAATTGATGTACATTCCCATAGAGATATTGTCACGTTTTAAATTAACACGTTCAATGCCACCGACTGGAGCTACTGCGAATTACTACTTTAAAATCGTAGTAGCTTTGAACGTATTAATCGTTGTCGGATTTCGAAACAGCATCGTGAAAAACCCAGCAAATCGTCTAAGACTGGCCCGTGTTCTAAATAAACAAAAAAGACGTTGTAAAAATAGTTCCGCGGGCTAATATTGAAGCTACGTGTGCGAAAACACATCGTTTGATAGTGTTATTTGCAGATAATTTGCGAAAAGCATACGTAGGCGATATTTGTTTTTCTTCAGTAGGCAGCTTTTATGGTTTATAACTGACATTTTTATGGCACAGGACATTGACTCTATTAGATGAAACAAATGCAACTTAGATAATTTTAGTACTATTAGCAGATTTGTTCCTAGCTCATAACTGACGTAATAACTAATATATATAATAAGTTGCTCCATGAAAAACATATTTAGTTACATACAAACCGTATTTAATATATTTTAATATTAATAACCTCTTAACTTAATAACTCACAAACTTAAAATATCGGCTTCCAAACAAATGTTATTAATTTTTCGTTTTGTTTTACGTTTTACACATTTCATTAGCAATATCCGAAATTGAAATCCTGTTACAAGAACGGCAATTTATCATTCACTCAAAATTAAAACACGAAAAATAAAAGCGCGGCGGCGGCCATTGCAGTCGCTATCGTGGATTCCAGGACAAAGGCCCCGTTGGCATTCTGCCAAAGGAATTAATTCTCGCATGATTTTTCAAAGTAAACGCTTTGTTAATCGAAACGTCAGATTTATAATGGAAATCGTGACGTACTTTTTACAAAAAAATAAATAATATAATTATTGTAATGAAGTACATTACCTAAAAGTATGCATTGGTATTTTTAAATATTTGTCATAGACGATTCAGAGATGTGGCTCTGTCATGGTATTGTTATTATTAAACGCAAATTTTACTTCAGTTTGCAAATCAAACGTCGTTCGCTAGCCTCTCAATAGATAAGTTAATTCCCACACCGAAGAGCGTTATCAGGTCACATTAAAAGGCTTTCGTTATCAGTGCGACACAGGGAGATATGCGCCTGTGACGTACCAGTACAAATAACCGCGAATCGTACCACGAAATCTTTATAACTGGTAAAATCACAAATACTCAACTAAAGGGACATTAATATATTACTAGCTGTCGCCCGCGACTCCGTACGCGCTAAAAAAACCTAATTAGTAATTATGCGAAATTTCATTAAGATCCGTTCTGGAGATACCTTCAAACAAACATCCATCCATCCATCCAAACATTATCTCTCTATAGTTGTATCATTTCTTCTTTTAGAGAGAACGAAATATTAAAATTGTGCTAGCATTTTGAATATTGTAGAAAAAGAAATCTATAATCTAATTATTATCTATAATAGAATAGTCATTATGTCTGAAAATAGATTATCAAAAAGCAAGTTTATGATATCGATCGAATGTTGTCCGATTCGAACTCCGGACCAATGAATGCTACGACACGTACACTACGACGTCTAAGTCTAAGGCACTTTGATAACAATATCAGTATAAATGCAAAAGCAAAAGATTATTGCATAGCAACAATTATAACAATTTCAATATGACGGATGTTAAAATTGCTATATTTGCTGCCCAATTGAAATCAACTGTTTGAATTAAAGTCTATTATCACTTTTTGTATAGCAAGCGTAAATTTTTTTTTAAAGCACGTTGTAGTATACATGAGAAGTAAGAAAATAACGAACTTAAAAAACACAAAATAAAATATGTCATAAAATGACCATTCACGTTTTGATCCTTTGACACTTTTTTAACGAAAACAAAAAAATGGTAGCATTTAAAAAAGTGTTAGCTTATGCCCGCGACTCCGTCCGTGTGGAATTAAAACAAAAGTATTAGTAGATTATGTTCCACATCTATGTCGTCAAATTTGATCGAGATTCGTTAAGCCGTTCTGGAGATATCTCTTCTATTAAATATCCATTTATGTAAACTTTCAGATTAATGTTATTAGTAAGAAGATGAGTGTTTATTTAACATACCTTATATGAGCACTGGCAATAATCCTATCTCCAGCTAACTGCCATACATGGAACTCGTGTACCGCCAAAACGCCATCCACTTTCTCCAACAAACGCCGCTGTATCGCGTCCACCTGCGCAAACATTTGCGAACATTTGACGAACATGCGACAAACATTTGATTACTGACAGTTCCCTACATTGTATAACACGTGCGATTCAACAGACAAGACAAACATTCTACTTTACTATTTGTCATTACATACTCACTAGTAAACTAATTTCACAATGTCTAAATCAGTGGTTCCCAAACTTATTTTGTCTACTGCCCACTTTGAGAATAAATATTTTTTTTAGCGCCACCATATTTTCACATATTTAAAAACCACTATAACTTCAAATTAAATTAATTAATTATTGTGAACTATATATGTATACTAACGGAGAATTCTAAATGGAAACTTTTACTATAACCCGCAACTTGAGACCTGCAGCGCCCACAAAGGGGGCGTTACCGTTCACTTTGAGAAAGACAAAAATTTGCTAATATTTAAATAAAAGTGTGTATTAATTATATTTAGGGCAACCATTTGCACAGATTATGCAAGTCCCATAAACACAAATTTGAAAAATTGTCTACATCCTGAATAACCGCAGTACCAGCTTTTTACTTTATTTAGTTAGATGTTCTACATATATTTACATATTCAAGATAAAATTTCCAACCCCAGCATTCTACGTAACCTGGTGTCCGATTGCAAACCACAAAAAACCTAGAAGCGTTACAATTTGCAACATAGCTCTGTTTATTTATCTAATCAGAATAATCAATGTCACCTTTATTTACTCCTTTATTATTTGAGGACATTATCGAAAATTTAAAAAGTCAAACTAGATACAATTTATTACATTAAAAAAAGTCCTTTGAGTCGGATATTTTTTTAAATAAGTCTAACTGAAAGAAAAAGATCGTACGTTTGACATTTTAGAAGTAAATAATTGAAGAAATTAAAAAATCTTTGGCATATTTTGCTGATTTACCTGTATATGTGTGGGTACGGTCTGCAGCAGAATGAGCGCAGACTCCCGGAGCAGCGGCCACACGGAGGCGAGGATCAAGATGACTAGAACTATACTGAGAGCGGGGTCGATGTAAAACTTGTAGGGCCAATCCGTCAGCCACACGACTAGCGCAGAGCACACAACTATGATCGAGCCTAGAACAAAGCAATATTAACTTTATAGCCCAACACAATCATTTAATAACAGGGAAGAACCCGCATCTAATGAAAAATCAATCATTACGAAGTTACTGGAAATTAACCGAATTTACATGTTGCTATTGGCTTCAAACAAACGTTTAGTGTGACACAAGCATGCATATTTATTTGTTAACTAGCTGTTGGCCGCGTCTTTGACTGCGTGAAAATAAAAAAAAACAAATTAACTATAATAAATTAAAAGAAATTGCATATAGCACCCGGGAATAGTTAAATAGTTTCGGAGCCTGTTCAATACAAACAAACAATCAAATCTTTCGTAATAATAATATTAGAATAGGATTGTTAATTCTCTGTATATTTTAAATTTGTTTCTTGTAGTTCTAATTGCAGTTTGACTCTAAATTTAAATTATGGTGTTCAATAAATTATATACGTTGGTAATTGAATCGTTTGTGAATTGCAACATCGAGTTTTATTCCATAATAATCCGATGCGCCCTTGTCAAGGCGAAATTGATAACTTACAAAAATATTTGCTTTACTCTGTCATAACAGATATTAATCCGCGATAAGTATTTCGTTCGCTAATGCGTTTACTATTTTTAATAGTCAAGGTTTCATTAAGTAATTACTCGAAATTGTGTAGCAATTGTTTAGGGATCGGTAAAGAATATGGTTCTACATATTACTAGAAATATTGTGTTACATAGAACACGAAAAAAAAACTTTCATTAGCCGCAGCTTATGAAAATTGGAATCAATTAATTCTAAAAAGTAATCAAATAAAGCTACTCGTTCAAAACAAATGTTTTAAGAATTTATCGATTTGACATAGAACAGTAAATAAAATATTCGATTTCAGTCAATATGTCGCGCGGGTTTCTTCTTTTTGAGTGCGGTTTTACTTAAGGAACATACCCATACTACGTGACCTATTTTTTAGTTTTTTTAAAGATTGCATGCATACTTGAATTACTAGTAAATTATGTATTATGAAAAAGAACAACTAATGGCTATGTGAGAAAAACCTGAGCCACCCCCCCTGCTCCGGTGACTGACCGTAGTGTTTTAAAGACTCCGCTCCCCGCTACACGGGTCGCGTAGTATGGGTACGTTCCCTTATTGTAATTTGTAGAGTAAATCATTAACCATCAAAAGTATGTGAAATGACCTATTAGTAAAAACATATCTTCATAATCGTAAGCTTTTAATATTGCTATCATCGTAATCATAGTAAAAATAGATGCGGAATCCAATAAATTGGCATCGCGACTACAACATAGGTGATAAGATTCGTCGTGTAACTGGCACAAGGTTCATAGTCGCGAGTACGTTGTTTGTTCCGAAATAGTATCACAAATACAATACCACCAAGGACCAGAACAAAATACGTAAATAACTTTTTCACTACCATTCCAAACGCTATTTCTATTCAACACGTTGCGTACTTTATTACCAAATAATAGAAAACTCATTAACACAAACATTTTATCACAAAGGATTGCGATAAATATATTTCCGAGTGTACAACACAATAAGTTTGATTTATAAATAGATTGGTTACATTACAGAGTAATTTTTTAACGTGTTCTTGATAAAATCGCCAAGGCCCAATCAAAAGGTTAGTCTGTGCAAAATATTGTCAATATCAAATTCGCATTGACACACCTTTGCTTACTTCCACATATTTAGGTTACAAAGCTTCATTCATGGTTATTATTATTTATTAGGTATTGACGGATACAAACAAGAATGGACCATAAAAAAGATATAAAACTGTATACTTATATAATAAAAACATTGTTCTTTAGGGTTCCGTACCTCATAGGAAAAAAACGGAACCCTTATAGGATAGCTTTGTTGTCCGTCCGTCAGTCAAGACCCTTTTTTACTACTTATAGTTAAATCACTATTTTCGATCAGTCATATCTGTTAAAAATGGATATATATATTACTTAATTAGTAATAGAGAAAATATATATTTTTCGGCCGAACACTATTATTGATAATTATTAAAAGAAATAACAATATTATGCATTACAAATTATCTTGCGCGAGCAAAAGATTTGTCAAAAAATCGCAAGAAAAAAATATTAACAAAAAAAATTGCATTAACAAATTTTTGACTTTAGAATATGAGAAAACGTTTTTAAATTTCCTTAATTCTCGATTTTGACGTAATAAAATCGTGCAAATCAAATTTAAAGCGTCAATCGCCTAATGGTTAAGGGCACGGATTTCCGATCACGAGGTCGGGGGTTCGAATCCCGCCTGCCTTTCGACTATTGTCGTAAACCATATCCTAGCACAAGCCTAGAGCTTAGTTGGAATGGTTAAAGAAATATTAGTAAATTTACAAAAAATCTGCAAATATTTTAAATTAAAAAAAAATACACTATCATATTTGAAACACATTGTACACAAAAATTAATAGCATTTTCGTCCAATATGCAATAAATAGTAAAGTGTAGAAACAGTTTGTTTCGACATATCACAAGAATCGATATGTTTTCCGTTTTCATCATAACAATAGTCTTTAGATCATTTAACTTTATTGTGTTATCGTGTATTCCCTTGCTATATATCAATATTACAGTCCTACGATCGCGATTGTTTCAAACTATAAACAAATTCAATTTATTTACATTGCAAAGAAATATATGATTTTATTATTATATAAACTTCGATTACACATATGTACTAGCAAGTTACTTCCATATAGATATATGTACATATTATTTATTTATGAACAAACAATATGTTAGTATTCATAAGCTCGAAACGTATATATTGCTGTTTCTCTCATTTTCTTTGTAAAAAAATGAGAGAAAACAAATGATTCTGTACAGATGTGGCAATTGAAACGGTTACCCTTAATAGTGTAATAATAGTAATAATAGTATAAGATTATAATAATAATAGTGTAAGATTTTCTTGTCAATTATTATGTATGCGAATTAGATTTACTAAGAATCAAACACAAACATATTTTTTAAGGTTAATTTTCAATGGTATATTTACAAACACATAAAACTCAATAACTAACTTCCAAACCAAATTGTATTAAGTAACAGTAAACTAAATTACCAATAGATTTATTAAAACATAATTTTCTGTTCCTTTTTAGCAGAAAGAAAGAAATGTTTCCACACAATTGATTCACGCATTTGAATTACTTTTAATTTAAAAGACGCGTAAAATATGAGCTATGTAACTGTAATTAAAATGCAACATTGACATAGCAAACGGAAGCATACATCTTATATGTAGGAAGTAGGAAATTGTAGACCACGTTTGCGGAACGAGTCGGCAATTTGAAGGATGTTGTCTTAATAAATTTGATATTTTCTGTGTGTTTCCATTGACACATAATTAATTAAAACACAAATAATTTTACGATAACACCGTGTTTTTATAGATCAATGCAAATATGACCTAGCTAATGAACCTTCGGTGATACAAAGAAATTATTTGCAAAAATAAAAATATTTTAGAATACGCTTATTGTGAATAACAAATATCTATATCAATTGAATAAAATTTACATAAAATTAACAAATGAATGACGAATCGTACTTGATAATGTATAAATTGACCTACAAAATATTGTAAACACGGAAATGACTTTGATTTGCATTAATAAGTTTCCAGTTTGACAACGTAAATATTCCGAATAGCTTGTATAATATTGAAACTTAAGTCGTAACATATAGTAATACTAGCTGTCGCCCGCGACTCCGTCCGCGCGGGATTAAAATGTTGGCCGATTCTCAGACCTACTCAATATGCTCACAAAATTTCATGAGAATCGGTCAAGCCGTTTCGAAGGAGTATGGGAACGAAACTTTAAATGTAAGATATTACCAATATTTGGTTTAAATTCATCATCAGTTCGGACCAAGACAACTAATTAGTTTAAAATTTTATATAATCTACACTTTTTTAACTAAGGCCTTCCCTATGTGTGGTAGTTAAAAACAAGTACAGTGCCTGATATGTTAGTAACAGTGATATAGGGTGACAGCTAAGATGTGATCACTTACCCAAGGCATCAGAGAGGACATGAAGGAAGACGCCCTTCATGTTAAGATGTCCGGGGTCGCTGGCGACACGGCCGGCGGGTTTGCTGGCCATCTTAGTGCCAGGTGGCACCATCTCATCCGTTTCCTCGGCACCGGCGCCTGCCGCCGTGTGTCCGAGAGCCATGTCCGCATTGCTGTTTACAATCTCCGTCAAATGACGCACATTGGATGGCGGAGGCACGCCGCCGTGTGTGTGCCCATGACTGCTACCGTGCTCTGTGACAAACAGATTCATTACATATCGTAATTAAGACTGAAAGAATGAATTGCATAGCCCCAATTTGAAACATATTATGTGACATTTCTTAAAAAGACCGTTCATGTGCTCATGACAAACATGAGAATTCGGATGTTCGCATTACGCTTCAAACTGCGAAAGATACGTTGGAAAAATAATTGGGTTTGTAAAATATTGCTTATTTATTTTTTAAATGCTTGAATGGATGAAAGTATATGAAGGCATACATCTGCTTGCAGAGACAGGTAAGGTCATGGAGTGTTTTATTTTATAACAAAGAAGTGGAGAGCAGTGAGGAATGTTTAATTAATCCTATATCAAATTTCCACTAAACTCCCAAACGGTTACAAAAACCCGTCTACAATTCCCGGTAAATCGATACCGGCTGCACACACCAATGAGTATATTTTTTATTATCTTTTTCCTTAAATCACTTACCTTGGCAAAAAACTAGACCTAAGTTCGTAAAACAATGCTAAATAATTCACCTCGACTGTGAAGTTTCTGTTTTATATTACAACGAAAATGCTAAATACTAACATAAATGCTAAGCTACTTTTTCATTCAAAGCAACTTAGCTTAAGTTACTGATAAATATCATTATTCCGGTCATATAAATCAGATGGTGAATTTTGTATCGATGGAAACATTGCAGTTTTCCTATTTGCTTAGCAAAATACTACACGTTAGATCTAACTAGTAAATTATAGACAACTAAGACTACATAATTTCGTTATTCGTTACCAAATATATTCTTAGTCAATTTTTATTCTGAAAAAAGGACTAAAGTCAAAAACCTCGTCGTAGTTTTTCATTGTGAACAGTACTTCGTAATAAACCGGTTTATTAAACTCTCAGAGTTTATGGCTTGCCCATTGTAATTTAATTGTACGTAGTGCGTACGACCTTGCAGACGGGATCAATGCACTCGCCAGTTAAGATATTGGGGTTCGAATTCAACATGACGTATAAAAATTGATACCCACATGAAGATGCCACAATATAATTTCTTACATTACTAAAGGGTTACTTTACCTTTAACACTTTCTACCCATAGTGAGGAATTATTCTACGTCTTATTATTTAACTAGCTGTCACCCGCGACTCCGTCGGAGCGGTATTGAAAAAAAACTTAATTAGTAGCCTATGTAGAGATGGGATTTTACCCCAAAAAACCCAAATGTGGGAAAAATTAAGTTAAATAATGATTTAAATACCGGGTTTTTTCCCACTGCCTATCTCTAAGCCTATGTGTGCTTCCAGGCTATGTTCTACATCTATGCCACAGCGAGATTCATGTAGCCATTCACACATACAAACATTCGCATTTATAATATAAGTAAGATTTGCATGTTACTGTGAAATAAATAAATATTATTGTTTTATCTGTCACACGATAAGTTATCTTGAATATCTTACGGATCGATATGTATTTCAAAACAATGTTAGCACACGTGCCTGTTTGTTTGTAGTACAATGAGTAGAAACAGTTTGCGTGTAATCGACACATTCATCCGAACGAGACGTGATGAATTGTACAAGGAAATATTAACATTACAACTGCAATGTTAATATGTATAACCAGAATACATTATTTACCATCAATAAAGTGTGTCCAGTGACATAATAAACGCGAAATACATATAAAGATTTTTTTAAACCTTATGTTCATTTTGTATATGTATATCCATACATACAACTTTAAAAAAATATACGATCACGATAAAATAATTTTTATGTTAGATTTTTTTAACTTTCTTTTTTGCTTTTCTTAAAAAAAGAAATATTGCCACAATAAGGGTTAAGTACAAAAAGTTCTGAAGAATACGTATTGATAATTGTATTCTCCTTTTCGTTAATAAAACCAATATATTAAGACATAAAGTAATATTAAAAATTATATTTGCATCAAAATATTGTTTAAAATAATTTAAAAAATAGTTTTTTTTTCGGTCATGGTTTACACAAATTTCATTATTCAACATTTAAATTGAGTTCATGAAAACAGTGGAATTGATAAATGAATTAATGAAAAAAAAAACCAGTTACTCAGCTGATGTTACTCCTATGTAAATTCAATTCGAACGTCATCGGATTTGTATTCCGTGTGAAACAGTGAACGAATCCAATGACGCATGACTACAAAATTGGTACAACCGTTTATACTGCAAGAGGTCAAAATGGTACAGATATGCACATATTTTAACGAAACAACATAAGCGAACAATACCCTTAAAATCTTGCAATCTTATTAATATTATAAATGCGAATGTATGGATGCATCTAACAAACGTTTGTTAGAAGGTATCTCCAAAACGCCTGCATGGACCTCACATGCTGTAATTTGGCATAGATATAGAACATAGCCTAGAAAAACATATATGCTGCTAATATTTTTTTCAATTCCACGTAAACGGAGTCGCGGACAACAACTAGTAGAGATAAAACCAACTCACCATGGAACAAGAAGAGTCCAACAATATTGAGTATCAAGCCCAACACTCCGACTGCCACCAGAAGCTTTGCGTCATGTATAATCTCTATCTTGATAAATCTCTGCATTGCTTCCACAGTGATGCTGAAGCACAGAGCAACAAGGAAGACGGCATTCACCAACGCACCCAACACCTCGGCGCGCGCCCACCCGAATGTGTTCTTTGACCATTTCTTTGGTGACATCTAAGAACAATTTCAAATAAAGTTAAGCGCTGATAGTGTTTTGACCCGTATGTCGTTATAATTGGAACAAATGTTTACTCAAAGAACTATGCTAATGTCGAAACATGAAACAGTCAAACCTGGATAAGGGAGAAACCTCTATAAGCGATAGAAATATTGCAGTCTTTTGGACTCTCCTTTCTCCAGGTTCGACTGTATTATTTCATTTTTGGAGAATGTGCAGATACATGTACAATATGTTTGGGTATAAAAATTTTGTCAGTGGTATTTTGTGCAAAAAAAACTGACCGATATACGAAATACATTTCGTTTTATATGAACAATGTACTTTTTGTCTATCGTTCGTAACATTTGAAATTATAAACTTTGAATGGCATCTAGAAAAATAACACTGAAAATTGAATGCATACTATGTTTCTAGGCAATTTTTTTATATTGAGTATGCTAGCGCTTGTCCACCATCCCATGTGATGTTAGTGATGATGTGGTCGAAAGATAGTACGGTAGCTACTCTTGGAGGCGTCCACATCATACTTGTACATGAAAAAATGACGACGACAACTTGTTCTAATCCAGTTAATAGACTTCTTAGGAAAAATCTTTAAATATTTGTATAAGGAAACATGGTTATAGGGAAATAACTGTTTCCAAGGAAACGGATGTTATCTTATGATTCATACTTTATATATTTAATAATGTATTCGATTCGTAGAATACTTAAATCATTTTATGACGTCATGCCATATTACGTTATTCAAATAAGTAGGCGGTCAAAACTCTCACCTCTCAGAGGACATCGACTTTTTACGTATTTCAAAAGTTACGAATGTATTTAAGAGTAACAGTAGTTAGGCAATTATTGAAGATATGGCGGATGTTAAACAAATATTATGTTTTTTAACAATTTATCATCATTATCAAAGTTGGTGGGTCAGGTTGTAACCATTTCTGTCATCATATCCTTCTTAAGAAAGTTGCTTGCGACATGACTAATAATCTCATGTTACATGCAATCCATTCACAAAGTTCTTTCCTAAACATTTATTATGATGTCATGAATTACATTAAACAATATTAATAGGTTAAAACTCACATTGTAAAATTACTTTACCAATGACTAAAGGATTTTATGCACTTAATATAAATTGTGTGCTATTGTTTTAAACTGGGTCAATTAGTGCTTGAATTAGTTGAACTCTCAAAGATATTAATTGAACACATATAAATCATATAGTATTAGTGTTGGTTGGTAACATGCAGTATTAAAGATATCATGGCTTTTGTCATACAGATGCAACTTAGTACAGTCGAATAAGTTTAATAGTTTAATACTTAAATGTATTTTTTTATACAGAAAATACTTACTTTAATAGACAAGAAAGCAATAACAAGTGCAGCGACATCACTCAGCATATGAAAGGAGTCTGCCACTAAAGCCATCGAGTTGGTCACATAGCCCACAATGAGCTCCACAAAGAAGAATGTCCCTGTCAGCCATAGCATGGACAGTAGCCGGCATTTCTTGCTGCCAAACTTGCCCATTGTATCTAAAATATAATATATTATTAGGAATATAAACAGACAAATTTAGCATACCATTTTATATGTATATTTAGTTTAAATTGTATTTTTTTTGTATTATTTCTTACTTGCAATAGTTGTCTATGAATAAATTTTGTATTTAAAACTACCTGGCTGAGTATAATTAAAAGATGCATGACACATTATAGTCCTAAATGTCTTTATTATAACATATGAAATGTCACCAATGTTAACTTTTTCCACACAACAGTTCAATAATCATCGTTTAACTTGATGTGTCAGCTTAAACATTATTGTATACTTGGACAAATTATTTAGTTTACATTGAATATAATAATATATTTCTAGATTATTATTAACAATAATGTCATCCATTACTATTCAATTGAGGCTATCCATTATGCAAAAACTATCTACTCAGATTTACAATGAATAAATATAGCTATTTGTCTACATATTAATCATTAGCACAGTTATCTTAATCTATTGTTAAAGAGTGTGTGAAATTGATTTTAATTTGAAATTTTACATTTCTTTGAATTGGTACACTTATTGTAGCAATATACTTACATGAATATTATAAAACTTCAAAATAATTCCAAACACTGTGAAAGCAATTTGTATCCATCAAGAGTTCATGGGTCAGAATGTACACTTGTAATGCACAGTCATTTGTCAGCAGCACATTGATACCCAATTACAATATTGATTTAACACTTTATCAGGACACGAGCATAAAATACCTCCGATAGGTGGCAAGGTAAACATTTAACAAAGCTATGCAAATTGAAAACAAATCCTTAGTGCTCTTTTTCGCTGAATTCTGTACTAAACAATGCGATAAAAAACCTCACGTGAAAGTAAAGATAATCGACATCCACAAAAAAATTCCGAACAATTTTGTTTGCACAATCAGAATTTCATGTTTCTTCTTCAAACTGATCATTAAGTTCAAATGTTTTACGAGGAAAATATTTAAGCGATGATGAATTTTATACACACTTCCATTTAATCAAACTTATTTCGACGTAAAATGCGTCTATAACCTGCACTCAACTGTCAAAAAATGATAGAAAGATGAAAGATCAATGTAACCAGATAATGCTAAAAATTACTGCTACTCACTAAGTGAGCTTTTTACAATTCCTCCTGGGTACTTTCCAAATATCTTTCAGTATTTAATTCAATATGTAACTATTAAAAAAGTGATCTAGAAACCTGTTTACTGAGAACTGTAATACATTTACGTTCAACGAATTCAAATTTTTAAAAACTTTAACTTCCACAAGGCCATTGTTGGGTAAAATACATAACAGCACAGGCAACATTCTTTTTGACGTAGTTATTGTCAACTGTCAAATTATGAAAGTCAAATCAAATGTCATCATCATGTCAAAAAGTCCCAAAATAAAAACAAGGAATCAAATAAAACAGAAGTCCCAATGTAAAAAATTTTTACTTCCTTATATTAACTAACATTTGAAATATTCTGCAGGCATAAAAAGCAATGAATATTTTGAAAATATTAGGAAAAACTTGTGGTTTTTTTGGTTATGTTATACAATATGCTTGTGTTACTCACTGTACATTTGAATATTTAGGGGATTTTGTTATGGTATGTTCATTTCAGCAGACTATTATTTCTATTCTATAACATAATATATGCTTATTAATAAAAATTACTAAAATTCCTAAAAATTTAAACAATTTTAACTAAATTTTTCCAGTGTTCCGGTCCATCTATGGAGCCGACATTAGAATCAAACAATATATTGCTAACAGAGCATGTAACACCTCGCTTGTATAGGCTGCAACGTGGAGACATTGTCATAGCAAAGAACCCAACAAATCCCAAACAGAATATATGTAAGAGAGTTGTTGGTTTACCAGGTGATAAAGTAAAGGGATATTTCCCTAGAAGAAGTCATATTGTGCCCCGAGGTCATGTATGGTTAGAGGGGGATAACTCGGGGAATTCATCGGACTCAAGAATATACGGACCGGTTCCACTTGGCTTGATTAGAAGTAGAGTTATATATAGAGTCTGGCCTTTGGACAAGTTTGCTTCGTTGCAAGAACATTGATTACTTTAATAAATTCAAAGCCACTATTTTATGTGTTTATCAGTGGTTTTAATTTAAAATTTTTATAATAGATAAGAGAAGATATGTTTTGTGAATAAGTTTAGCACAAATATATGTTTGATATGCTTATGATTTTTTATTTATAAATCCTATAGAACATTATTCATGCCATTTTAATAGCTTATATTTGATTTTTCTAGGTTAGTATGGAGTTTGTATACATTATTTTTAAAATAAAACACATAAGCAGGTTATTTTTTATTTTTATTATAATAAATAAAATTCAGTATATACAGTCTAAGATTATACAACAAAGTTAGCTATTGGGATTTATTTCGACAGTCTTAATGGATTCAGGTTCTAGCACAACATCGATATATCTTAGAGCACTTATCCTGACTCTTACATTTGTTTCATATGTATTCCTGAAAGAAAAACACAACAATGAATATAAGTAAACTTATTAAACAATAGCTTTGTATTTATTCTGTTAATGGCGTAAGGAGGTATTGATCTTTTCAAATATCTTGGCGGTTCAAGGTCATCTGCGCAGTGCCCTCCCCCGCATCTCGCTATGCACCATTGTGTTCTGCGCAGCGACTCGCGCAAAGTTTAGAACCGGCATAATATATGAACACTTCTGTATTTTTCTGTATTTTCTTTTTTATACCAATATTTTTTTTAAATGCTAGCTAATGGTTCTTACATTTAATGTTATATGAATTAATAAAATATCCATAAAATGACTTACGTATTATGAAGCACAAGTACTATGTTTCCCTCAGGAGTGACAACAGCGATATTTGGTACTGTTGTAGTACTCATTCGAGATACTTCTACCACTTGAGACCCTCTCGGGATGAACTTAGAGAAGTGTCCTAATGCATAGTACATCGGCTGTTTGATAAATTCATCTCTTTCCCCGTAAACAAGTACGGGAGCGTCGACGTAGTTGTGGGCCCAGTTCGGTCCGCCATTCTCGTCTAAACATAAGTTCCAATCTATCCAGCCAACGACGAAGTTATTCAAATCCTGAGAAAGAAATAGAACTTTATTGGTGCTTTCAAAGATGTGATTATGATAATAATGGCCAAGGAGTGGCAAAATTCCACATTAAAAAAATTAAAACGTGACAAGTGGGTGACTGTACTTTTTTATCTCCTAAGATAGTCACATACTGTGATTAAATACTTGGATTTCAGTAACTGAAAATAAATTTAATCTTGCAATGATAATTATATAGATAGATTGTTAACTTGCTACCTCCTTAAAAATGCTTACCTCCAAAATACTGCGCGTGTACTTTGAGGCGCGATCCCAAGACCCGACCTCCACCTTGTACTTATCCCAAGGCATAGGACCTACGAAATGTATACTTGTTTAAACATAAAATCTAACAAAGTTTTTTGGTATAAGGTGGTAATATATTTAAATGATCAAGCGGCCAACTAGCGAAGTGACCGCTGCCTATAGACATCCTGTTGCCTACCTATTATCTACAGAGGGCGAGACGCATAAAAAGAGGATTCCCTCCATATAAAGCCTCGCTCTCACCAAACCCTTCCCAACTCTTCCTTACAAGAAAAGAGAACCAAAATTAGGCCTTAAGCACGCGCACTCATGAGACGAAAGGTGGATTTGTTTCGACTGGACTCGTGTCTTCCGTGTGGTTTGTTTCGTATCGGTCCCGACCAATTCGTGCAACATATATTGTTGCTGGCTTTACTCCTGTTAAATTTGACGGTAAAGTTGTTTCAATAGCCTACCTTCACAAGCTTCAGTGGAGAGCAAGATCTTGCCGGGGTACCTCTTCTGAATCCTGGTAAGTACGGTCGCCGGCATGAAGTTGCCGTAGTAATGTATGGCGATACCGTCAATGTATTCGATTGATTTAGGATCTTCTTTCTCCATCTAGAAAGAAGTTCGAATTGATTTATAACTTATACAGAAATGAATAGAAACTTTTTGTAATACGTTTTAAAATTTAAAATACAAAATTATCAGCTGCAAGACTTACACCTCTCAGCCAGATTGGTATGATGTATCGCTGGTCATCAACTGCTAAGATTAATGTCTCATTAAAGCGAGATTTCCTCACAGTTGGTCCCAGATTGTTTGCCACCCATCGTCCCTGGAAATTCATACATTATTTTTAATACTAGTTAAAGCCAGAATAAATATCTTGAACGAATTATTTTCATTTGTCAACTTTCTGACCCGATATACCACAATCCCCCTGTAATCCGTCGCTAGCTTGGCGACAAAAACTCGATAATGTATGTTCGACAACGTGACTAGAACCAGATTTAAGAATCGAGGGTGAATGACACTGTATTACTTACTAGTTGTCTTGGGAACCAGCCCAATGAATTGAAATTGACTGTTGGTACTACGCCATTAATGGGCTCGTTGGTTGTGGTGATGGCCCAGATTTTTATGTTGAATTTTTCGTATTCTTCAAGGAAACTGAAAAATAAAAAATTTACATTACTTACCACAACAAATATAACAAATTAAAAAAGATTTTTATCTTATTATAATGACCTAAACAATAATTTGTAGCTATTGCAATGTAGCTGTTTCCTATATATCTAATACTGGCTATTATACAAGACATTTTTACAAAAAAAAAAGTTATAAATTCTCTCTGCCTTACTTTAGTTTATATGTTGTTTTCTTGGTGCTATAACGTGCAAAGTCAAAGCTTACCGCATATGATAATCGGCATAAGACTGATAGAATTCAGGTTTAATTTGTCCAAAGCCGGTGATGGCCTCGTTGGTTTTCATCCAAATAGGTGATGACCACGCAGTCGCAGTTATTTTTACTTCGTCTGTTGCCATAGCCTTTGCCATCTCTATCATTGGGATCTATGAAATATTAATTATCAAATTATCGTACATGAACGTAAAATAACATTATTTATTTCTAATATTATAAATGCGAATGTTTAGAAGGATGGATGGATGGATGTTAGAAGGTATCTCCAGAACGGCATAACAGATCTCGATACAATTTGGCATACATATGTATAGAAAGAACACATAGGCTACTTAATATGTTTTTAAATCCGTGCGGATAAAGTCGCAGGTGACGGCTAGTAATTCATAAAGTACATATAATATTTATTATCTTTCAATCAATTCATGTATCTGGGTAATCCTGTAAAATCGATTAAATTAAAAGATAAAGATTCAGGTACACATGTACTAGTCAATCTAAATAACAACTTACACTCAATGTGTATCTGCATTATTAAAAAAATTATGAATTTAGTATTATTTTATTATTATTTCTAGCGTAAGATCATATCGGCTTATACTATAAAATCGTAGCTTATAAACCGTTCACGTAGTACTTATGTTGAATTTTCTCTTACATCGAAAGACCCTTTTTTAATTTGGAATCCAGCTGTGTGTTTTAAATCTATTTTGCATTTTAATTGTCAATAAGTACTGTAAACTTGTTCTGTTAATTTCCATCTCAGTAAAGAAAGGGATAGTATGATGTATCACTTTCTCACCTTATAATCAAAGTCCTCGCGGCTGAGAGAGTAGTTAGTGAGAGCGGCGTCATTCCACGGTAGCTCGTTGTATGTATACGGATGAGTAGAGAAGTCAGCTCCGGCTATCGGGACACGGATCATATTGTACTCTAGGCCCTCGGGACCGAAGTATGTACTGCAAATAGAACACAATTATAAAGGAAAACCTAAAAAAAATATGAAATTACTAGAATAATTGTGTTCTACCACTGCGTAATCTTACTTCTTACTAGTATTATAAATGCGAAATATTTATAGAGATGGTTGGATGAATGTTTGTTTGAATATATCTCTAGAGGGGTTTAACAGATCGCGATGAAATTTGAGATACATATAGAACATAGTCTGGAAGAACAGGTAGACTACTGATTAGGTTTTTTTTCAACTCTGCGCGGACAGAGTTGCTTGTGACAGCTAGTCTAGTCTAAATCCTACTAGCGGGAGGGGAGAAGGTACTAAATTCGACGCATCATAGAATGTTATTCAATAATATCCCGCTGTTTTCTTCCCTTAACCTCATATCCACGTTAACGGTTGTCAGTTTTTAAAAGTTAGAACCTCTTTTGTTTTTCTAAGTATTAAACACATCTTGACAAGTGTGCGCGTGAGTGAGTAAACGTCGCCCCCGCGCCGCTCAGCCAGGTGTCAAGTTTGGCGCGGACATATATAATTAATAAAGTCGGTGTCTATATTTAAAATGGAAATAAACACATTTCATGAATATGGTGTACGAGTTACTTATAATGAAAAATGTCTATAAGTCTGCGTTTATTTCGATATATTCCCCAAACGGTTGGACTGATTTTAACAGGACATGGATATTTTTACTGGAGGTGGCTGATGTGTGCGGGAACAATGTAAACAATTTTTAAGGCGCCGTCGAAGTCGTGGTCAGTCGCTAGTTATGTAATAGGTAATAGTGTCATCATAGATTATGACTAGACCTTGTTTATGATAGGTATACCACCATTTAGTGTGATAATCTTTTTTGATAATTATTATACATCCAAATGATTTATTGCTATTGTTTGAGGATTAATATTATTTGAATGTCATTTTATCAACTTATGCAATATTGAGAATGTGTAAATGGATGGATGCTTGTTAGATGGTATATGCAGAAAGGATCAACGGTTCTGAATTACATTTGGCATATGTCTGGAAAACCACATTTTACCTATTATCCCGGAAAACTATACCCATAAATCTTTACACGATTACTCTGCAACGGTCTAACACATCTTATTAAAATTTGGCATTGTTATATAACAAAGTCTCGAGTAACACAAGATATATTATTAAACAGCTTGCAGCTCACAAGCATATAAGACGTATGAATAACCGGACTGCAACAAATAGCATTTTGGGATACGAACAAGATTTATGATTTTTAAAAGGAGAAACGTATACAGAAAAAAAATATGTATGTGTAAGTAGAGAATTGTTCAGAGTGTAAGAACTAACTTCATGAGTTGCTCCTGCGCCGAAGCAGATAGTTTGCGCCAATTGATTCCCGCGGCGTCGGTCACCGAGCCTCCGAAACCCTCGATTGTTTGCTTCTTAGATGACGTCATGACGCGGAGTATCACGTTGTTCTTTATACATACTGTTACGAAAACAAATAACAAGTATTTTATTTTTCTCTCAAATTGTAATTAAAATGAAGTGATGTTTTTTTTCTTCTAAATCTTAATCTTGTCTAATTGTGCGCTTTGCTGGCTGTTTAACAAATAATACAGTTTTGTCTACAGCATAAAGTTTGAATATCTACACAATTAAGAGGTCAAAAGTAAAAGTATAAAATAGTACATACGACTGCTTTCAATCGAATCATCGTCTTGCGTTGATTCGTTACTTAATTCATATTGTGCTGCACCAATACCATTCACAACTCCGTAACTTTTCTCGAATCGCTTTCCATCCTGAAAATAAAAACTAAAAATTAGCTATTACAGTTAGAAATAAAACTAACTTTAAACTATACATTACTTACATTACTGCTCGTGTACGCTACGAAAGTTCCTTTTGCTGGTGTTTCCTTGGTAATTGTATCACAGTAATTCGCGTCGCAAACGCATACGATCGACCTGCCCTCTATACCCACATCGCGCGCTCTGCATGGCAAATCTGTACGAATAATGTAAAATAGATAAAAAATAATGTCACTTAAAATGCTGTAATAAAAACTTCTTTAATATCCGTTATATTTATTAAATTTGTTGAGGATACATTTTTACTTTCCAAACGTATTTTTTTATTTATTTACCCTTCATTTTTATCACTTTTATAAGGCAAGAATAATTCCAAAGCTAGGGTGTTGAAAAACTTTTTCTCTGATTCCAAAACTCTAGTCCTTGGCCTTTAGGAATGCTTTAGTGGTATAAATTACGTATAATTCTTGTATTCCTTACTACACTTTATAGTTAGAAGATTTCATTGGAACGCGCCAGATATTTCTCGTTAAGGAGAATTTCCATGAAACTTAATATATCAAATAAAACGAATTACACTTAATAATAAATATAGAACATACCGCAATTGCCAGGTTTGAATTCTCCAATAAGTATAGTTAACGTTATTATAAATAATTTTAAAGTTTTCATTTTGTTAATTGATCGTGTTACCTCGATCAATTTACAATCTTGAATAAATTTATAAATGCTTTTATGAGAATTAAATGTTATTGTTTGTGATGTTTAAAAGTTGATTGAATGTAATTGATACGGTATTTACACTATCAATACTGATAATCAACATTAACACGTTAACTGCCAGAACGATTTTTCGAAAAACGAAAAAAAATAAATTAAAATTTTTGTCTCAAACCATTTGAAAACACCTTAAAATATAATAATACCTTATTTACATTGCTCATATACTTATTATTTACATATGAATGGAAGTATGGCTCGTCGGACACAGTCCGACACGGCCTGATTGAAACATTAGCTTGTCGGACATATAGTCCGACATGGCAGCTAACGTGTTAAGAAGCGATTTATTTTGTTTGTTTTAAATTTTTAAAGGAACAATAGTTTATCAGATGACTTATTACAAAATTCAAGGACGAAAAGGCAATATAGTGTCGAATTGATTTTAAACAGTTCGGTATTTAAATGCCACTAAAAGATATCGCTAAATATAAATTAATTATTAACGTTTCCATTATAGGCAATTTTGTTGAAATTTTATAAAAAGAAGTATTTTCTCTAATAATAAAAAAATTGCATAATGACAAAAATATTATAAATTAATAATAATTTTACATGCGGTTTAAAATATAAAAAAAAATATTTACAATAAAAATAACCTTTTATCAGCCATTTTCCCTGCGATATAAATAAAATGTCTTTGTTAAAAATTGCTAGTTCTATTAATTATCTCTGAAGTATGTGAAATATTAGTAATAGGATTTTTGAACAACCTGTATATGTATTTATGATTATCTTGATCCAGTTTTTTGTTTACTAATCGAATTATCTTAATATTATATTGAATTGACCTTCGTTCATGGATTTCCTAATAAGGTCGTGACGAAAACATGATAATGAAACTCCTTCAAGTTCAAGTACTGCTTCCTCTTTCAAAGAGATTGTATTCCTCTCTGGAGGAATTTCACCCGAAAGGCTGCTGCAATATGTTAGAAAGTAGCGATAAATAAAAATCATTTTAATATAGATAAACAATTTTTTTTTCAAAAGCAACAGCTAAATGCGAAAACAATGTTTCGTCGACAGTTACATCTATTTCGCCATACTGATCCTGTAAGAACGAAAGGAATTAAATCAAAAACTATTGGATTCATTTGAAAAAATCTTATGCTATTAGAAACATTATTACTTAGTAACATAGGCCATTTTGTAACTAGATTGTTTTATCTTACTAATATTATAAATGCGAATGTTTGGATGGATGGATGAATGTTTGTTAGAAGGTATCTTCAGAACGGATCTTTATGAAATTAGGCACAGATGTAGAACATAGTCTAGGACACATAGACTACTTAATAATTTTTAATAATTCCGCGCGGACGTAGCCGCAGGCGACAGCTAGTTATTAATAATAATGTAATTAGTTGCATTATACTTGTGTTGTTGAGACTATAATAATTATTTAAACTATTAATAAATTGTATAATTAATTACGAAGTAAAGGAATTTTCATTATCAGATCAAGTACTTGGACGATAAATTAGAAAGTCAATTATCAAGACATCGCCCTTGCTATTTGTGAACGTTTATTATATATCCAGAAAGTTATCTAGATCCGTCAAAATGGCGCTGTACAGCGTTGTTCTGTAGGAATGGGTACTTAGACTTCAGAATAACCTAAGACTTAAGCACTAGCCTGTTAAGTCATGTTTCATCATCATCATCGGCTCACTTTACTAGGCTCGGTGCCCACCCTAAGTGGTGACTAGGCCATAGTCAACCACGCTGACCCAGTGCGGGTTGGTTGACTTCACACATATCTTTGAATTTCTTCTCAGATATGTGCAGGTTGCATCACTTTGTACTAAAAAAATTATCAAAATCGGCGCACCAGGTGTAGAATAATGTGGTAACACACAGATTAGTAAGAAAATAATATACACTTGGATTTATGAAGACAATATAATTAAATTTTCATACAAATCTTTAACGTAATATTATCTTTAAAATACTGTACAATATGTCGACCGGCTTTGTAAATAATCATTTGCTATTTATTTGCTAACCCCTTAAGAAAAATAACCTCAAAAACAACTAAGCAAATGACTGTTTCCAAGGCCGTCGACTAAAATTTCTTTTTTAATTTTCATATTGATATGGCAGATTGTCGATATGAAAGATCGTTTTTAAAATAAAAAATATAACAAGCTTCATCGTAGACAGATAATAGCTATTTATATTCTGAAATTGCCACTACCTTCATACTTAAAGAATATTGCCGTCTCTATTTTTTTCTAAGACAATGACAGGGATGACAATATTTTTATACAAGTATTTGGTTGTGCATATATAGTCAAATAAGGCCATCTGACCCGGTGTTATTACTGTTAGGTCAATCACAAAACATGTCAAAAGTTGAATAAAATGACAGCTACGATACGACAAAACGTGACAGTTGTTTGACATTGACAGGTGGGCGTTAGTGAACTATCAGAATTTAGTTCGAGCTCCGGGTCAGATAACTTTGTCAGTCTATAGCAATAAAACAGCTTAAATGACATTCTTATAGTCAATCTGTCTACGGTAAAAAAAATATTGAAGCTTTATTTTTTGTACACAGGATAGGGGTCAATCCTGGTACAAACTTGTTAGAATTATCGACTTTTCGTCGTTATAAAAAGTTTGTAAAAGCAAAATTCACTTAGAAACCTAAAAGTGAAACAAATGCACTAAAAGTACGAATCTAGAAAAGATACACTAAACCATTCCCTTCTGTTAACTAGCAAGAGTCGAACGAACTAATTAATCTCACTCTGAGTACAATAATATTACATAAAAGTAAAAAAAAAATCACATAGGAAGCAGATCTCTTCGCTATTTTCTCAAATTAATCAAACAATAAAGGATAATAATCAAATAATCGATGTTTATTATAATAAAATAATGTTTCAAAGCACCAAACATTGTAACATCGATGTAACGTAAATAATTTTAATAAACATCGATGTTTGCAAATATCGATATATGAAATTCGATAAACATCGATTATTTAATTTAATTATCGATTTTTCTGAACGTTTCGATGATTGATGTTTTATTAATCGATTATTTTCGTTTTCTAACAACATCCAATCATCGTGATATGCGAAGTCGTTCAAAATAAGCTCAGAAACTGTTTAATAGCAAAAAACATTTCGGCACCAAAAAAAATTTAAGTTCATTCGCTTAAGTACTAATTATTTCACATTACCTACGATTTTGCTGAACGACCATTGCCATATTAAAAAATAAAACCTTAAAACTAATCACTTTACAATTTACCTAATATAAATCTATGAAATAAATACAAAAAAAATCTCTTACTATTATCTAAGATAATATTTTTCTATCGCATGTCTTGAAACTATATTATTTAATGCACATAAGGTTACCGCTGTAAACTTAAAAAAGGGGGGACCCTAAAAATATTTGACTAAAAGAGAGATCAAATCATTGCCACATTATAAAAAAAAATAAACTTATTTATAATCAGTAGGCCGGCACTCTTTGTACTTTGGAAGTTTAAAGAAAGCAGAAGCGGCCCAGAGTTTGCTGGAGATATAACTTTGATGGGAAAACTAAAAAAAATATACCAAGAAAAAAATATTAAGCTACATTCATAATGGAAATGACGATTTGTAATAACAATGGTTAAAAATAATATTATATACCAATAAAATAGAAGTAAAAAAAAGTCAAAGACGAAATGAGAATCTGCAAAACGTTTAAAAATAAACTTTTTTTTTTAATGTTATAATACTTTGTAAATAAAATATATAATACTTTGTAAAAAAAAATTCTTCGAATCGTCATATCCAATCATGTATGCATCTCAGAAAATGAGTCGATAAAGTAATAGAATCTTATTTACACGGTTACTAGAAAAAGCTGCCAAGAAAAAAAAATTCAAAGCATCATTTTGAAATATAGAAAAAAAAAATCAAATATATTTTTTTATTCAATAAAATTATGTATATGTAAAAATACTTTTATTGCAATTTAAATTGGAAGCTCTCGAAATCATGTTTTAGTGGCATGAAATGATAAATACATTAACTTAAAAAAAATCATGTAAAAAAAAAAGAAACATGATTCTTAGAGCCTTATATTTGACAAATTAATTTCAACGCAATTTAAATTATTGCGTGTTCATATTTGAATACCTTGTTTATAATACATCTTTATACATCTATAACAACTAGGGTTGCGACGTAATATCGAAAAACCGATAATACCAGCACAGATATATCGATATTAATATCGATATAAATCGATTCAATAAAACACATGTGTAAATACATAGTCTGAGACTTACAAGGTTTTATTCAGCATAATTCCTAAAGGAAAAGTGATATTTGAAAATAAATAAATAAATCCCTATTTTTTTTTAAGAATAATGTTTCTTTAACATAAATATCGATATATCCACACTTTCGCATCCCTAATAACAACCTTGATTGGCTAACTGTAGTATGTACAATATTATAACCGAGTGGCAAAGACATACGTGGCAGAAATACAAAACGATCTTAAAAGTAAAGAAACATTCAAAATACAAAAGTAAAAATTAAAAAAAAAAGCTGCCACATTCCTTACGATTCATTTCGTAAAACAGCGTTGTTTCAAAATCATTAAAAAATAATGATCAACAAAATAAGATATTAAATTGTACCAAGAGCACTTAAATGAATCAGAAAAATTTCTAGACGACTAAATAAATCTATTCTTAACCAACCTATGTATTGAATCGCAGTTATCTAAGTTTTAACATTTCCACTGGGACTGACACGTCGTCACAGAAGTCGCAGTGGAAAAATTAAAAATGCTCAAGTAATTTATGTTAATGTAACATAATTAGAGGCACTGTGTGTTGAAATCTATAAATTTCTTAATATTGGTAATTTACACGCAATTTTAAGGTTAGATTTTGTGAAAGTTTTTTTTTTCTTTTGTGATCCATTAAAGATTTTTTGATTATCCTTTTTTTATTTTAACCGTAGACTAAATCGTTCCGAACGTCCGTTGTCACTATATGATACATGATATTTAAAAATTGAGCTATACATAAATCTCCATTTACAAAAATACTTGTAGCGTAATTTTTCAGATCACATTTTTTTTCTTCTACATTTGCATCACTAAAATGTCGATAACAACGATCTTTTTGTCCCACTTTGAGTATATTCTGTCGAGTCTGCGTCGGTCTGTGTAAGTACTGAATGGTCCACAAATATTTATAGTTGGCCAATTTGACCATACACGATTCTTAAAACATTATCTTGTATCACACATACAATTTCAAATTTTAACACCAAAGATAAACAATCCGAATATTGTAATAAAAAAATTCAACTTCAAATTGCAAAGACAAGACAGAAAAATAAAGTCAAAGAGTAGTAAGTCATAGACAATAGAATAAGGAGAGCCCAGCTCTGAAATTTATTTTTTAAATAAATTAGAATCGTGTATGTGTACAGTCTACAGTATTGGTAGGACAGTGTTGTGTTGTGTTGTGTTGTTGTGGTGGTGTTCAGTCTTTGACGAGCCTGTAGATGTGATGCTGCGCGCCGTGCTCACTATTCGACACTTCAAACACAAACGCTGCACACAATAATGTCTCTTGAGTATCTCTATTCGTCACCACCTGCAAATGAAACAACATATTAAAGTTATTGCCGAATTCATTTTAAAACTCGACGTTGGCAACTTTCGGGCTACGAACGTTTTAATATCAATTTTGTTCTATTTGCCCAGCGTTCAAATTACAGCGTATTTTTGTATTTGTATGCTGAACAAATTTGCTTTAATAATGTTTTGTTTTAAGATAAGTATGGAACTGTGTTGGCTTCGGTGAAGCACCGGGACATATGGTCACTATGGTACGAGACTGTGTTGACTTTGCTGAAGGTCACAATGGTACGACACTGCGTCACTATGGTCGACTGTACCTGTAGTATGGTGAAGTTCTCGAGCACGCTGTTCATCATGTACTTCTCGGGCAGGTGCTTGAGCTTGTGGATGAAGTTGACCATGTACTCGCACATGGGCGAGCGCTGGATGCGGTACACGAAGCGCCCGCCCTCGAACCTCGCGTACTCCGTCTCCACCTTCTCCACCACCTGCTTGCCGAACGAGCACACCTTCGTGCTGCACATTATTGTCATGTTCTCGTTGCTTTCGTACCTGTTACACAACAAATATAACTTGTCAACTCTAGCTACGTTTCAGTTAAAAAAAGAATTAGGAAAATGGGGCAACCACGAGTGGAGTTATGTAGTAACAAAGAAATATACAGGCAAATTAAGAACTTTCTTTTTGATGTCGGTTAAAAATAACATTAAATGGGGAAAAAATTGCCTTTTGCTGACTACAAACGTCATCTTCCCATGAGAGACTACCACAAACATACAAGTTTTTAGTTTTTCTCACAATTTCCAGTAAACTTGTATAAAGTACTTAAATATTTTTGGTAATGGTGTTTTGTGACAAGAAGGCTTAATGATCATCATCTTCAGTCTGGTCTAATGCTTAGTTTAAGATTTTGACGAGAGTGGAACCTATGACTACAGACTAGTCCTCTTCTTTACTCTAGTTCTGTTGTCTAAGAATGAGAATGGGAGGGGATGTATAGCAAAGGAAAGGAGTACTTACACACTAGTGACCCCGTAGAAGGCGCCCGGGTCGTCCAAGTTATTCGTGTTGAGATCCGCCCAGAACTTGACAAGGAAGAACGCGTTCCGCGGTCCCTTCTCGTACAACTCTTTTAGGCCGCCTTTCTTCTCAGGGAATTTGTCGTTTATTTGTTGAACATCTACTGACTGAAATACAAAAAATAATAAGTTAAAAATTTTCTAATTTCTTGTGATAGAAAGGCTAGGAAAATGTACACTCTTTTATTGGTCTAGAAAAACTTTGATTAACAAAGCATATGTAGTGCACTTACTTCTAATAAGGGGTCCGCATAGGTGACGGTGCCGCCTATGTGGACGAAAAGGTGTTGCGCGGGCGCCGTGCTCGGGGGGTACTGCAAATTACAACGATAAATCAAATTAGTATTATTAATAAACAGTGATAATATGCCAGCACAATATTTATTGCAAGAATGGGCCTCGCCCGGTGCAATACCACGACCATACAAAAGACAGACGTCAAGTGGAAGCAACTGCGCGTTTTGTCTGATGAGTGTGCGTCCCAAAGGACTAATTTTAGTCTTCTTTCCCTTCTCACTCTTTTCTTATAATGAAAATATGGGAGAAAGGGACGCATAGGAAGGGGAACTATTCGCTTCCTGCGTCCCCTCCTCCATCGATTAAAGGGAGACAACTGAATTTGCAGACGTCTATGGGCTTCAGCGAATCCAGATGACCGCTTGCTCGTTTTCCATCTAATAATATACAAAGTAATAACAAATCTAAAATAAATTGGTCTATACTAAAATGTTATTATTGACATGATAAGGAGCCACTATTGATTCATCTGTCAATTTCATCTTAGATCTAGTATTAAGTTTACTTACCGTATCCGCGTCTCTTGGATGCTCAACGAAGGCGGAGAACTCAACCAGTCTGAGCTTGTGCGTGGCGATGGCGCGGCCCTCCCACGGCGGCGGCGCCACGTCGGCCGCGCCGCCCACGCCCACGCCCACACCGGCGCCTAGGCCCACACCCTTGTAGCCAGCGCCAGGGAACGGCTTCACACTGTAACATGTCACACACATAGGTTACATGACCTGCTAGAAGAGAAGAATAGGGATATTTGACTATCGTCTGAAGAAACCCTTAAATGTTTGCCTAACAATGATTTGAAACATAGATTTTGATGTCTCAGTCTGAAAGCCTATTCCATAAATCGCCTGTGCCATCGCCTTAACCTCTAAGGTTTAAATGCAGTCATTATTTGATCAATCAATTTGAATGTTATCAATTATTTAAAAAAAAAACAAATAAGCCTGGCTATACGTCTATAGAACTTCTTAAATAGGTAAGTCCATATCTCAACATATGTATAGCATACTAGCGGACCCGACAGACGTTGTCCTGTCTACACGTCTTAAATTTGAATAAATTAATATGAAGTTAATATTTGATGAAAATTGTGAATCTAAACCATTCCCAGATTCCCTTGAACACACACAAAAAATTTCATCAAAATCGGTCCAGTCGTTTGAGAGAAGTTCAGTGACATCCACACTCACAGAAGAATTATATATATAAAGATATAAACAAAACAAGATTTTATTGTATGACTAGCTTAGATATCTAAAAGGCATGTAATCTAATTAAACACTAACGTACTTATTACGTACAAATGTTACGATTTATTTCTATATATAAACCAGAGTACTTATGTCATGTCTTTTCGTTTATGTTAAAAATTATCAACTTACTCTTGCGAGGTGCCTGCTTGTAGACCAGGTTGCCAAAATTGCTGAAAAGAGAACAATTAAATGATTATAATATTAATAAAAAAATAATATAATAGACAATAAGGTATTTTTTTGTAATGTTATAATTTTGTTAGAGTCATTAAAATAGCCCAAGTTGTTAAGAGCAACAAATTCTCTACACACTGAAACAGAAGCATATTATTCAACACTTTTAAACAATACAAGCTTTCAGGATATCAAAGCCTTCAATTACATTTATTAATTTAATTTACACAAATAAAGCAAAAGGTATTTTGGACCTTTGATATATTGATCTTAGAAATTTAACGTCGATTAAAAAATAATCATGAATCTATTGAATTTTTGTAGAAGTAAAAGTTGTAAAAGAAGAAAGATGACATATATGTTTTTGTATACATGATTCGGTAGTGAAAACTAACGGTATAATTATTTGAAAATGTATAAAATCACACTTTGTATATGATAACACGGAGTTATTTTGTAAGTAAAGCGATTCGTATGTGATGTTATTTCAAGAACTTCTTGTAGTGCGTGCTTTGCGACATGCCTTCACAAGTCCGTTCACCGAAACCCGTCCTCGTACATTTGTCTTATTAAATGTTCTTAAAGATCGCTTACGAATTAATTGTACAAAAAATTACAATATTTTTTAGTGATAGGACAAATCTGTGCCAAAATTTTAATCTTCAGAAAGGACTTCGCTATCTAATAACAAATTAAAGATCTCTTTTGTGCTTGCATTTACAAACTTAGCCTTACACTTTGAAATCATGTTGTACACTTCAAAAGGGGCTATGTTACTGCTATATTTTTTATTAACAAAACTAGTTCAGATCTCCGGTGAGTGTTGAGGCTAACTAGAAGCTATCAATTCGTGGAAAGAGTAACGGGCAACGGCGAAGCAACAACACAGTATAGGCAATCTAGTTCTGTTCACCGGCAAGTAAGACAAAGGCAAGCCTCGCACCGTGTGGTACGCCGGATGCGGCAGGCCGGCGACTATCTGAGCACTCGACAGCGTGCTCATCGACTGCATCGCCTTATCCTTCATCACACCACCGTCCTATAGCCATCATCCATTGTTATCTCATGTTATACTAGCTAGTTAGTAGAAGATGGTAACTTTCGCCACTTTACGAAGAGCTAACCCAACTCTTTGAAGAATCTCAGCAAACTTTTTATGTTGCTTGTAATCTCCGGCAATTATTCCAGAGCCGATATACTGAATCCAATAGTCGATTCTACCAGGCGGTGTTGCATCAACGAATTAGTATTAACTGGCTAGTGTCTATTGTTAACGCGTAAATAACTAATAGATTAATTCGATTGAAATTTTAAGATATGTTTCATCGTCATAGGTTGCCTAGTCCTAGCATTTCATCTCTTTTTAATAAAGATATGGTAAACTGTACCCAATATCGCACCTTTTGTTTGGTATTAATTAATTATGTTGATTTGATATTCTTATGCAATTGCTGATAAGGATTATACGAATTGCTTCATATGACCTACATATAAGACATTATATTGTTAAATACTGCTTACATGATAAAATATAACAATAGCTCATAAGACAATTGATGTATAAAATATAAGGGTGTTTACTCACCACTTTGAGTTTGGCCTGTATCTCTCTTAGCTTCCGCCTCGCTAGCACCTGTATGTGTGACGAGACCTGTTTTCTTGTGCGGGTTTTTCCTGTCCTTAACTTAATATATCTCGCTATGAGCTCGTTCCTTCCTGCAACACGATTTATTGCACTTAATTAGATAATAAAACGAATGGGGAAAGCTTAAGACGCTGTGACGAAGAAATTAAAATGCGACGCTGAACGAAATGAACTTTGACTTTATTCACTTTGAGTTTTATAAAACTTTATATAATATTAAATGAACATAATACAAAAGTAAAATGTTTTTTTAGAATTATGAACTAAAGAATCAATCTAGTATCCGATTTCTTGGAGATTATTGAAATTTGAAAACTGCATGTTTACACGAGTATGATTTTACGCATAGATAGAGTAGAGTGCTATTATTATATTATATGCATCCAAATTTTGTATAACAAAATTAATTAGTGCATGTAATGTGTACACAGTAGTATGTCATAATGTTTGGTAGCGAGCGAGAGCGTGGCATTACGTCCGCGCAAGGTAATTGTTTGACGCGCGTTTAGAGCGGTGACATCATAGAAACAAATTGGCCGGGCGTGGCTAAATCACCGTACACCTCACCTGCAGTTAAACATGTCAACGCAAACAACTATTACATACTTTTTTCCTATTATTAATATGTTGAAGTAAGGCAAGTCATTGAACCTTTAAGATTTGTTTCATTAGAAAATATACAGTACATTTTTATAACACAAACGCTGTCTAATGTAAAGTAAATTAATGAAAACATAATTAACAGCCTATGTGTTCTTCCAGACTATGTTCTATATGTATGCGATATTTCTTTAAGATCCATTCGCCGTTCTGGAGAGACCTTTAAGCATCCATCCATCTAAACATTCACATTAATAATACTAGTAATTATTAGGGATAAATAAAATCATTTGTAAAAATTCAGAATAGTTTGTAATAAAATCCCTACATTCCTGCCACAGTATTAGACGCAGAAAAAAAGTAATTGGACAGCAGTATTTTTGAGGACATGTATAACCTGGGCAGAGATTATAAATGGACGAATAAAAAAGCAACCCTCGCCCTCGTCAATTGACATAACCCGCGAGATAGTTTGAATTGTGGAACCATTGCGAGCGCGCCGTGGCCCCGGACCGCGCCGACTGCGCTTCCAGGCCCGCTATTTTGAAAATATTTTGAATAGCTATTTTCAATAATTGAAACTGCAACCGAATATTTTGAATAGCTATTCAATTATTGAAACTACAGCCGGGCAGGAATGCGAGCAGGCGACGGGAGAGCCGTCGATTTATTTTAATAGTTTCATCGAATAACGTACACCGATTCCAATGAATCCATCATTTAACATAAATATTGGTTTTCGGGATAAAACGTTTAACATATTTCTCATACGATTGAATCAATAAACATTATGAAATGAATCCAAACGCTTCTGTTTATTCTGAAAATATGCCCACTATGTATTTAATTACTACATATAAACTAGGTTTCCACTAATAATAACTTTTCGTTTTTAGATTGTAACCGACTGCAGTAGTAATGTTTGATCAATAGATCATTTTTGATTTAAAGCCAACCCATCAATGATGCAAATTCGAATATATTATATCGAATCTACATCCCGCATATTACAATGGACGCATTCCCTCCCCTGCTATGCCGTCTCGATAATATATTAGCGTGTACACCGGCAAAATTATCTCCATTATAAGCTGGGCTACCACATAGCTACGTATGTATACAACACTTTACTGAGAAATACGCCTTTGGTATTTGACGTCGGACTTACGACGTAAGGTTGGTCTTTATCTTTGTGAAATGTTAGTGGTTAGGAATCTGTTAGGTGAATTTAATGCTAAGAAACAATATTTAGTGACAAATTTTCTGTATTTCTCTGAGGTTTATTAGATTTAGGTAACGCGTTTTCAACTTTAACTTGCAGTTTTCTATTGGCTTTCATATCACAATAATTTTTAATCTGCCAAATTAAAAAAAAAAGTTTTAATAGTCATTTTGAGTACTGTTTAAAAGTCCAGGATAGAATAGCATATGTAAATATATCACAAACATAACGAATTGTTTCGTAAATAATAAATACTCATAGTAATATCAAAGGATTTTAAATAAAAGCGTTTTGTTTCATTGTTTTTCACAAAGTGAACAAAATAAGTAGAAAGCATTAAAAGCATTCAGCGCAATGGAGTCCTACGAGATCCAATTCTCTCGATAGTGTATTAATTCGTGGACAATGAAAGACTCGACTAGACCAAAGTAAATTGAAATCTCATTGAATTCGGGGAATGCGAGGCGACGGGAGACGGTTGCTGTGAATTTAATTAACCCCTTACCGGCTCGTTGGGGCGTACGTCACACATACGCATATATACGCAAGCACCGATTGATCGCCGACCGACGGATAAATTTTCATAATTGAACCTGCCCAATGAAATCATCGAGAACTTATATAACATACCCATAATTTATACCAGACTTTTACTACAGAATATAATTCAAGAAAGTTGGTACTTTTATGGGTTTGTTGATACATTAAAAGGAGAAGTGATAGAATATTTGCTTATAAGTACGATGTAAAACGTTATAACTCCATTTTTGATACTAACCAATTCTTATTGTGAATCTTGTTAAAATGAAGGAAAAGTGAGTGCTTTAAAATGTCAATTCGCAAGTGTAAAGTTTTTCATTAGGCGCTAAGAATTTAGGGCTCAATAGAGAATTGTGTAAGATTAAAGTGAAAGTCAGTCGTAATATCGTGAAGTAAAGTTTTGTAGACTGTGTCGGGACATTCTTGGGATCGCTATGGAGTTATGGCACCGTTTCGGGAAGTTTTCACGGCGGGTGTTGGGTTAAAATTAGCGATCGCTGCGACCGAAACGCAATTAACACGAGATTAATACGCGATGGATTTAAATAATAGTGAACCGAGAAATCAAAATTATAGACAAAGTTCCACGAAATTCTACGAAAATTGTTCGTAGCTGCTAACAGGTGAGTGTGGTACTCAAAACTTTAGCGTCCCTTTTTGTATGTACCTTTTGCCATTTAAAGTTTGTAATACTAGATTTCAAGTAACTATGTACATATGTATTTGTTTATGTTTAAGTCACACGAACATACCTCCTATCGACTATTTAGTTGAAGTAAAATTTTAGGACGAATTTAGGTACAATAAGATGGTGCTATAAACAGCAAAGTGTGGCGACAGATCGCCGCGGAATCGACGTGTATGTAGTAGAGTGCCTTCACCCGAATCGTCGCGTGCATCCGATATAAATAGCCGAAGCAGAGGATGAGAGCTGCGTTTCTATTCCGTGCCGAATAGAAAAACAAGAGATCATTATTTATTAGTTGGTTAGTTGGCTAATTTGGTCCGTTGGCAACGGCTACGCTCTCGAGCGCCCCGATCTAATTGTGCGTGTAGAGACATGAATATTCAACGTTTTCTACGACATATCATTTTCATAATATAGACTGTGTGTTGCTTTTTAATTGTTTTTTTATTAATCCTTTCAAAGAAGATAAATGAGATTTAAGATTTTATAATATGACTAGCTGTCGTCCGCCACTCCATCCGCGCAGTTAAAAAAAACTTAATAAGTAGCCTTTGTATTCTTGGCATACTAGGTACTACAACTGTGCTAATTACTATCAAGATTCGTTGAACCATTTTGGCGATACCTTCTGACAAACATCTATCCCCAACCAAACGATCGCATTTATAATATTGTGTTTAGTATGAAATATTAATGTAAACGAAATTGAACAGAAGGACATTTTGATAAGATGTTAGTGTATTAGTATCGGACATAATATATTATGATTACAAACGTCTATAACATAATTTATATGATAACCGGAGTGATATTGAAGAACCATCAGAAACACATTAACGTACCGCCGACCGCCGCAACTCGGCCTTGCGATTGTTTTCCATTACAGCTTTTGTGACAGATAAATTCTTATTAGACCTTTAATAAAACATTTTAATAAGTATTATAAGTCGATCGTAATGATATATGAATTGACCCACGCATTGGTGGTGAACAAGATAGACCGACGATTTAGGTAAATCCATAGAAGTCTGTGGTCATCTGAGGTTCTGATCAATTTAGGATTTCATTGTGACTTATTCGTAAAGCTTAGCACTTTATCGATAGAGCGATTTACTTGTTACTCGTTGCGTATATTGCATTGGAAACTTTAAGAAGACTTAGTGAAATTAACAAACTAAAAAAACGTTACAGAATAGTAGATTCCTTAAACGACATGAATGGCACAATAAAGACGTTTAAATGTCAAACGTATTGATTGTTCTGCACTACTGGATGTAATAAAATTACGCATAGTAATCAGAGTTCGCTCAAAGACGTTACAAATGAAGAAAGTACAAAGACATAGCGTGTTCCAATAAAAGAAACATTCGGAGAGGTCGAGGCAGAAATTCACGCTGACCCAAACAGAAGATATGCAGTGGAGCCTCGAGAAGGGTTGAGCCGAGACGCCGTAAGGAGGTCCGCGCGGGAGACAATCGGGAGTTATGGCCGAAGGCGGGCGGGGCGCTAAACAACGGGAGCGAAACCCGCCCCTTCTTTATATTTTCTTACTGCGTTCGCTCGGTGGCGGGCCCCTTACACGCTCGCTCGCTCACTAATTGCGCATTCTTCGCATAGTTTAGCCCTCCCGGCGCGCCCGTCCCCCGCCGCGACCCCTGCCCCCGGACCACGTGAAGCGCCGGCGAAACTTTCATACTGCCAGGATATTGAGCGGTTTTGAATGTCTTAACTCACGAACGCCTGCAGCGACGCTGCCAGTGCTCTGTAGGCTAACTGTTGCCAACTGTTCGCCACCGCACCGCGCCGCTTCGTCTCTGCTCTCGGCTGAATTATCGCTCACGTGTGCTGCCGCCGATAAGATAATTATTGCTTATTTGAACTAAGTGACGGAAAACCGCGTATTAACATAGGAAAACTACATTTCCTAAGACATTGACCCAATTACATTTTGGTCTATGTAAATATTTATGTAGTTGGAGCTGACTACATGTTTAGGAACTACAATCAAATGAATAATAGTTGTAGATAGATTTTGCTATTTATAAAAAATCGAGTCATGGTAATATAGGCGATAGGTGAGAGGGCAGTTTAGTAATTTCCCGGAGATTATCCGCGACTGCGACGGGTAAGGGCGAGCCGAGGGCGAGGGAACAGACGGACGGACAAGGGTGACGCACTTGAGCTAGATTAAGGCCGGGCCGACACGTCCGCGAGTAATGTGCTCATATATTGTCCGGACGAGGCGCGTGCCCGCAATTATATGGACGCTAGTGCCGACACCGCGGCTCTACGTGGCCTTCTCGTTTTCGTCAAATGCCATAAAGAGGACTGCAGCGGTCAATGCAGGCCTAAGAAATATTCTGTAAGAAACTAAAATTATCAGCAAGGTTCAAGTTTCTTGTTTAAACATCTTGACATAATGAACGCAGTGTTACAGATGAATGATTTTTTTTGTAACACTAAAACATAGGATGTTCTATTTTTCACTTAGCGGAAAAATAATAACATGGTTTAATTTATAAACTGAGCCCCACAAACATCTTTAATTCACCTTAAATGTAATAAACAATTTGTCCGAGGCCTCGGTCCCGGCATAGGCGTTATTAAAACGTCGCATTTCTTTGCGTACATTAAATCACTTAAGGTGGACACGGCGTCTGATGTAGATTTGTTTAGCAATTCCATCCGGAGCGGGCTTAGCGGACAGTCCTTTAATTAAAACCCGGCCGTGTAATGTTGGTGTGACGCGGACTTAATGGCAGTCCGCAGGCTTAATGGCCCCCGACGACTTTAATTGTTCCACGTCAATTGTGCCGGCTTACGTACGCGTCTCCGAAACTCTACCAAAAATCACCATGCGTGCCGACATCAGTACATACTGACAGTCTAGATTGCCAGAAGAACTGAATAATGTAGCTTTGAATTTGCTAATAAATGTGCTCTTAAATACGAGGAAAGATACAAGGAAGAAGAAACCCTGGAATAAAGCTAATTTCATGGCTAGAAAATGCTGAGTAGTGTATGTTGACTTTTTAAGAAAATGGAAGAGAAGAACATGAATATTTTCAATTATCTCATTAAACTTCAAACTGACACTACTTCAAACTACATACATTACTAACTAGAAACTTGCTCCGCTATGATTAAATTCACTGTGTTTGAACACCTTATCGGTCTCTTTTCAATCTGGACATGTCAGAAGTATGAATAAGAATTTCGGCCGTAAAGGAAAACTAAGCAAAGAATTTGGTACTACCCATCAACAAACATGATTACTGATTTCGTCAAAACTTTTATATCAAAGAAACGTAGCCAGAATCAATTGGGCGTATCATTGTTATTGTTCATTAAACGCAACTGTCAACGTAAAAAGCGTGTTACACTGTAGTTGGCCGCACTCTTAATGTCCCACTGAGAGTCGCTAACAATATGTCACAAATTGACTATCGTTAGTTGCCAGTATCGCAAACATTAACAAATGCTCACTAAACTGGCCAATATAATACTAATTAATTTTTTTTGTTCCAATAAAAAATATACGGACAAATTGATAATGTCCTTCTTTTTGAAGTCGGTTAAAAACAATAAAAACCTTCTAGGATTCTACATTACATGATCGATTAGTACGTAATAGAACTTTCAGTAGAAGCATGTTTTACAATAACTGGACTGAGGGAGGACCGTGACATTTATTGGATTACAAAACGTGAAGTTTTTATGACAACTTACAGAAATGGGTGTCAAAAACATAACAGAATTCGAAATTGAACTAATATTAAAAGAACCAAATTTTATTAAGGATATACTGATAAATGAATGAATATGGTGATCGTGACCACTGGGTTGTACTGGCTCCATTAAAATAATAAAAGTAAGCCGGCTCTAGTAGACTATTTATTTGTAGTACATAACATGTGATTGTAGATTGTCTTTTTAAATGTTATAGAGTAAAGCTTTAGTAAAATATAAATCTGGCAACTAAATAAACTTAAAAAAAATTACTGTGAATAATCGTTAGAGGTTCGTAAAACTACAAAAGATTTCCGGGCGATGTTGATTTCTTGAAGGGAAAAGGTTTCATTTAAGTGGCAATCGTCACGTCGCGTTAACGAGCTTCCTGAGTTAACAGAGCAACGTGAAAAAATGTTCGTCTGCCTTACGACCGTATCAACTGCCGAGCTTTCCTTGTAACTGACGCGACTTAATGAATTCGACTTTGAATTAGGTCGAGGGTCAATTTTCTGTAACCCATTCTATTCAACATAATATTACAAGTTAGTTACAGACTGTTGAAGAGATTAATGATTTAAAGATTTATTAGAAATGGAAACAGTTGACTGTTAACGTTTATTTATGCGTGTGCAGTTGTTTAAATGTTTTCTATCGTAAGAATTTTATTGCTTGACTAATTTAGAAGAGAGAAGACTGACTGTTTAGATATGCGTAGATCAATCGAACTCCATTACCAACTCCACTAAGGACACCAATGTTAGGACAGTACTGAAATACAATCCACAAAGATATGCCTTCGGCTAATAGTCTACTTAAGTTTTGTTGTATTATGTAACGCAAAATTCACCGTAAAGCTTTTCTAAGTTATTGTCCTGAATACAATTAAATTAATGTAAGTTAAATTTACTGTAAGATAAAGACCTTGACTTCATGTGAATTTGCCGAGTATTCGCAAATAAGAGTGACAAATAACTAGAGCATAGGACCACCTGGGAGTTATTTTCTCATTTTCACGTAGTATTAGAAAGAAGCGATACGTGTCCATTTCCCGGTATCGGACACACGGACCGATCGCCAGATAATAATTGTCGGTGTGCGTCTTTCCGTGGAATTGTATTGCAAACCGCTTTGTCGGTATCGGTTCCCGTCAGCGCCTACTGTCTTTTGTCTCGTGCCACCGCTATTGTTCATTTCCCGACCTTGATATCATATACATAAATACATTATGTTGTGTAAGTAAAACCAATGAAACAATGTTCGAGATGATTCAGTTGCGAATTTAGCATCTGTTGACGTGTTGGGTTTTATATTTAACTAAGTTTTGCATTCGGCTTCGCCCACGTGCGTTATAAATATTGCATTACTACTTTTACTAAGAAAGACGCTATCAAAGAGTTCAATAGACAGAGATATAGATTTTAATAAAGAGTGTTTTTGCACCCTTTGAACTCTGAAATATTTATTTAAAAAACCATCAGACTTGCCTCATCTGTTTTGTACTTTTAACTACGTTTCGCAGTTAATAATTATTATCAATTAATTAAAAGTGGTAATTTATTAATAAATATTTCTAACCAGTACTTTTGAAGCATCCTAGTCTAAATTACTAAAGCTGAAATTCAGCAATATGCTAATAAACAATGTAACATCTATAATATATGTATTTATGTTGTATGTTGAACGTTAACCATGTTGCGTCATAGTACCGAGGTAGTAACAATAATTAGCATAATTTCTGAGTATTTCCATCGCTTTTAACTATTTTTATTCAATCAGTTCCATGTTAAATTTTGTTCAGTTCAGCTGAAATTTTGTACTTTAAATTCTACTGGCAGTTGTGTCATAATTCATGAAGTATACCTACTTAGAAAACTTAAGTTTAATTAAAGTTCAGCTTTATATAATCTATTTCACACTTGTTAAATCCTTTAGGTGAATTATTACTGCCTTTCCATGATACGCTACGGTCTTTGTACCACTGAATTTCTACTGAACGTGTCCCATAATATCCCATGTTCTGTCCATTGAGGACATCAATAATATCCATAATAAGAAGGGGAACGACTATTACAAACTTTATGGCTATTTGAGGACAATTTTCTGACGTTAATACACAATTTGAATTTTATTTTTATACTAGCAGGCGTCCGCGACTCCGTCCGCGCGGAATAAAAAAAATCATAATTAGTTGCCGATGTGTACTTCCAGACTATGTTATATATCTATGCCAAATTTCATCGATACCCTTTCGGTATTGAAGATATCTTCAAACAAACATCCATCCATCCATCTAAACATTCGCATTTACAATAATATAAGAAAGAAATAAGAAGTAAGATAGTAAGATGACGGTTATTTACCAATCAAATATAAAATTATGCGGAACTTTACTGTATGCTAGATTCATATTTCAAGTACTAAAAGTATAAAAAATATTTTCTTGGCAATTAGCAATTTATAAAAAAAAGCTGTTGGAAATACTTCATACAGTAATTGCCTTTGACATACATATATAACATTTCAAAATGCCTAACGATTATTTTTAATCTATATAATAAGTCATAGAAGGTATTTCGAGGTCACTACGAAATGGCATTTTTAAAGTTTTATTGACTTGTGTAATTCTTTTTAAAACCATTTGTTGTTTTTAAAAATATTGTTCTGTTAAGCGACTGTTACATTGTTTTTCGAAAACTGCTAAACATCAGATCATATATCAAGTAATTAAACTCTGCAGACTTTTAGTAATTGCTGATAAAAATCATAGATGACAAATCGTTCTATAAGCAACCATTTTTTTTTTAAATTATATTACTAACTTTAATATACAAAGAACGTTCAGGGTAAGAACATAATATTATTATAAATGCGAATGAATGGATGTTCGTTTGAAGGTATCTCCAGAACGGCTGCATGGATGACGCTGATATTTGGCATAGATATAGAACATAGCCTGAAAAAACGTAGGCTACTAACAATGTTTTTTTTAATACCGCGCAGACGGAGTCGCAGGCAACATCTAGTATCTTTAATAAATTCTTTTTTAATTAAAGATAAACTAATAGAAGAAAGGAGCCTAGATAGTGAATTAAAAAGACAGAATTAAAACTCTATCGTCTTATATAGACGGCTTATTACAAAATAATTATTTTACTAAATCTATGAATGGAAGATTCTGGTAATAGAGATTTGAACCTCATTACTTCCTCTAGCATGTCCGGACTCACCGTACATCTTGCCCTCGTCGGAGAGGATAATTTTGCGTCTGCCGCACGGCGGGTAAATAGCCAGCGCCTCCTGAAAGCTCTGTTCGATGTCTGGACTCCATACTCCCTCCGCATCTGCAGCTGATAGGTCCTGGAAATTTTAACCTTTTTTAAGACAAATAACATTTTTAAGACGTTAACAGTAATAATCAGTACTGTTCATGATGTTTACAATAGCTTATATATTATATTTATTTTTTTAATCAGTAATCACTTAGAGATTATACATTTGATTTTAAATGTAGAAGACTTCACGATACTTAATTCAATCTCCTTGATTATGTAAGCGTGCTGTCTGTTTTTTTTGGAGATTTTATAATTTTTCTGCTTCGGAGATTATAGAAATCACATTTTTAAAGGTGAATAAGGTAAAACTCTAATTTTCCAGAAACTATGTGTAAACTTATTCCTAAAATCTGAAGTTTGTTGTTACAGAAACATCATTAGTTATAATTTCCCTCAGATAAATATTTCCCGAAACTCAAGTTTAATATTCAACAACTTTAATAAATGGACTGGCTATAAGACGTTATATTTTGTGCCTATTTGATTTTCGCCATTTTGACGCTGATGGTACTGGTTTGTAGCAGTGGTGTGGATTCAAACTAATAATAAGATAGTATTAACGGTCACATCACATTTACAGGCGCGTTTAAATCGGTACGAATAAAAAGCTATTACAAGAAATCGCCTATTCATTCTAAGTGATGAGTGTCAATATTATATTCGATTATAGGAATTGTTTATAGTAGCTCCCTAGTTATCAGTTAGCGAATGGGATTTGCCGCGATCGGTTCACCTTGACCTTCGTTCCTCTAAATATTTGCGCTACGAAAAATAGTATTGGCATTCAAATGTGAACGTGAATCGACATCTCTCGACGAAACTAAGGAGTTGTACACACTAGTGCTGCATAATATGTGAAATATAATACAATGTTTTATTATCTGTCGCGTTAATTTTAACAAGCTCTTGTTAGTATAGATTTCATCAATATGATAGTGACAATATTTATAATACAAGATAAGATTGTTTTTTTTTATCTTCTTAGGCCCGCCACACACCTTCAGTTTTGATTGCGCAATTTTAATTGTATAGACAAACTGTTATATTAAATTGTGTTTAGGTAAAATTTGTACCGTCAGTTATGCTGTACAGTGTTCAGTTTTGCCCACATGAGCTTATTTGCTATGTATTAGTGATTTTACATGCAATTTTAACTGAAGGTGTGTAGCAGACTTTAGGATTGGGGTGTCGTTTAAAACGGAAATACCAATACGGATGAGTGTTTTGATATTGATAAATTAAAAATTATTTTATATCTTTAATATGATTACGATAGTCTTAAACACGAAATTTTAAGAACTTAATGATGTTCTTAAACTGCGGCAGAGGTTTCTTAATTTCTTCTTATTTTTATGTAAAAAAAACTGTTCAAATGTGTACTAAACTTTAGTGTGACACTTCACTCATTCTATTATATGAACCATTGCTCACCCGCGACTCCGTCCGCGGAAGTAAACTGACCTTGGTGGAAACGTCGGATTCATTCATATCGCTTATAGAAACATCGGCTATGTATTAGTGATTTTACATTGAATGGATAATGGTCAGTGTTATCAAATGTCGGCTTTTATGATAATACTACGTCGCGATTATTTATATTAATGTCTGCGATAAAAAAAATAATTATCTATAGCAAACTTTTTTCGTGGTCAATTAAAAGAAAAAAGGAAAAAAGATAGTTGGTTGTTATAGAAGAATCGGCTTCTTTCAGCATTGTTTTGTATCGAACGAAACGCAGAATCTACTCCATGTTTTTTATATTTATATGATAAACTGTAAACTTCCTTGAAAATGATTGTTCCTATTTTATAACAATAGACTATCAATGAAAGCAATTATCATCGGCTCTAGCACGAGATATGCTTCAATACATATGAATAGAGTAACTTTAAAAGAACTTAAATAAGTAACGAAACGATAGTATTGTCAAAGTATCGAGTTAGAACATAAAACAGACGCCTCAGCGAAGTCGGAACGATATTCCCTGGATCAGAAACAAGGCGTGGAGTGCGTCATTGTAATTAATAGACTCGATTCTATTCTCAAAGGAAAATAAAAATACACACCGACTTAGACTCGGGAGCCGACGCGGACGTCGTTGGAAAACATCGTGAATCACTCGCCGTTCCCCGAACACTCGAAATACTCGAGCGATATCTCGCCGAATTACGAATAATCGATACACCTGTTACTTGTATCGTACGCGTGTCAAAATAAATTAGCATTTACGGAGTATAACGTGCTGTTTTAATTTATTATCTATGTAAAAAGGTTTATTATTGTCTTCCCATTTTAAAGATGTTTCATTTTGTGCTGATTCATGATTTGAGGAGGTTGAGATAATTAAGATAAGTACTATAAAGAAATTTGTCAAGGCCATCGATTGGCAATTGAATTTTGAGTATTTATAATACAATAGGCATAGTATACTGCTTTGAATTTGTACAAATAGATTCGAAGAAGGTGACGAGGAAAGTTATCATATAAATAAAATTCTTAAATCAATTAAAATTATGCCAGCAATTTCGCCGAGAGCGCGAAAAACGAAGAACCAGCAATAGTCAACCATTCATGGTACGGTATCACGGTCTTTTAGATACTAGTAGGTATAGAAATGGGTTTGCCTCAAGGGTTACTTAAACAGAAGTTTAGTGTAGATTTCTTCTACTAAAAGTACACTAAGGACTTCTCCTTGAGTGACCACTATGGGTGCAGTATGAATTAGGTAGTTAGATATATGATTGTTTACCTTTTCATCGTCACTAGCGTCGCCGACGTCGAGGTGCTTGGCGTCCGGGCCGCCCGAGCCGTTGGTGTCGGGCGCGCCGGCCGCCGCGCTCCACGGGGACGCAATCGTGCCGGCTGCGAGCGCGCCGCTCGCTGGAACAATACAACTACGTTACAATCCATTTCACATATATTGTTATGAGGCCCTGGTATCTCAACCCAAAACTCTCTATACATCCATTCTTGTTTTAAATGGATATTTGCGATTATCGATTCTAACATAAATTGTTATGGGGTCCTGGTAACTTCAAACAGAATTTTCTACACATTGGTTACTCGCAACTTTTCAGCGTAAAAGTAACCACCGTATTTGTCGGTTAGCCTTAGTATATTGTAGATTTGTAGAATATCACGTCTTTTAGAATCTTCATTTTTAAAAGCAGTAAGAAACATTTGGCTAAAAAATGATAAATCATCGTGATAATTAAACTTAAAAAGATGTGATGTGATGTGTAACATTACATTATTTCTTCGAACTTAGACATCATATAACTCTGTTATCTATGTACCCATTGATGAGATTGTTTACGTTCAGATTTAGACATGTTTCGTAGAAGAGAACGGACAGGTATTGAATTATGATAACCATGTCTTAAAAGAATTATGCTTAAATACAAATAAATATTGACACAATTTTTTTCCCCAATTGATTTTTTTTTAAATATTATCAGATTTTTGTGAATTTACTAATATTTCTTTCTACCATTCCAATTAAGCTAGCTGGCTTGTGCTAGGACATGGTTTACAACAATAGTCGAATGGCGGGATTTGAACTCTCGACCTCGTGATCGGAAATCCGTACCTCTAACCATTAGGCTATTGGCGCTAAAGGGAGGATATAAAGGACTAAACCGATTTTGACGAGTTATGTATCGTTGATTCGTATCTGAAGGTCGTAGGTATTCATGAATTTTTAATTAACAAATATAGTTCATTTCAACTTTAAGCATCTTCGGTAGTGTATGGTTGTTGAGTGTAATTCTGTGACGTAATCCGTTGTTTGCTTATCCGTTCGGATGCTTGCGTTGTAAACGTTGTGATCGTATTGTGGCTACTGGCACGTTATATTACAACACAAAGAGATTTATAACCGTACACGTCTTGTAAACTTACCACTGCCCACTATTACTATTCTAACTCTACAGTATTACAGCTTGATATAGCACCAAAAATACTCGAATAAAATTACAAAGGTAAAGAGTATGCAGTAGGTTAAGAGCAGCAGAATAATTCAATTATTCTCTAAATGAATGTATCAAGTAATAAATTGTAAAATAAAAAGAACTGTTATAAATAATCGCGGCCTGAATGATTCACGAGTCAAACAAAAACGCTGAAAAACCGTCAACAGAAACTTCCAGAATGTTGGTTCTAAAATTTCTTAATACCGAGTATCTTTGTTCCCACAAGATCCGAGAGCGGAGGTCGTAGGTATTCTCGAAATTTTCATATTTACCGTTAGAAATATGCAGGTACGAAACGTTAACAATATAAATATAATATCAAAACGGAGAATTTCGTTATGAAGATCGGATCGGGAGCCGGGAGGATAAAATATGCGCCGCCCGCTTGCGAAGCGATGTCCCCCACACTTTATAAATCCTGCGTCGCCTCGTCGCCTCGCTTCGCTTCGCCCACCTTGAGCAAACTAACTTTTACCAAACGATCCAAGTATTTCATCTATTTTTATCTGTTATTAAACAACTCACTTAACATTCATACCTTCAATTGGAATCATTTAAACGAATTTTGTGTAAGTAAAAGATTTATGGAGTCGTTGGTAATGTTCACCCAATTTATAACATAAGAAATTGAGGCAAGTCTTTGGAAACAGATTTGTTTACTGTTATGATTATTTTAGAACTTCGCCCTCTTCTATTTCTTGTTTATTGCAGTATTGTTTTATTCAAATGCAGGAAGTTTTAAGGGTTTTTCATTTATATTCAAAATTTGCCGTCTTTTACTAATCATTCAGTAAACGAAGGAAGAAGTATGATGGAAGTAGGAAACAACATGCTTACGTTACTAGATTTGTCTAAATCGTAATGCTCAATAATGAAATATAAAGTGAACAATTTGCAACTAAAGACTAGGTAATTGGTTGCATCGATTTTCCAACTAGTCTAGCGTGTATGACAACAAAGTTAAAAGTGAACGTAGCAACTAAAACAACCGACGCGGTGTCCCCACAGTGTTGTGTTGAAAGTCCGGCTGAACGTCGCCCTACATCCACACGACAAATTTGCACTACCATTATTTACTACCATTACATTATACAATGTTTTACAACTGCCGTGAATAATAACCGGATTCCTACATACCATTTACGGACATATAAGTAGATGTAAAATGATATAGAGATATAGAACAAAGAGTCGATAGTACTAGCCTCATCTTGCAGTATCGCAAAAAGTCAATATGTTGGAGTGAGACAAAGAAATATGATTGAACAAACGTTGCTCGCTATGAAAACTGCTGTCCGTAGGTTTTAATGGAAGAGCCTAGTCGCTAAGTCAGTAACGCATCGCTGTGCACTTCATTCATAATGCAATTACAAGACATGCTCGTTTTATGTAATCGTAAAGCTTTGTATTGTTTATTTTAAATCTTTTTAATGCTGTTTATTTTGTATTTTCAAATTGCATCAGTGATTTTAACATCAATAAACGTGATAGAGACAAAATACGTCTCCATTGAAGAACTGTTATCCGTAATTAATTCAAATTCGATTGGTTTCATACTATGTTATATATGAGTACTATCTCTTATGAAATATGAATATTCATACCTAAGTAAAGCCCAAGTCATAATGTGGTGATTGAATAAGGAACGGAAATGCAGATCATCTTTACAGTTAGATGCGGTCAGCCCATAGTCGGCGTAGTCGCCTAGAAACAGGTTAGCATTCTCTGGAAGTAGCGGAATTCTTTTAACCTACATAGCCTCAATTAGCCTATTATAACCGTAATTGGATTTAATAAGCGTTTTCTTTAACTCTACCTCTACCTAGTCGTCCTTTATGGGGATTTTCCAAAAGAATTCTTGTGACGTAAGATATAGCTATGCAACTGATCAATGACTGCTGCTCAGCTTTATTTACAAATCTCAGATTATCCAAATGTTTTATTTTATAGTCGCAAGTTACGTCATTAATTGTCCAAGTGATCCCTCCTCTTCCATCCTCAACCAGACTCTCGTAATCGGCTACAAGCAATTATTTCGTAATAGCACCCGCGACGCAGTCCGCGCGGATTTAAAATAAAAACATAATTAGTAGCCTATGTGTTCTTCCTGACCATTTTCTACATCTAAGCCAAATTTCATCAAAATCCGTTCAGCCGATCTGGAGATACCATCATTTATAATATTAGTAAGAAGTAAGATATATTAATGTGAGTATACTAAATCTAATTACTAAATAAAAAGCTTACTCACAAACCGCCATTAATTAATAAAGGAAAATCTTCACATACAGTAGATACGGTCCTTTTGTCATTGCAGACCCCAGCGAGGGTCCCACTTATTGCGGACACTTGTCATATCAACACAATGCGAGCGTCGAGAGGGGTGCTTTATTATTTTAATTATTGCAGTCGCGATGCGCCCTCTGTGTGCGACCGTGGCGGTGCCGTGCCGGCGCGGCGCTTTGATGCGGCTTCGAATTAGCAGCTGAATTGTTGTAATTGAACGCCCTCCACTCCGTACTTATTAATCAGAGCTAATGCTCATTGCCGTTTCGATGTCTAGTTCATTTATTAAACCGACACTTATTGCCAATTAGTTTTCAGTTCATTGTCTCCTCGATTTTGCAAATTAACTCGTTATATTATGTTACATTGATTTCAATTTATGGGTAACTATGTCATATACCAAAATGTCAATTGATTAAGTTTGTCGTCGTCTATTGTCATCGCCTTAACCGACGATGTTTTACAACAAAAACAAAACCCAGTTTAAAAGTTACAATCTTTTCGTTGCATTTCCTAAAAAAAAAAACTTTTTTAGACCTGGCGATCATAAATAATATGTGTTGTGTCGAACGAATGTAAACGAGGCTCGTTAATCTTTTCACTGTCAGATCTGTGATGCGGCTCCCAGCGGCTTTGAATGCAGCGGCTGCAACGCTCGACTTAATGTTTCAATTCACGGACCTTCGCCGACGATCATTAAAAACATCAATATTCATACGTCCAATCCTTAATTCTACATCATCGGCGAAACAAATATATTATAAAGAACAGATATTTTACAAAATAAGCATCATTTGGAAGTGCATTTTGCGTTTTATTATAATTACTAGCTGTCGACCACAATTCTGTCCGCTCGGAATTAAAAAAAAACTTAATGAGTAGCCTATGTGTTCTTCCAAACTATGTTATACATCCATGCCAAATTTCATCGAGATCCGTCCAGCCGTTCTGCATATACCTTCAAGGAAACATCCATACATCTAAACATTCACATTTATAAAATTAGTTATATTAGTAGTAGTAAGTATTTAATACCCAGATTTATTTATACGTTTCAGGATTTGTAGACATAGTCATCATATTACCCTGATACATCATATCTCGAGCATGGGAACCTACATAGATTATTAAGGACGTCCTGTCATCGTCTCTTGGATTAGTCGAGATTGCGGACTACAAGTTGCAACTAGTGTTAATCCAATAATACTTTTCCTTCCTCAATCCAATAACACGGCGCCTGAGAAATTCTACGTCCATGTTTAACACGGTCACTAGCAATTACATTGTATTAGTGTTACAGATATACGGTACAGATTATAAAATAAATTCTATTGTTAACTAGACTTTTAGAAGCCAGGATAAGTTGAAGTTTTCTAAACAATATTTATCAATAATGTAGAATTTTAAAATTACACAATACATCATAATTTACTGATTGCCAATATTAAATTTAGACTCAACTCTCAACCCTTATTGTAAACTTTGTCACTTAACTCAAAAGTAGAATATTTCGATGACTTGTAACTTTATATAGGCTGTCCACTTAGATGAAACTTGAAGTCTTTGTGATTGACCTACTTTCTATTAAAAAAGTCTTCTCTAAGCTTGGAAAAGATTAGCAGT